TTTCTTATCTCACCTTCAAATAAAAAATTATTCACATTAGAGGGGAAGAACTGCATACTAACTATTTTTATTGCAAGTTGCTTCCCTTGTGTTACTACATACAATTAAATAGCGTGAATAAAGAATCATTGCACTCTAACAAATGAGAAATGAAGCATGACCATTTCAATGACATGATCACAACATAATTTAAAAGCTACCATAATACTTAACTTACTTATAAGCTTCCAATAGTGACCTATTATAGCAAACCCTACAAAACATTTAAAAGCAACAGATTTACAGAAAATTATAGCTTAATTGGCATTATGACTTTCTTATATTTAATATGAACAGATAAATCTTAATGAATTCTTTATTACATAATTGTATAATCTATATAGCTTTGGAATGCATGATAACCTGTCAATTTTAATTTATTTCATTATTTTGTATAGTAACACATTTGTTTTGAAGATAATATGTTTTATTTCAAAAAACCAAAACATAACATAAACTTTTTTAAGATTGGTTAGGTATAAATTGATCTAAAAAAGTTATCTCTTCTGTTTTTGTCATTAACAGGACATATAAAACAAATACTGGTGAATTTTTGCTCAAAAAAGTATACAAACGGTTTTCAACTTTTTTACATACACATATACTATGACTGAATATTAATGCAAAATGTAGATCATGTATAAAATAGATTTTGTATAAAATGTCCAAAAAGAATAAAATCAAGTATTGCTATGACATTATGTAAATTTTCCATAAAATTAGTATAAAAACATAAATATCAAATATAAAATGATAGAAATCTTTTTAAAAATCCTGTTTACTTTCATATTTACTATGCAAGCATAAATTAAATGATAAAATTTTTTAAATACAAGATCAATTATTGAAGACAAAAAAGAAATTTTGCTGTATATGACAATAATCACAAACATAATGCCATGAATGATATGTATACATTAAAAATACCTTAATAAATAAAATACCAAACTATCTATAGCTTGACCAGCAAGGTTGCAAGATAGTCACAGTGACTTATTCCATATAAAACCTACACATTAACACCACTATAGTTCAGATGAAGGTCTATAAAATATGAATATGTATGCAAAGGGAAGCAACAGACTGTAACCAGATTGGAACAAAATATATAAATATTCTGCTTAAATGAGCAAATTAAGTTGGCAAAATGTTGCCAATTTTCAATATACAAGGATTTTAACTTGGTAGAATGGCTTAAAATTTGTCTTGTACCTTTTCTTCATTGAGTTAGATTTTAGAATTACAGGCACTATGGTTTATTTCAATGACAATCCATGAAAACTATTCCATAAAACATATTAAATAGAAATTGATGCAATCTGTCACAGGTAATAGAAAAATATATAGCAACAAATCTTTCCAGTTGTACATATACCTCAAAGAAGTACAATTGATCACTTTTAAAATCTTAAAACACACAAATGATATACATGTATGCAACTTAAAAATTTTCTGTTTCATTAAGAAGTTTCTTCAAAACTTGCAACAAAAAAATGTCGAGTACAAAATTCTAATGACACTGGATAAATAAACAGGACACTATCAAGTATATCATAATAAATTTGAAAAATGTATATTTTTTTTAACTAATGCATTTTTGAGATAATATTTTCACAGCCATAGCCCATATATATTAATATAAACTGTCCAAGAAGCCTGTTCCACTTTTCTCAGTGTAGGATAGTAATCTGTAGACCAATGTTTCGTTTTACTATAAACAGGTACCAGTGACCTTGACATTTGACATGATAATGGATGTGCAAGGTAAACTCATCAAGTTGTACCATACATTAAATTGCAATGTAAAAGCCTTGAAAGGACCATAAACAAAAAACTATCGAAAACTGTTAACAAATTAGTTGGTCATGACCATAGCTCTGCTTATTTTTTTAAAATGGAGCTAAAATGACCAAAGAAACCAAATGAGCCGCGTCACGACAAAACCAACATAGTGCGATTGCAACCAGCATGGATCCAGACCAACCTGCGCATCCGCGCAGTCTGATCAGGATCCATGCTGTTTGCTTACAAACTATAATACAAGTAGAGAAACTGATCCATGCTGGTCGCAAACGCATTACGTTGGTTTTGTCATGACGCGGCTCAAATAAACCAACAACAGCAACTATCATATAATGCTGACAAAGAAGTAAAAGCCAAATTAATCTTTTTAAAAAGCAGACAAGTCACAAAAACACATTTAATATTATTTTCTAACACAACATGTATCCTAGAGACAATTTTACAACATTTTGGCAAGATATTTCATATAAAAGTTATCTTATTATGTTTATATGCAAGAACATTGAGGAATGTAAGAAATAAAATATTTTTTATCAAAAATAAATATGAAATATTGATATGTAAATAGTAAAGATTGTTGTCATGGTTATAATACCTGTACTTACAACATAATTAGCCCTATTTTGAGATTTGGGTTTTAATTCAAGTTTTGCAATAGTCATCTGCACTTAAATATGTTATTTTGTTTTCTCAGAGACAAAAACAAAAAATTACAATAAAAACCCCCAACAGATTTATCACATTCATATTTGATCACTATTAAATTTCAACACTGACCATTTTGTACTGCCATTATTTCTATTATTTAGGTAATTGACATCTTTTCTTATAACAGGTAAACTGGTGTTTAATCTTTTGTGTTCCGTCTGTTATTTTCTTTTATTTAATAAAATTGTAATATTTTGTTTAACTGTTTATAATGTTGATAATTATGAAATAGTATTACTAGTTTGAACAATAACCAATTTCGGACAAAAGTAAAATGTACAAGTGGAATATTGATATATATAGTTCTTACATATCTTTATGTTTATGTAAAGAATGCAACAAACAACCCATTTAATTGTTGACAAATGTCTGTAATCCTCAATAAAATTTACAATACTTGAAATGGCACGGGAGAAATGGGTTAATCCCTGTGTTGACATTATAGAATGTTAACTGATCCCAGGTTTGATCTATCATAATCTCATAATTATAAATCTGTCATCATAACTATACAATGTATAGTAAATGTATACTTTTCACCAAAGAAAAAATAACTCTCTAACTCTGTGTCTTACTTAAAAAGGCAAGCACTAATTTAATATTGAAGATAATACCTAACATGCAGTTACAACTGTTTCATTTTAAAATGACAAAATCACCAATTAAACAAGAGGGCCATGATGGCCCTGAGGTCGCTCACCTGTATATAGGCCCCCCCCCCAACCCCCCCCCCCCGAACGTTGCAGAGCCAATTTAACCCAAGGGCTTTTATTTGCACAAACTTGGTAGACACCCATAAGAAGATGTTTCATGCTAAACATTTAAGCTCTAGCTCATTGGGCTTTTTAAAAGAAGATTTTTTTTAAGTTTTTACTATACACCTATAGTTAAAAACAATGACACCCCTGGGGCCGGGCCAGTTTTGACCCCAGGGCTTTTATTTGAACAAACTTTGTAGACACTTACTAGAAGATGTTTCATGCTTAATATCTAAACTCTAGCTATTTGGGTTTTTTCAAAGAAGATTTAAAGTTTTTGCTAAACACATATAAAGAAAATCAATGACCCCCGGGGCGGGGCCAATTTTGACCCCAGGGCTTGTATTTGAACAAACTTGGTAGACACCTATTAGAACATGTTTGATGCTCAATATCTTAGCCATAGCTCTTTGAGTTCTTTAAAAAAAGATTTTTTAAGTTCTTATTATATGCATATAGGGAAAATCAATGACCCCCGGGGCGGGGCCAATTTTCACCCCAGGGCTTTTATTTGAACAAACTTGGTAGACACCCATTAGAACATGTTTCATGCTAAATATCTTAGCTCTAGCTCTTTGGGTTCTTTTAAAGAAGATTTTTTAAGTTTTTACTATATGCATATAGGGAAAATCAATGACCCCCCCCCCCCCGGGGCGGGGCCAATTTTGACCCCAGGGCTTTTATTTGAACAAACTTGGTAGACACACACTAGAAGATGTTTCATGCCAAATATCTAAGCTCTAGCTCTTTGAGTTCTTTAAAAGAAGATTTTTAAGTTTTTACTATATGCATATAGGGAAAATCAATGACCCCCGGGGCGGGGCCAATTTTCACCCCAGGGCTGTTATTTGAACAAACTTGGTAGACACCCATTAGAACATGTTTCATGCTAAATATCTTAGCTCAAGCTCTTTGGGTTCTTTAAAAGAAATTTTTTTAAGTTTTTACTATATGCATATAGGGAAAATCAATGACCCCCCGGGGCGGGGCCAATTTTGACCCCAGGGCTTTTATTTGAACAAACTTGGTAGACACTCACTAGAAGATGTTTTATGCCAAATATCTAAGCTCTAGCTCTTTGAGTTCTTTAAAAGAAGATTTTTTAAGTTTTTACTATATGCATATAGGGAAAATCAATGACCCCTGGGGCGGGGCCAATTTTCACCCCAGGGCTTTTATTTGAACAAACTTGGTAGACACCCATTAGAACATGTTTCATGCTAAATATCTTAGCTCTAGCTCTTTGGGTTCTTTAAAAGAAATTTTTTTAAGTTTTTACTATATGCATATAGGGAAAATAAATGACCCCCCGGGGCGGGGCCAATTTTGACCCCAGGGCTTTTATTTGAACAAACTTGGTAGACACTCACTAGAAGATGTTTCATGCCAAATATCTAAGCTCTAGCTCTTATGGTTTTTTAAAAGAAGATATTTAAAGTTTTTTCTTTCGGTTGCCATGGCAACCAGAGTTTTGCATGGAATTAAATTCTTTGAACAATTTTTAAAGGTGACCACCAAAGGAACATTCCTGTGAAGTTTGGATGAAATTGGCTTAGTGGTTTATGAGGAGATGTCATTTAAAGTAAAAGTTTACGGACGGACGGACGACGGACGGACGACGGACGGACGGACGCCGGACGAAAAGCGATCACAAAAGCTCACCCTGTCACTATGTGACAGGTGAGCTAAAAAACCCATCAGTTTAGATTAAAAACAAATGACATTGTTTTTTAACTTTCAAATTTCGTTTATAATGTAACAACTGCAAACAAATCATAAAAATATCCATTTTTCAGCCCATTGAAAATGTAGGCTTCAACCCCGTTGCTTCAGTTCTAGAATTATAATTGATTGCCAATTTTTATATACTTTAATATAATATACATGTAATAAAACCTTGCTATAGAATATTTTTCCTGGTGAAAGGCTACATTTTAATGATCAGCAAATAACAAACATAACATATTTACAACATCCAAAACAAACACTAGACTTACACTGACACCATGTTTTAAACATAAAAGCACATTAAGTGGATATGGATATGAACAACAGGCAAACAGTTTTGAACACAATGTCATGTTCAATTATTCAAACTAAATGCAATAATTTCAGATCAAATTTTAAAACTCAAAATACTGTATCCGTCAAAAAAGATAAAATAGGAATGTTAAATAATTAGTTACACCTTAAACAATAATTAATTAGCAATAATGTAATTTTGCAAAGTAAAATCAGAGAAGAAATTTAAAACAAACTTCAAAACAAATGCAACCTTAAAAAAAAAATCTTTAACAGTAATGTTTATACTTGTTCAATAAATTTGCTTATCATAAAACTGATGATTAAAGACTTAAAAATGTAAAGACCTTATACATTTTTCTGTAATATTATCACTATTAACAAGAAGATACACATGTACACTCAGAGGTTCAACCATATTTACCCTATATAACATGTGAATCACACTGATACAATGTGAAGGTTAATGCTATCATACATTATGTTTGATTACGTATAATTAATGCACTATATCATCACTAGATATAAACCATCATTAAAGTGCTGTTTCTACTCTATCTGCTTCACCTTCACCAACAGGATCTACAATGTCTACAGCCTCACTTGGCGAGGCGGACGACTGTCCTTGTTCAGGAGGTAATTGTGCTGATTGAGTGGCAGGAGAAGTTGTTACTGAAACTGTGGTCACAGACACTGTCACATTTTGATTGGAAACAAGAGACGGAGATATTTGGATATTTGTAGCATTGGAAGTAGCGTTTGTGTCAACAATAACTGCTGAACCAGTAAATGCAACATCTGCAGGTGCAGCATTTTCTATATCATCATCATCATCCCTAGACAATGAAGGTCGTGAGTGACGTCCTTGAAGAGTGTTACTAGGGTGTGATCTATAGGTTGGCGGTCTAGAGTCTGGGTAGTCACCGCCCTGATTAGGTGGAAATGTAATTTGTATCCCTGCACGAACAGTACTGGCACGTGAACGATATGAAGGAGGAGGGGAACTAGGTAGACTATAATCTTCATCAGGAATGTTTTCAGGATCATATATATCAGGGGTTGGATTTTGCTGGGCTACCATTAACTGATGCTGATACTCCTGCATTGATGCATTATATGATGGTGGTGGACGACGGTACTGAAACTCTGGATACATTGAACCTGAAAATGGTCATTTATACTCTCAATTAAAAGTATCTTCATATTTATACAATAAATTTTGAACACGCTTAAATTGGTTCCCTAGCAACATTAATAATACAAAAGCTTTTTTCTTATTTATTATAAGCATCATGATAATGTTCAGCTGCATTTTCATTTATGAAGAACATCTGGTGCCCTGCTCATAATTATTACAAGCATTCCTAGGTAAAACCACTGACATTATCTAAGTTTTATATTGAATAATTTTTCTCACATTTAAAGTTACTTTATTTGAAATCAACTGCCCTAAAGACCAATCCATGGAGGTCACTTGATCAATTATTACTCTAATTAAAAGATTGAATATTTCTATTTAAGAAAATAATCATAAGCATGCAATGAAATAATTACCACCATGCCATCTTCCATCCCTCCTGTGGTGACGTTGTCGTCTTGATCTTCTGTTGTGCCGAAAATCACCAAGGTTAAAGAGTGCATGTAATGGTTCATGACCTCTTGGTGTACACTTCCATCCAACTCCTACAACAACCACTAGAAGAACACCAAGACCTGAAAGAGAACAGCAACTTATAAAATGGAGTAATGGTAAATCATAAAGGGTAGATCAGAATCTCAAAACATGGCTCAAAACATATCTATGGTATAAACAGCAAAGCCTTACATGTACATTAAACATTATTTTATCATTTTAACTAATGTTAGAAATTTGTAAATATTCACAACCTCTCTACCCTGAAGTGGTCTATTATTTTATAGGTATATGAAAAATTGATGTTAAGTATATACACACTTACGGTAAAAATAACTTTCGTTTGCTATCAATACAGAGCCAAATCATTTATTATCAACATAGTTAAATCCTTCATTTTACCCAATCTGACTTAGGCCCATAATAAGCTGTCTGGAGCTTATTTTAAGTGTTACATTTTATTATAGATTAACTTACAAATTTACAATGCAATGTTGGGTAACATCATTAGTTCATTACATCAATATGGTGGGGTAAATGTTAATGAAAACAAATTATATCCTGCTTATATAGACAGGTTAAATATTAACACAACATAGAATAATACATATTTATAAACTTTCACCCAAACATGGTTTACAGCAGTTCAATCAAGTACACCAAAAGAATAGCTAACTTCAATGTTGGTATATCCTGATGGATTACTGCTAGTTTATTTACTTTATACATCCACAAAAAACATTTCCCACAAGTATTTAATCATTGCTAGGGACAATATATTGAGGTAACTGTATGGTTAACAATATCCTATTTCATTTAAGTATAGCTTAAAAAGGTTTTACTGAGGTTTCTGGTATCAAGTTCTAGATTGCAACTTAAACACAAGTAAAATAAACATTAAGAAAGGCCTGTTAATTATTTTGTACATGACACTTTAAATACAGGTAGAACTAACAGGCAAGGAGTAAAGTCAGCTAATTCCATAAAAACATTTCAAACAAAAATATTTGTTCAATGTCATGTTAACATAAAAGTAAAAATTACCAAAGAAAATTGGCACAATTTAAGAAAACTACATGAATAAAAGCTATTCAGAATGTTTAAAAGTCACCTAATTCAAAATAATTAACTTTTAATTTAGATTACATACTACCTTTAATTACATTCCTGTCAAAAGGAAAAAATGCATGAATAAATTTTCTGCATGGTAAAGTTTAATCATGTTGACTTATCTAAAAAAACTTATATTAATGGTGTATACAGAACTTCCTGGTTAAAAACTGACATTATAATTATAGTTTCTTCAAAGCTCTTAAAGCAATTACAGACAAATATATGAGTATCATATGACAATGAAATCTGTATAAACTTTAAATTTATTTATCTTCTAAATCAAACTTATATTTAACTTATTCTAGATACTAGTGATACCAACTACATGTACATAAAGTCTAAAATATATAAATGTACCTTAAATGGCATTCTCATTGTAAAATTGTAAAAATGTTCAAGTTTTCTTCACTTTATTTAAACTAAACAATTTTTGTATTTTCTAAATTATGTGCTGAGTAAAATAAATGAGCAAATAAATGAGCAAATAAATGAGAAGTAATCATATGCCTGAACAAGTTTATATACTTATTCTTATCATAAATATGATACAACATTACTCTGGCATTGATTGTCATTAAAAGCATCTTTGTTTAAACGATCCTGTATAACAATAGCAGATTTCGTACTGAAAAGGAAGTTAGTATTCCCAAAATATCTGACCAATTTATTGGATTTCAAAAAGTTTACAATACTTTAAATGTCACTAAAATTAAAATTAAAAAGAGTATCAGTTGACCTCGACCGTTATATCCTACCAGTAATAATGATGTGCCAATGTTACCAGTAAAGAACCATACTAGTCTGTATAACTGTAAACTGATCTGAAACTTTTTACCTTGGTCTGACCAATCTTTGCATTTCACGAACTTCCAAAGGGTAAGGGTTGACAACAAACTGAGAGTGCTAATTAGGGCAATTTGATGTAAATTGTGTACCATGACAAAGCAGCTTACTCATTTATTTATCTCTTTATCTTTCGTAAATCTATTTTAGCACAGTAACAACAATTTTCTTTATAGCAAGATGGGCGTAATTCAAGTTTTATTTTAGTCAGGTATATAGATTACTCTCTTTGTAATGCACAAAGTATGTCAAAGCTTTCTTAAAACATTTTTAGAAAACAAAGCTGATAGACTACAAAGCGTGACTATCTGTTAACAAACACAACTTCAATCACTGTTGTTGTAATATTGTATACATTGCCTAGCTTTTATCTCAACGAAATCTGCTATGGCCATATTACCTTTTAACAGTTTCTGGTATAATAAAACGCCCCTAGATATTAATTAATACGTCATAAAATCACCTTAAATAATACCCTGTAGGACATTTTTATGTGATGTTTTGATTTGTTCACTTACATTCAAAATATTTATAGAAGAAATAAATGAAATAAGTCAGTGGTGACATGAAATCAATTCTGATTTATCATACAGTATTATTATATCATTAAAGATAAGATCATCAAGATAAGGTTAGCGGAAAATGTTGATTTTACAATATATACATGATATAAAAAACTAGCATAACTCTGTAAAATGAAGTATACTTATGTGCTGTTTGTGTCAAAGAGAAACTGAGGCACTTATAAAAATAGGGAAAAGCTATAAAAGCTCACATATGGTATGAAAATGTCAATTTTTCATTTAAATGACCCTCTATCCACTTTATATTGAATCAATATAAACTATTTATGCCTAATTACATGTATGTTTATGGTAAATCAAGTTCTTGGTAGACCAGTGCTTCTTATAAATTTTGTAAGAAGACAAGTTACATTTCTCTATAACCAACATCATTTGTAATTAAATTGCCTGTACATCAGTAATTAAATCTTGTCACTACAAAATAAAGTACAGCAGGTAAACCATAAAATCACTATAACTGACATCAGCATACACATATGATATCAGCAATTTATTAATTAAACTGCTTTTCTTTTCCTCAAAACAAATATTTGTTCATCTGTTATTAAAAGATAAAAGTCATCATAAAACAAGAGGTTAGACCTTGACTTATCATTGTGAAGGATTTATGTCCCCATTTACTTGTACAACCTAAAAGTAGGATAAATAAATGTAACAAAGGTCAGAGGTGTGTAACTACTGCTTGCTCTGTCAAACACTGCTAACAGACATGACAAGTATTTGTTACCACATAATGAGCCACTATAGCAAAAACATAATTTTGTTTAATATTATATTTGCACTAAATAACCCTTAAAAGTATATAGACCATAGCAACAGAGATTTATAATAAAGTCTTAAATCGGTAATCACTGAAGTGAAACATTGTAAAATTGTTTGATATATGTAACATTTGAACAAACACAATTGTATAAATTGTCTTGGTCACGTAAAAATAATAACATTAGCCTTGGGATGCAACACAAGCTGTCATTTAGATATACAATCTCTAAACTTCTCATGATTTGCTTGAGCTAAGAAGGGAGATCTATAGACAAAACTTTTGTTTATTTAAAACCTTTTTAACATTGTTGATCTCATTTTACACTCAATTCAATACTTCAGGTATAAAATCAGTTATTGACCCACGCTTTTATTCCTTTTGATGAAACTATCTGAGTCAGCTGAATTAAGATCTGTATCATGAAAACAAACAACAAAGAAACACCTGTACACTTAACTCAAGATGATTTCATGTTTACCTTACAATGACAGTATGTGATAAAAATAAATGTAATTGAGGGGAGGGTTACTTGATGATTTCATATACATGTACTCTTAAAACAGTAGTTTAACATTAAATAGTATAAATAAAGTTATTGTACAAATAAGAAATTTAGTCACTAACAATGCTAACATGTGTAAAATGATGAACACTGGAATTGTGCAAAGTAAGATAGTTTTTGGAATGAGGTACATTGTGTACTCTCATTTCAGTAGTAAAATATCTATCAGAGTAAAACAAAGAAAGAAATGTTACATACCTATAAACATAATGGCTAGGAAGAGGAAGGAGTTTCCTGCAGCATGAAGGGCAGCAAGTACTATGCCTGTAACTACACAGCATACACCAAGTAAAGACAATACCACTAATATCCAACGAAATGATGTCCCTACTGCAAGGCATTTATAACAGGATTCCTTACAAGGCTCTTCACTCATTTGTTGGCTATGCCGATGAGAATGACGTCGTGAACGACCTTGTTGTCGGCGGTCACGATGTCGATGTCTAGAATGCTGTTCTGTATACCTATGACCTTGAGCAATTCTTGGGTCTAAAGGCACTTGTGGTCGCTGAGAACTAGAGGTCTGACGTGATGGAGGAGGAGGTTGAGAATGTGCAACAAGATCAGGTAAGATGTTGCCACCCTGTCTTTGATGGTCAAGACGCGAAACTATTCCAACATTTATGTCTTGAGTTCGAATTTGTCTAGGGTCACCAGATAAAGGCACTGGCTGTGCATGTGCATGGCTGACATTTACATTCACACTAGACTGAGACACTACAGGTGGTGTAAGAGAATGGGAAGAATGTGCCATGGAATACACCTGGGATGGAACCTCTGCAGGTATTCTCCCTGGTACAGTACTTACTGGAATGTGAACTGGTACTTGTAAATTACCAGTACTGGAAGAAAGACTGGAAGCAGCAACAACAGTTTGACCAGGTTCACTAATCCTGTGACTGGTCCTAGGTATATTCCTGTTGGGGTCCAAATTCTGATTCATAGATACATTGTCTTGATTTGGTAGTGATCTTGTGCTGACAGGTCGAGGTAAAGAATCCATAGGATAATCTGGAACAACCGATTCTGGTTCTATTAAGTTTGTTTGACTTGTATTACCTGGCTCATAAATATCAGCAATACCAGCTGTTACGTCTGGATAATTCCCTGAGCTAGAACTTCCTGATCTTGTGTTACTAGATGCACCCTGACCACTTGGAGGAACAGGGGCCATTGGTTTATGTGCATTACGTATATGACCCGGCCCATGCTGGGCAGACCCAGCCGCTGTTCCTGGCATTATTTTCTTAACAAAATTTTCTCACAATTTACTCCATTAAATAACACACTGTACAACTGGTATACAACTTGTCACATTATAAAACTCTATTTATGTGTTCCAACGAAAGGTAGTAAGGTACAGAAATTACATGCTCACAGCCTCCTACAGCTTTTTACTGCCATTTGCCCCAGGAAATGTAAGTTGCACAATTTAAAATCTCACTGCATATGCATGCTACCTGAAGATATACAAAGATAATGATTATACATCAAATAAAACAACTGTCAAGGGTCATAATGTCATTATGCAAGCAATAAAATAAATGATTATACCGCAAGACATTTTATATCACGTCTTCAAGGTATAATTGTTATGTATTTGTTATGCAGCAGAAAATGACATTGATCACATTTGTCCACATTAAAACCTATTGGGGGAGTATGGTAAAACCAGATGGGGGAGTATGGTAAAACTACAAGCTTTAATAATAGTACAATTTCATTTTAAAAGTCTATTTAATACTTAGTTCATCAATAACATGACAATAATTTATGAGCTATAACATATTTACATAATAAAGTAATTTATAAACTATAGAGATATATTAAAACATACAGACATATCTTGAATTTTTCATACAATGGAGACATTTTGTATTACCTATGTTTTATATTAAATAACAATAATGTTACCAATACATGCTTTGTTATAGAGATCTGTCATAAACTCAGATAACATGATCTAAAAATATTTTGTTACTTAAATAATTGTTGTAAAAGTGAAAAATCTTCAAATCACTCTTGTACTTTCTCCTTAAATAATCAAGTAAAAATCATTATTAAAGATAATTTTCCTACAGATATAAAACAGCACGATGTAACATCTTTTTGTGCTGGTGCAATATAAATATTCAAAAATAAAACAAACTTTAAAACTTCATACTGAACAAATATAATATTATCTACAACTAAATAAATCTATTATTCTTTTCTTTAGAACATTTAAATATTGAAGAGTGTCGCAACATACAATATTTTTAGCATAAATCTAATATTTACATCTAACTTATATGGTACTTGTCTTCAAGTTTAACCAAATAAACTTGAACTTAACAAACTCAAGCTACGACAAATTTTAAGCCTCAGATTATCTCACAATATGTGTATCAAGTTCTCTTTATTAAACTTCCTTAAAACCTCCTGGGTCATTAAATGAAATATATCCGATGAACATAACTTTCATACATGATAAAAAATGTAAAGTTTTACCAAAATTCATGTACATGAACTGTGTTGAGTATTATATATTGAACTCCACCCTTAATTTTATGGGATATTTATTGGTTGTATATACAGTATATTTTAAATTTAAATCGTGAGAAAAGCATTGTATAAATGAGATAATTGAAGCAAAGATTTAGCAGAACAAATGATGCATTCAAACATTAATTTGTTTATATCTTTCTAATTTAAGCTTACTACATGATGTTCTAATTTTATGTATTTTATGTATAATGAATCTTTTATTATTTCTGCATCAAATTTTTTATTATTTATTTGTTTATTATAAAATTGAAGAAATAGGAATTTTATTAAGTAATTTAATTAAATATGGTCATATTGAATGAAACATTTTCAAGAGTATAAAATACCATAAACCCTTATAGGCTTGTTTTCATTTTCAGAGTCCAAAATAACTACATGTCAAATGCATATTATACCAAATATAGCCTTATTTTCATTTTCAAAGACCAAAAATCAGTATCAAATCCTTATCATACTTGAAGCAACAAATAAAGTTCTGTCAAAATGTTACAAAATGGTGATATGAAATAAAGGTCATTACTAAGAACAATACTGATTCTATTGAACTTGTATGCAGCTGAAAAACATAAATCGGACTCCGACACTTGGCTAGAATCACATCACATCCAAGGTTTGATAGATTAGTACTTGTCAAATAGAACAATACTGATTTATTGAACTAGTATGAAGCTGTAAAGCCTATACCCGACTTTGCTTTTACATCATTCAACTTAGGTTTGAAAGCTGTGTACGGGTCCAGTAGAATTCAGTATTCTACTAAATAATGTATAATATGCCAGCCCGTAGTATTTTATAAATGAAAGTTACGCATAATGGATATCATTTTTTTCATAGAATTTTCCAACATTGGCATTTACCATTTACAAAGCAGAAGTTCAATGAATTATATTTATTTCTAACCATTTTAATTTGATATCTGATCAGTTAGCTGTCAGGTGAATTCTAAAAAAATTTCCATTTAACAACCAAAAAAGTTTACTTAGAAATACAAATAGCAATCTGATGTTTTCTTGACGAAAAGGTATATGTATGACCTAGGATGTCCTACATAGCCTTATAGAAACTAAGCCTTTTGTATTGAAATGAACCAAGTAACAATTAAGCTTGCTGGATTTGTTGAACTGATGAAAACTGAGAGTAAACCATTGCTTTACAAAAAATTTCAGTGTATATAAACGACAAGAATTTTTAAATGCCGTGTAGAGGAAGAACTACACTTAACCTATAGCTCTTCAGCGCTTCTTATGTAAAATTCTTCCAAGTATAATTCCCAATAACCGTAAATTATACCATACCCAGACTATGGTATAATTTTCAGTTTTGAAGATCGAAGGAGTAAGTGTTTCTGGGCGGAGCTATAGGTTAAAACAGATACACCATTGGTGCGTTGACGATTTCTGGGTTTGCGTAAATTATACCATAATCGCGTGACCTTTCTTATGCAACCTCACTCGACTTCGTCTCGTGAGGTTAAGGCATAAGAAAGGTCATGTGATTATGGTATAATTTACGCAAACCCAGAAATCGTCAACGCAGCAATGGTATATCTATTACATGTATAATGTATTGCATTAAATTTTACTAGTATTTGGAAAGAGTAACTTATAATCAGACAGTAACATTTTTGTTAATTGATTCATTATAAAAGTGATATCTTAACTTTTGAAACACTCTCTTAGATTATGTAACTTGTATATAACTATGTGTTTTAACTATGTCATTGTTGTCAAAAATGTATTTATATATTGGTTGATGTTGATGTGCTGTATATGCATAAGACTGAATAAATTTTCTGTTCTGTTCTGTTCTGATATCCATCAGGTATTTGATGTAACAATTACAATAGCAATCAACAATGTGATTTCAGGTAAATGGTGTTGAAAGGTTTTCCACACTTACTGACCAAACACCATACATCCAGTATAGATAACAATGTCACTTTAATCACCAATCAAAACAACATTATAATACCTTAACAATTTTATACATCATACTTAGTTACAGTAGGTAATGCACTATTTATGATAAAATATGCCTGTATCTTCATTGTATTAGACCTGCTGATTAATCCTTTAAAAGGATACAGTGCCTAATTGTTATTTTAAGATTGATTAAATGTAGCAATATATAAGCCTGAACCTCTAAACCAGTGTTTTCATCCTACAGGTATAAAACAGATTATAGCAAAAAATATTCTTCATGTACTAAATTACTAACAAATCTGTAATGATTATGTAATGAACCGTATACTATATGTTTATATAATTTCTTTATAGTGTTATACATTTCAGTCAATACACTCTTGCCACCTTACTCATGAAAAGCTTTACATTATGAATGGATTCATTAATTGTGTCAGCATACAACTGTATACAGACTTAAGTCAATACATGAAACTGAAAATCAAAAATCATTGACAAATTCAAATATTCTCCTTTGAACTTGGTCCTCTATCATAGCTTCCCTTAAAACCTAATTAAATAACCCTAAAATGCACCATTGTCAAAATAATATTTGATATTACTACTGCAAATTTTATTACTACAGATTTTTATCCCCTCCCCTAACCTCGAATAAGTATTTTGCTTATATTTTGCTATAAGACTTCTTATAGCTGTAATATAATCTGCTGTAATAAGTTCAGAAAAAATTACAAATTGCAATCTTGAAATTCCATCTATCTACCATTCAGGGGTTTGCCCAAACAAGTAAACACATTATTGCTAGTGGCATGTTCCCAAAGTAAAAAATAAGGTGACTAATGATGTAGATGCAATGCAATCTGGAAATATTTGAGGAAAAAAAATTAAGTTTTAAGTTTAACTATGCACAACCATTTATTATAACTAATTATAAAGATAATTTATTAGATCTATAACTATTAGAATAACATTACTTATACCTGCTGAAAAAAATATGATAATTTTGTCTTTTATTATCTTTATTAATTAAAAGAATATCTTGAACTGAAACATTTTTTTTCTATAACTGCTAAGGCAGATTGCAATTCTATTTTTGCTAATATTTATCAAACACCTGTCTTTATTTATTGTACATGGATATTGATGTACGTAGGCCTACTGTACTGGTATTGCACATGATCATCCAAATAATCCATTGATATATTCCATACTCTTAAAAATTACCTTTGAAACGTTTGTTTTGCATAGCAAACTATTAAACGGATTATTAAGTGCCACACGTGTCTTGTTGCCTTTGTGCCAATAATAATTGATCAAGCGTGAAATAAATAACAAACACAAACTTGCCTATAATAAACTGATCCAATAACTGAGTTTTAACAATAAAATTCATCCATATTAAAGATTTTAGGAATGCAAAATAATTTAGATATAAATTACTATATGTCTCACAGAAAACATTAAATGGCAATTACCGAAAATTGATTCTTCCTTTGACGATCTTGCTTTGTCTGATCACCTGTATTTTCGTTTCCGTGTTTTCTCGCAACTCGCAAGATTTCACGAGAGTCAATGGCCGCCTCCACGTAAAAAAGTGTAAATTTATTATTTGAATACTTGACCGTCCTTCCAACAAAAGCGTTTGTCAACCGATCAATTTAAAGCAAGTTTTGAATATAATCATATTTCTATCTGAATTTATGCCTAATATATAAATATATATAATCTTCATTGATTAGCAATGATAGTGAAAATATCCACTCCCCACCCACTGGCCCAGTATACACTTGAACCAAGTTTGCTAAAAATGTTAGCTAAAATGTTAATTTATGGTGTTGGTTGCTTGTTAAACCTCAGGATCACGGCAGTAAGCCACATAATAATTTCAATTTTATTGAGCACAGTTCAGCCACTGCAGGCTGTCAAGGACACCAAGTAGTTTACCAAGTATCAGATATATTTTTGCAAGGAATTGATAACGTCTGTGCATGCTAGAGCAGAATCATTAGAAAGAAGTTTGTGACCTGCACCATCCTGGAATCGGACCAACTGACCACAGTCCAACACACCTATTGAGCTCACCGGACAGTTAAAATGTTGATTTATTTATTATTGAGGTTCTTTATACCACAGGCACAAGTATCGGACCTGGGAAGAAAAAATATGACCAGATTGATAAAAAACCCTGTGTTCATCTTAAATGTGTAAAAACAAAAAAAATGTAAAATATGACACCCTTTATAAATATTCTATATGTTAAGAGAAGGCCGAAAACTACTACATGTATGTCATGTATTCTGTTTAAATGAGATCTTTCTCTATGTTAATTATAACAATTAACAGCACCAGTATCTTGATTTACCATTTATATATTTATTGTTAATCAGGATATTTTTTTTACAGTATAACAGTGACAATGTGTGATGCAGATGAACTTGTACAGAATGTTATTGATACCATTGATAATGCCAGTGTACAGAAACATGGTCTTACAGAACAGCTTAACTCACTAAATCAAGCCAAACAACAGGTAAATATATTATCACACAAGTTAAACACTTGTGGTATTAGCACATGCAAATGCAGAACTATGCTTCCTTAATTAGACCAATCTGTAAATCTGTGGGCATAGACCACCGTGCATATCCAGTAACGCAGGAATGTGCAATTATCGGAAAAGAAATGCCGAATCTGTGCATTGCTATTGTCAAAACGAATAACACAGTAAGTAAACAAACCAGAATATTTTATTCTAAATCAAATTTAAAGAAATTAATTAGCACACACGGCTGCTACTACAAATTATACTTTAACCAGCATTACAAATTTTTTCAGGAATGTGTTATTGTCTTAGATAATTGGTGAGAATGACAACCTGATTACCATTTTGAAGGTGTCTTTTAATTGTGTTTCGTCAAAATAAATATGTACATTTAACATATTTAAGATTTTATTTTTTCCTATTCTGTATACCCAAGACATTTGTCAAACTAAAGTATCATATAACAATAGAAGGAAGCTGGTAATACTTTCAATGAGATAACTGCCGTTGCTTCAGTGTTTCATTCACAAATTCAGCGTTACTTTGTAAAAATGGTCCCAATTACGTTTTATCTGCTAAATTTAATGTAATGATATGAGTAGATTGGAAAATGTCTCAGGTACACTGAATATAAAAAAATCATAAAGTTATATGTATGTTATTGTATTTAGAGATATCAATGAAACTAAAAATCGCCATCAATAGGCTAGTCAGGTAGTCATTTTCACGAATGATCTTGAAAAATATACATTATCATGAAAATATTTTTTATGAGGTTTAAAGTACATGTATAATGTCACAGCAACCGTATGTGCTGACTCATTTCTTTCAATTTGGTGTACAATATAAAAATATTGGTCCATTTACTTATCATGGTGCTCGTTTTAGCTACTAAATTGCACAATTCTGCATTACTTATGCACAATTCCTGCTTTATTTGCACATTCCTGGGTTACTGGATATACACGGTGTAGACACTTCATTGTTACCTGCTTGATATATGTATAAAACTAACAATCGTCAGTTACAGGCAGTCACCCTATGTCATCCTAAATATAAAAATTGTGCAGGAAAGATTTCCATAGCAACATTTCTTCTGTATTTATTGTAATATTTACCAAATAAGGCTTACATTCCCAGGAGATAGTACCACCAAGATAAATGAATGGATATTAATTGACAAAGAAATAAGTAAACCATTTTTCAAAATTTGTAAGAGGCTTTACTTTATTATGTTACTATTCTTTTAAAGAAAATGAAAAGGAAGCAAGTGTGTTCATATTTATAAACTATTTAGTTTGATGCATAATGAAAGAAAATTATTTAATTGCAGATACAACATAGTTCTAAGATTGCATCAGAGCAAGTGAGGAACCATTTTGAGAACTTACGGAAAATTTTAAATGAGTCATTGGAGGAAAGGATGTCAGAAATGCTGGCAGAAGTTCAGGCTCTAGAAAAATCTAATCTTGAGCCCCTTAACCAGTGTGCTGACATGATCAATCTTTCTCTAGAGGATGCAGCTTCTTGTATTAGTGAAGGTTACTTTTTTCTTCACACAATGTTTGTATATATTATCTTTATCCTTACTATTCTAAAGAAATTAGAAAATTGTGCAGGGACAAAGTGACCAGAGGCATTTCTAATTTCAATAGAACAGTAAAAGATGAATACTAGGCTCGTACTATACATAGTGGGCAAGTTTATTTGGCCGATAAGATATGACTGGTTGATTCAGTAAGCTTAGTTATTACACATTCTATGTACATGTCTTAACAGAAAGAAGAATATGTAGTTTGGTGATATTTGACAACTACTCACTTGCAATATTTACAGATGGATCTAAAATAACGACAACAATAATGGGCTTATGGCCACTTTGATTAATACATGTAGATGCATGAAAATTGATGCATCACGGTTATTTGTGTAAAATGTAACTCAATTTGACTGATGTTAAGATCCGTCATGCAGGGTAAATAACCCTGTATTGCAAGGTAGAAATAGTCCTTCCAGCACTGGTACCAAGTGTGTTCTTTTTTGTTGTGTCGCCTTGAAAAAGGCGACATATAGGGGTTACTTTTGTCGGCGGCGTCGTTGTCGTCGTCGGCGTCGTTGTCGGTGTCGTCGTCGTTGTCGGTGTCGGCGTCGGCGTCCCCTAAAGCTTGTCCGGAGCATAAGTCAGTCATTATAAGTTGGATTGACTTCAAACTTGGTATGCATGCTTCTCATAATGACCCGAAGTGCAGTGCACAAGAACAAGTACTCTGTACTCCTTATTTTTTGAGTTATTGCCCTTTGTTTATTTTCATACTTTATTTTTGTCCGGGCCATTTCTCCTTAAGTATAAAATATTTGGACTTGAAACTTCATAGGATGATAGATCTCATTAAGAAGAAGTGCAGTGTACAAGAACTGGTACTCTGCATTTCTTATTTTTTGAGTTATTGCCCTTTGTTAATTTTCATACTTTATTTTTGTCCAGGCCATTTCTCCTAAAGTATAAAAGCTATGGACTTGAAACTTCATAGGATGATAGATCTCATTAAGAAGAAGTGCAGTGCACAAGAACTGGTACTCTGCATTTCTTATTTTTTGAGTTATTGCCCTTTGTTAATTTTCATACTTCATTTTTGTCCAGGCCTTTTCTCCTAAAGTATAAAAGCTATGGACATGAAACTTCATAGGGTGATAGATCTCATTAAGAAGAAGTGCAGTGCCCAAAAACTGGTACTCTGCATTTCTTATTTTTTGAGTTATTGCCCTTTGTTAATTTTCATACTTTATTTTTGTCCAGGCCATTTCTTATAAATTATAAAATCTTTAGACTTGAAACTTAATAGGATGATAGATTTTATTGATAAGAAGTGCAGTGCACAGAAACTGCTGATCTGCATTTCTTATTTTTTGAGTTATTGCCCTTTGTTGATTTTCAAATTTCATTTTTGTCTTTGCCATTTTTCTCTTAAACTATATTGTTCACAAGGCGACACATCCGACTCGCGGAGTTCTAGTTTTGTTTTTAAATTTGTATGAAAATGATGCCTATTTCTCGCGTAAACTTCATCTCTTTACAAAGAGGACGGACAAATGGCAACCTATTTCTCGCGTAAACTTCATCTCTTTACAAAAAGGACGGACAAATGGCAACCTATTTCTCGCGTAAACTTCATCTCTTTACAAAAAGGACGGACAAATGGCAACCTATTTCTCGCGTAAACTTCATCTTTTTACAAAAAGGACGGACAGATGGCAGGATTTACTTAAAATTGAATAGGCATGTAGTTACATTGTGTATGTGCTGAATGTAAATAGTTTGAGACAAATTCTTCAAAGCCAGTTTCCACTTTGATATACTATTGGGATCACTTTAATATGAGTAGTAGGTATGAAATTAGATTATACCTGGTAGGGGACCACTGCATGTGTCATGTTATAAAGGTCCTTTGTACTTTTGTTTTGCAGGCAAGACCTTATTAGCAAATGGACCAGAAACTGACATAGATGCTTTATTAAAATTTAAAGATGCTCCCCACACAAAAGATCTCCATGAGTAATATCTTTTTAATAACTCTTTTTTTGTTACTGTTTATAAATATTCAATTATAGACATTGTTAATCTTTCATGTTATCTTTTCTTCATACTGAAATCATCCTACAAACTGAAAATTTTCGATGTGGTTCAACTAAGAATGACTATGTTAATGGACATAAAGGATAAATGTTATCCTTAAAATTTATGTTAAAGTAAGAATAATGATAATTATGTCTGTGAGAGTATTAAAAACCTACACCACTGTACAATGTATATGTTTTTCAGTCTCATCAATATCAGTGATTTTATTACAGATTGCCAGAAGTTCCTAGTCTGTCAGAGGTAGCATTTATTAGTGTGAACTTTGTAGAGGGAGTTGCAAACAGATTTCAAGATCTGATTGCAGATGAGGGGAGAGTATCTGACCGTGCACCAGTCAATATCACAGAGGTGGAGGAGAGACCAGGAGCTCTACTTGTGACTTGGGAAGAGGTTAAACATTAACTTTTATTTATTATAGATGAGAACTTTTTGATGTCGGATTATTTCAAAATACTTGGTGTACCAGATGTATCACTGTAACTGACATTCTTCTTTCTGTGAAATATAATATTTAAAGTTATTTTAAGATGAATATATTTGCCAAGCTTTCTTGATTCTATACAAGGGGGAATATACTTTATTTCAAAAGATTGACTACATTTATTATGGATTTTTCCTTTATGAATATACATGGATAACATTGATGGTATTATAGGAAGACGATGAAACTGAAGCTAGTGAATTCCGTTTACAATATTGTTATGGTGAAATAACTGCATGGGATGTTGGAAAGGCAACATTTAACACTGTATACACAGGCTCTAACACAACACATCTAGTTAAACGTCTCCGCTATAACATGCCATATTCTTTCCGTGTTAGCTGTCGTATAGATGATCACTGGAGTACATGGAGTGTACCTAGAGTAGCCCAGACTCGTATACCACCATATCGTAAGTGTATCCTGTTGTTGTAGTATTATATAACTTGTGCTGTGTGACTTCTCTACCAGATTCTAATTTGAATTTAAAGTTTTACGATTTTTATAAGTACCTTAGATCTGAGTTACTATTTTACATCTGTATCTCAAGTGAAGGAATCTGTATATGATTCCTAGCTGTGTCTTTATTTCATTAAAGCTGCATAGTAAGTATTTCTTTCTTATGTGATCTTGATGTTGATTATCTGCTAGATTCTTCACATGAATTATTTGTAGAGCTGTCATCGATAGAGACGATATAGATGTATCTTTCATATTTTTTTTTGTTTATAAATAATTGATCCACATCTGACAAAATCGATAATTTTGATTTATTATTTAAATGCCTATAAATTATGAAAATTCAATCAAAAATATACAAAAGCAGGTGGCCATGTCTAACACTAAGCTGTTGTTAAATATAGGACACATTTCATAGCAGTGATAACAAAAATGGTCGGAAAAAAATCATGCAAAGGATAGTTATAAACAGGACATTAGATATTTGTATAAACAGAACTTGTATTTTATAAAAATCATTTAAACAGGTATGAATGTGAAGTGTATACAAGAAATTAGGAGTAATTATGGATATATCAGTGTGACACCAATATTTGGCATCTGATATTGATGTACCCTCAATATGCTATGCACTGAATCAATGACAGCTCTTATTATTTGAGTCAGCTATTTTGACAAAAAAATTTTAACTTTTTGGAGGTTATGAAAAATATAACCAGAATTAATGTAAGAATATGTCAAATTGTTGGATTATAAACATTGATATTTGCCTTTGCAGGCCACTTGCAGAAATATTGAAATATACATGTATGATCTGAATCAAGAATAATTTGTTAATAAAACAATTTGATTGATAATCAGAAAACGAGAACATTTTGTTTCTTTTTACAAATTCATCATTGTATGTATATGTAGCTGTATGCTTCCATGAAAAATAGAAATGTATTTTGTTTATCTTTCAAATCTTTTTTAGAGTTAAAGACTCAGAATTAGTCATACCATATTAAGTCTAAATTGAGATGATATAATCCTCTATTTAGGAAAAGAAATATTATGAAAATGCTATTTACAATATGAAGTATATTAAAAAAAAGTCTGTGTATCTTTTCATCATCTAATTTAGAACAAAATAAAATTTAAAGTTTCATAATTAGCACAAAAGTATATACATAATACTGTTCATTAATATGATACAGAATGGGATGAAAATACTGAGGGATATTCAACAAGCAATGAGAACAGAACTGGTACACGATGCAATGGATTGACAAGAGTCTTATATTCCAAGAGTCAGTGTTACCGTGCTGGATTCCAGTTATCATTCCGAATCTTGGATTCCGGAGAGAAGTCACCGTTTGATGGATTAGGTATAGCTGTCACCAATGATGATATTGATACCATGAAGAGAGAGGGTGCGGTCTTTCTTGCTTGTGATGGTAAGATAAAACATTGTTGTTTATATATAATCATTGATTAAATTGATGAAGTTGTATTTAACAAACTATTTACCTTATTGGAATATTGCTGTATTCAGTTTAATTCTTAACTATTAATAACGGCCTTCGGCCCATGCACAAACAGAATACATGACAAAATATTAATGTAGAGTGCAGATAATCAATAATCTTTTGGTATTTGATATTTATAGTTCAGGTAATTGAGAAATGCAATATTTGAATTTTGTGTTTCGTTGTATGAAAAAAATAGAATATAAATGATCTAACTTGTTTATACCTTAATTTATAGGAACAGTGTTTATAGATGGACAGGAAATGAAAACAAGACTTCCATGTTTAACTCGTAATTCCAGTATTTCCATAGAAACTGAAACATTACCAAATGGAAAAGTTCGTGTTAGTGTTCAAGTTGGGGATAAAGAGCTTACATTTGATTGGAAGGTAGATAAACTTGTTACACTTGGAATGATTGGTGGACTTGGTATGACTCCTCTCACAGAATCTACACAGTGCTTCTTCTTTGGAATGATCTTCAGTCATGAAGACTGGAAAATCAGTGTAGAATGACATGGCATTTTTATGTATAAATGTTGAAGTTTGTGCATGAATAATATATGAACAAATTTATATGTGTGTGATGATATAGTCAGTTTATTTATCTTCAAAGCAGTATATAGTTTATTAATATCTTATATAATCCTACCAGTAGCTAATTGATTTAAACAGTTTATGAATAAAAGATACAGTAACCTTCTTCGTTTATGCTACAGATCTGCTATTGTATGAATTGATATTGAATTTATGCCAAAAGTTTGCAGCTTTGAACTATACTCATATAAAAGATACAATGTATTTTTAGCTTTATCCCACCGAAAAGAAGTGTAGAATTAGTACTGTCAGTTTTATCTATTTAATAATTTTGGACAGTTTAAGTTATTTGGATGTATTAACATTTTATGGGCATTGATATTACAGTTCTTAGATGCACTTACAGTATCTGATGTAATTTTCCAATATTTTACTTAGTAAAGATCCTGTTATATAGTCATATATCACACATGTCAGTTTAACCTCATGATATTTTGTTTTATGTAAACAATAAGCTCACATCTTTGATCTGGAGTGATTATTTTATACTTTTTACAAAAAGTCTAGTCTCTACATACTTGCACATATATTTGTATCTTTCACAATGCTTTTATTATACCCCCGAATCAATTTCGGTGTACAATGTTATGCAACTGGTTTTCCGTGGTGTCCACTCTTCTGAACCGAGGGAAGGAAATTTAACTAAATTGGCAGAAATGTTAACAGTAATGAGGAAAATAAGTTTAAAATATTTTTCATACGAATTTCATGAGTGGTCTTTTCTCATTAAAAGATTACTTTTGAACACTCGAACAAATTTCATTGAGGCGTATATTTCTCTACTTTTAAGAAACTTTTTTATTGTACAAGTTCCAATAAAGTGTTCAGAGGGAGAAACTATTGTGACTTGGATATTGAAACTTTTATGGGTTAAGAAAATAGATCTGTAATATTTCAATTGTAATGTTTTGTTTTTATTTAGTTAATTTATGTCTCTGTGTATTATATGACTTGAATGTGTGTTTATTTTAATTTTGCTCAAGAAATAACTATGATCTGGACCATAGTACATATTACAGGACCAATTTATTGTAACAGTCTGTTATATTGATTTATGTTGTAGAATCTCTTAGTCATCATTGATCTCATAATTCTGTTCCATAATTCACTTTGAACATATGTCTTTGGATCCATTTCTCCTTATTTAGTTATATATTAATGGTATTTTATGCTCATATTCGATAGTTCCATATTTGAAAGTAGTGATAATTGCTATGCAGTCTCTTTTCAATTTAGAATAAACATGGTGTAAGTAGAACAGACATGATGTGATCATATAAACTCAAACACAATATGATACATTGTATCATTTAAAAAAAAAAATTATATTTTTTTTTAATAAAAGAAAGGCCCAAGTTAACAACTTGACCATCAATTGGGAATGCAGCTTCTCAAACATAGTTTTTTTATTGTCTATTTAATTTAGACATATTCTGATTAATAAATTTCTGTAATAAAAGTGTTTTCTACAAAGATGAGCATAGCATATCTTTAAAATAAACATCCAAGATACATCATTATCAAATGGATTGAAAACTTACATGTATGTGAAGTTAATCACCATTTTTTGTTATAAATGAAAATATTTCTCTTTCACTGTTTATTAAATGTCAAATTTTAATTGTATTTAAAACAATATATCAGATAAGAAGTGTGAATGATGTACATATAGGAAAACAACATAATTTCATAGTAAAAAGCAACAGCTGTTTCAATCAAACACATCTATTATTATTTAATAAGCTTGAACAATTGAACCATGTAATATTATAAGTTTTTGTAAGACTGTACAACATTTGTGATAATCAAGTATATTTATTTGTGTAGAGATTTTCTGTATGTTTGTATGTGTTCAGTTTCTGGTGCTATGTATCAATAGGTGCTTCTTATGTGCTTCCTTTGCTAGGTTTGCTCAATGTTTTATATGTGGCAATAATGGTATATAGACAAAACTAGCTTGCCTTAACGTTTACATGTATTTGTATTTATATTATCACTTTATTTTGCTGAATGTCAAATTTTTTACCCCTTGCATTTGCAAAAATTTGTCTTCAAGTTATACATCATTTAAAAAAAATAGACAGGTGTTGAGTTGACAAATATCTTAGCAGGCACTTACAATGTGTTTACATGCTGTTTTTGTAAAACAATCAAGAATTTCTACAATTTACTTCAGCTTTTGATTAAATAAGTCACAATTTATGTATACAACCTTATAAACCCTTACCCTGCTGAAATAAGAATTTATTTGTCTTTGCCTCCAGTATAGAGCCTGTCAGCTAGGCCAGCATGGACACACCCATGTAGTTTGATGCAATCCTTTACTGGTGGTTCACTAACTTTTATTTCTATATGCCTAAAGTTGCTCAACAAGTTAAGCAGTTCAGTAGGTTAAGGACATACACTTGAAATGTTCTGCTGAAGTATACAGATAGTAGGTATTGCTTTCTTAATGTGCTATTTTAACATAACTTTATGGTATGCATATTTGTACAGTTTGTTGTTTCAATTTGAAGTTTAATTACTAGAGTTTCTTAGATACTGTTATTCTGTGATTAATCTATGTGCCAAAATTTATATTGTTTTGTTAACTCTTGCAGTCTGTTAACACTTGTATTTGTCCTTAGATTTGAAGTGGTTTATTTTACAGATGATTGTTAAAGAATGACTATATATTGAAGGCTTATGTGAGATGTTTGATGACTATAGCATGTGTTGTTACAGGCTGTTATGTCAGTGAAATAATTGTTAGCTGATTAGTGTGGTGGTATTTTTTTGTGACAATAATTGAAGTCAGAAATGAAAATGCTGCCCCCTAACTATTAGAATTGATGAGATTTTACTTGTTTTCTAAATTTTTAATGTAGAATTCATAGAGTTTGATGCAAAATAAGAGACTTTTTCATTTAACTTTTAAGAAATCCTCATAAGTTTACAAGTCTTTTTTATCACCTGAAATACTTACTCATACTGTTTATTGAATTTACTATTGCAAATTAGAGAAAGTCAATTTGACAGATTTCTTGTTAATATTATCATCTTGATTTCACTCCAAATTTGATGAAATAAGTAAATCTTGTAACAGTGATTTATGAATATGAATTAATACTAAAAGCTCAGTTTATTTGATTATCCATACTATGACAATCTACTCATAATATGATACACATGTATACTTATCTGTTATTATACTCTACATGTAACATTCACATGTATACTTATCTGTTATTATACTTTACATGTAACATCTTATTGTGATGTAATATTTTCTATGCCAGTATCTCTAGTAACGATTTTTATGATGCTGTATTTATGTCTACCATTGTTTAACCAGCTCTACCGTACTTGCCAATTGTTTTAAGGGATACATGTATATACACCCAGTTTTAATAGACAAGCTTATTCTTTTAAAGAATATTTACACCCAGTTCTACTGGACTTAGCCATTGTTTTAAGGGATATTTACACCCAGTTCTACTGGACCAGCTTATTGTTTCAAGGGCTTTCAAAGTCCAGCTTTTCTGGACCTCCCCATTGTTTTAAGTGATATCACCATATGATATACAGAAACAGAGCAGGCAATCATGCACTGAACTAATTAACAAATGCAATGCTTGTAAATTTATATATGTGTTAATGGACAAGCTCTTTAAAATTTCATTCATTAACATAATACACATAAAAATAAATTATACAGATAATAAAGGCCTGCTTAATTTAAGAAGTTAGTCTATAGATTTGATTTTTTTCTTTTTCTGGTAGATTTGTTGATCTATTTTGCCTCTTCAGTAAATATACTTTTATCTATAATCAATAATGCAAATCACCTAACCTGGCTTCACTTGAGTAATGAAAGCTGGAATATTTTAGTACCCAACCCCCTCTTTGTCTTATATATTTATAAACTGTTAGGGAGATAGCTGTAGGCATGGGCTATAAGTGTTTGATAAATTGATATAATATCTAAAAGCAAGGGGCTGAAAGGGCATAATTTAGCTCACCTGACCTTAAAGTGGTCTGGTGTGAGTATTTGTGATGATATAATGTCTGTGTTTCATTGCTTTAGTTCATTGTCAGTTGTTTTCCACAATTTCTTTAGTCACAAACTTCTACACCACATGATAGATTTTGACCAAATTTCACAGGAATGGTCATTAGATGGCTCATTACAAGAATCATGTAAATGGTTCCAGTATGATGAAATACTAAGAGCTAAGACATCTGGTGTGTATCATCATCACCTGTGGTCTACAATGCCGAGAGCCCAGATATTTTACTTGTAGTATTGCTTAGAGGACCTCTAGTCTACACAAGTTTGATAATTCATGGCGGACAAAAATTGCCCTGTAATGGGGTCACATAGATTACAAAGACTTACATAGAAAAACACAGTATTCTGCAGAACTACAATGTCCAGAGCTTAGATCTTTGGCATATCATACTTGTAATTCCTCTTTAAAATTTAAATCATATCCCTAGGATCAAAATTGCCTTAGGGTCACTTTGTTTATATTAATTGATATGGGTACATACAGGTCTGAGACCTAGTGACCTTCTAGTGATGAATAATGACCATTTCTAGTAATGGATTTCAGGTGAGCAATCTAAGGCCATCATGGCACTCTTGTTCTTTTATCAAGAGTACACTGTTTAATAAAAAACAGTTTTTGCATGCCTTCAACTTTTGATATTTTAAATGTATGTGTTTATTACGTGTTTTCCTGGCAATTATATGCTTTCTTTTAAGACAATTTTAAATTGTATAAAATAATCTGTATAAACAGATAATGGACTGTTTGTCAAATGTCAAAAGTGATAAAATGAATTAAATAAAGTGAAAAAAAAATCTAATTGTTGCTTTTGTGTCTGTGGTAGTCCAGTTTAAATGGATGGTAGCATGTGGAGACAATGTCTGTTCTTTTTATAAGCCTGAAAAAAATTTGGCATATGTTGTTAGGCACCTGGTTGTCCTCCATCTTAAACTGTCAACAATTTTGTGTCCTGTCTGTATCTTTTGAACCAGTAGAAGGAAACTGAAACTACTTGGCAGAAATGTTAACCATAATAAGGACATGTTCAGAGCGCAGGTTTGACCTTCCTCAAATAAAGGTCAATGTCAGACTTAGTAATTTTGTATGCATTCTCTGTATCTTTTGAACCGAAAGAAAGAAATTAAAACTATGGCAGAAAATATAATAAGAGGATGTGCATAATATAGGTTTGGGCTTCCTGAGATCAAAATTGCCCAATTTCTTGGGTATACTTGATTTATAGACTTCTATAGGAAAACACATTTATGTTTCATTGTGTGAAACTGCAATGTCTACAGCTTAGATATGTAGCTTTTACAAAACTTATGATTTTATGAATCATGCATCTTGGTTCAATATTGACCCCAATGCGGGGACACTTGATTAATATAGACTTATATAGGAAAAATACATCTGAGACTTACTGTGTGTAACTACAATGCCAAGAGCTTAGACATTTGACAAGTAAAGTCACTAAGTTGGCAACAACATAACTGGAATTAATCATGCCTCTTGGGTCAATATTGGTCACTGACCAAGACTCATAACTCTAGGATGGATTTTACTTGGTAACTTCACAAAAAGGTTTTCTGTGTCAGTGGAAACAATTAAGATGCCCAAAAGAAACTTGTATAGTCCAACATTCCACAGCCCTTCTGTTTCATTACAAGATGTAACATCAAAGCTACAAAATAACCTATTTATAAACAGTGTTGTTATGTACCTGTTGATTGCAATTCTGCCTCCCAATCCCTGGCGGTGTTGAATATAGTGGGGAAAATGAGCCAAATTTTTACATTTCGTTTGTCTCAAAAATGGTTCATGCTGTGATTTTGATTTTGTGGCAAAATAGTCTGATATATTTCCAACTTGTAATTCAGGGGCATTCAGCTAAGATTTTAGGTTCTGACTGTTCCCATATGCTAGAATCCTTTATCCAGGTTTGATAGACAAAGTTCATAAGTATATTTAGCACTTGCTTTCAGAAATCTTTTTTGAATTTAGCAAGTTTACAGGCATGTTATTTTTGGCATATTTCATCACTTTTATATAAAATTTTAACACATGTTACAATTATTTGTTAATTTGATCCTGGGTATTAGGACAAGATTAGCAAATAATCGGTTACTTTTAATCCCTTAATCTTGCGTCATTTAAAAACCTTTCTTCTGGATTAACTTATATATAAATCATTTGTACATGCAGCCCAGATTCAAAGTACAGATTACGTTCTTCATAAGACAAACTGCTCACCTGTTAATTCATCAAATTTTGTTACAAGACTTGTATCTTTACAATTATAATGAAATGTCTTGTTTTAAACCGATTTTAAATTATTTTCACAGTTTCACTGTTACCTATATAGTTCTGAAACAACTTGATCAAGTATGACAAATTAAGAGCTCTAATGTATCTCAGATTTAATGATGAAATGAAAAAAAAAAAAAACCAAAAAACATAGTATCATAACAATGTAGACACTAGGGTGCTTTGTGTTGTTTTATGTACCTTAATCAGCTTTTGTCTCCTATCAGCTTCTTTTGTATTTTTTCACCATTTGACTTTTTGTCATACTGGAAATCCAATCCAAGAAGTATGATCAAAAGGCTTTCAGTCTACATTTCCTTTTTTATCTACATGATATATGACTTGTATTTGTTGTTCATTGACCACAAGACTTAAGTCTGTGAATAGAAAAATAATGAAGAGAGTAATAATTTATGATAGGATGATAAAGCAGTGAACTTTAACCCTAATACCATGTTAAATACTTAAAATGCACTGGTCAGTCTTTCAATTAGGACAAAGCCATTTATCATTTAAAATAAGCAATGACTAAATAGAGGACAGTGCAGACTAAATCGTACAGCACAGATGTGCAGGCTGATGTTCACATTGGTAGAATCAGTTGCCATCAGAATGGTTAGAGTTAATGTAATTTACAAAGAGGACAATAATATTCTTGAGATAAAAATAAATCAATTTAATTTCAAAAGTAAAAACTTTGTACTTTAATGAAACTGTGCCAATTATGTAAGTAATAATGCTTCCAAAAATTTAATCACCAGTTCTTTGGGATTAACTAATTTATATTATTTTCTTGCCAAGTGTAAGATTATGATAAAGTAATCTTTCTTATTGTGATTGAAAAAGCATATTGCACATTAAGAAGTTAGTTTATAGAAGGGAAAGAGACTGTGCAGATCATATTTAGAAATAGAGTAAGATTTACAGTTGAAATCATGAGAACCATTTTACTTGTTACTGTTTTATCCTGTCTTCTGCTGCTCTCACAAGCTGCTTCAACTAGAGGTAAGATTTTATCTTAAATCTTTTGATATTTAAGGACTATTTTTACTTAGGCTTCCTTGAACTGTGTAAAAATTAATTAATCATTTAAAGACTTGACAATATGATAATTATGCCAAATACATAAATGTGTTTCTATATATATTATTGGATAAACTGAAGTTAATCATTTTCTTTCTATAGTACTAATTTTCAAACATTGGAATGGAAATTGAACCATTCATCACAATGTATCAGAAGGGAATAAAATCATTAAATAAAGCAGATTAATCTCATTACAATATAGTCAGCTTTATAGCATAAACTAATCAATATTATTAAATATGACTCCGCTTAGAAGAAGACTATTATGTATTCAATATTGTAATTATAATAGAGGTCTATTTCAACTTAGAGAATCCAAGGACAGGTCTCTTTTTTTACCCTAGGAGCATAAATCTTTGAGCTTTGATGAAAACCATGTGGTAATGCTACATACCAAATATCAAAGCTCTGGACATTGTACTTTCTGAGGAAAAGGCATGTTCCTTCTCAACTAATTGAGTCGACAAGGATTTTCACACACTTGGTCCTTGACTTAATGAGCTCAAAACAATTGTTCTCCCCATTGTAATTGTTCTATTACCCGCATAAAATCATTTTAGCCACATAAACCACTCATTGAACAAATACAAGTATTACAAATACAAAAATTTACCAACTAGTTGTTCTCATAGCCAATAAGTATCCATTTTTCTGTATGAATACAAACACTGAGGGTAAACCTCAAGTCCCATCCAGTAAACTGTTAGGGGAACTAAAAAAAACAACTACATAGCTATGAAACTTGACCTGATAAGCTTGCTTGTGACACTTCATGCAAATTTTAAGTTTCAAGTTAAAAAACAACTGTTCAGGATTAGTTTAAACAAATTTATTTTAATTTGATTGTGCTTGAAGCTATAAGCTTATTGAAACACGCTTGAATCTGTTCCTGGAACTAACAAGTACATGTACTTAGTAATGAGTGTAAAGTTCTGACTTCATAGGTATTAAAGTAAATGTAAATTTCAAGACATTTTTAATACATTGTACAAATAGGGGCACAACTTCGGCAAAATTCAGAATTCTGAAAGTTGGACTACTAAGCTTGCTTTGATTCTTCATATACATTTTGAATTTTCAAATGAATTTTATGTTTCAGAGATAATTAATAACATGTTAGTTTCTGGACATTTTCTAAGTAAAAAAGGGGGCATAACTTTGTTAAGAAACCTTTTGAAATATAAGTTATAAGGTTTTAGACTCTCAAAAACAAAACATCAGAAAAAAGCAATCTTTAATATTTGTTTTTTATATCTGATGTTGTAGAAGAAGTAAATGAGGTACACAGGGAGAGACGGGAAGCCAGACCAGTTGATTTTGTTGACATGAGCCCAGAGTTGAGAGAGATTCTAGAAGGAGAGGAGGCCTCAGATGAAGAAGTTCTCCTTCGGGCCATGGGTCGCAACTAACAACAAACCATCTCAATTACATAATATATGGTTAGTTCCTTTCTTATCTTTTTTAGAGATATTTCTGTTTGTTTTGTTTTTTGTTGTTGGATTTTTAAACACATTAACACTGTAGACATTATAAACTCTCAAAATGGCAAGTTTTATACATAAGGACCAAGACTTCAGGATTGAGAACCTCCCTTATTGGATAGCTTAGCTACATGAAAAAAAGTCTGAAGTTCTTGATGAATCTTAATCCACAGTGGTGAGGGGCAAGTGATTTGAAGTCATCACCCTTTGATGCAATGCAATTATTATCAGATAATCCATCATTATTTAAGTACAGGAAATTGCAAAGCATGCATAAATTAATTATTTCCTATTATAATTAAATGAAGCTGTAAAAAATATGTCATTTGTAAATGATGTTTCTATAATACTTATAATACTATAATACAGTTTTATTTCAATTTTCAGAATTCAAACAATTTGGTACACCATAAAGAAGAAAAGACAAAGTCATACAAAGGCATTTTTAATATAAAAATATGAATTATGTGCATGTCTCAATATGATAAATAAATATATAATAATGTGACAACATCTCATCAATGAAAACATAACTTTCTAACCAGTCTAAAATTTGTTATATAAACCACTGACAAGACATATTTAAGACACTGGTTTAAAAAAGAGAACAATTTCAAAACTTGTAATCAGATAAATTTAAGGCATTCTCAGTAATTTCATGTAATATTTGGACAATATCCATTTAATTTACACACATTTTGTTTCTCTGTTTAAAACTACTGTTTTCTGTTGTGTTTCCATATGTGGTATCATTTAAAATACAAAACCTAACAAAAAAATATTACTGTTTTCAGAGCACTAGAAAATCATTCATGTCACATTTTATTAACAGCATAAAACATCACTTTGTTAAAGTAAAAATTTGAAGCATTTGTTGTTGTTGTTGTTTCTTTAAAAGTCCAACATGACATTATAAATGAGCCACACCATGACAAAACCAACATAGTGCGTTTGTGACCAACATGGATCCGCGCAGTCTGATCAGGATCCATGATGTTCGCTATCAGTTTCTCTACTTCTAATAGGGTTTTTAAGCAAACAGAATGGATCCTGATCAGACTGCATGGATGCCAAGGTTGGTCTGGATCAATGCTTGTCGCAAACACACTTTGTTGGTTTTGTCATGGGGCGGCTCAATTATGTAATTTTATTGAAATATGAGAAGCCAAGTTCATCTGACTATTTTTCATTATCTTCTGATGTACAAGAATTACTTGTATATTCCCAATGACTGTCTGAATAGGAGTAGTGAAGAAACGCTATATTTTTATAAAACAGATTAGGTCCCTTTAAAGAATATTGTAAAGCTTGCTATGTACAAAATTTTCTTATTTTAGATTCTACTGGAATATGACTAAAATGAACACATCTCTAGCACTAACAGATTCTGTGTTTTAAAACGTTACAAAAAATAGCTAAAAACAGTAGTTGTAATATAATGTGATAGATGAATGTTACAAGTAAACTATAATACTTGGCAAACATTTTCTTTTTTTTTAATTCTAGTAAGAAAAATATCATATATAGCATTACAGTTAATAATAATACAGATAATAACATAACAGTTAACTCTAAACAACTACATTACTTAGTCAAAAAGGTTTCAAATAAAACAGAACACACTTTTGTTATTAAAACTGCATGCCTCATGATGTGCAAAACATTTCAAGTTTCAACTCATTCCCTTTAGAAGTTTTAGAAATACAACCTTGCATGCAGAAACTAAAGTGTGATGGGAAAGCAGGTTGAGTGCAATGGCTCTACCTTTTAATCATATAGTCAAGCTAAAAAATAGAAACTAGCATTTCTCAAGAAAGCAACTAACAAGAATCTTAACAAAGTTAAGGAAATTTAAAAAAAAGAACAAGTGCTGTCATGTAAATGACAAATGCCCCCCAAAAGGTTTCATAAGTAATCTAGAAAGGTATTATGAAAAGAAAAGAGAATAAAAGTAACTACTTGCTTAATATTGTTCTCGTGAAATGAAGTGCTATTCATAGAAAAATTACCACCTTGACCTTGGAGGTAGTCTATTGACATGGGTCTTTGATGCAACAGGATGTCTTGATAAGGTAGACATCTATGCCATGTTATTTTAATATCCTTCAATGCATGACAAAGTTACAGTCTGAAATGAAGGTGTACGTTCAAAGTCTTATTGTGAGAACGAGTACCTTCAAACTGTAAGTGTGACCTTGACCTTGGAGGTTGGAACATGGCATGACACAACATCATGATGTGGTTGACATTTTTCCAAGTTGTTTCAAAATCATTCAAGGCATGACAGTTAGTCTGGACAGGAAAGTTATGTTAGTGGGGATGCACAGAAAGACAGAGAGTGTGCCCCTTAGGGGACATAAAAATGTCCTTAATAAGAATTTGACAAAGGGAATATCCATCTCATAATCATTGTTAATACACTATTTTACAGCAAAAATCATCAAAGATATTTATCGATCCATACCCGTTAAAAAGTTTTGATATTGCAGTTAAAAAGTTTTGATATTGCAAATTTAAAAAAAATAAAAAAATTTTATGGATCCATTTTTCTTTTCATGTCAGTTATCCAGCTTGTTTGATAATTTTCTTGTATGTTTGGATATATTTACTGTTAAGGATGAACACCTCTACAACCTATACTATGGTACATTTTTTACCAGCATCTTTCATAAATACACTGTATAAAACAGTCTGTGATTTTAAACTTCTTGTTTTTGTTTTCACTGCACTTGAGGAATCTCCCTATTCCAGTATTTATAAATTAGATCTGCAGGGGAGTAGCAGTGGAGATTGCATGGTTTAGAGATATTGTGTTAACATAAGTTAACAAATTGAGTATAAACCAATAATTACAGAGCCTTATGTCCAAATGTATTTCCCATAAACAAAATTGTAAGACATTTGAACCTCTTATTAAAAGGCAGGTACAGCAACAACTAGAAATGTGTCCACAGGACACAGGTGTCCCCACACTCCACTGTTTTGTCAGTTTTATTACTCTGGGTCAAATATGTTTGGGGCTTCAAGTGACACAAGTTCAAAACTAAAAATCCTTTACTAAGTCAAGGGCAAGAACTTTACAAATACTGAATAAATCCACAAGCAAACCCAGGTGAACAGCTTCACAGTGATGTTGCTCATTATTCCTGTTAAGTTGGTTGATTCTAACTCAAGCACTCAAAGGACACAAAACACAAAATAATTATATCGAATTTACTAAGTCAAGGGCAATAATTCTGAAATATTGAATAAATCTACAATCAAACCCCCAGGTGCACAACTACACATGCCAACCAACATTTCTGTAAAGTTTCATAACTTTAGGTCAAATACTTTTTGAGCTACAAACGACCCAAGTTGAAAATTGAAATATTTTACTAATGCATGGACAATAACTCTAGAAATACTGCATTAATCCAAAAGCCACCGGTGCATGCTGACCAACATTCCTATAAAGTTTCATGACTCTAGGTCAAATAATTTTTGAGCTACGTAAGACACAACATGAGAATGGATGGATAAACAAGGGTAAATCTAAATGCTACCCCCCCACCCCCTATAGTGGGGGCACAAAAATTTAAAGGAGACAATTTTTCAACTATTTACAGACAAAAGTGATTCAAATTCTTTCAAGATATCTATGGCAAATCTTTACATTAAATGTTTGTATAAGTAACAAATAAATGGTACAGTTAAAACAGTATGATTGGATTTTCTGGACATAGATAATACTGTATTGAGGAAAAGGAATCATAAAAGTTGATAGTTACAACTTACAACTTATGTTCAGATTCTTAATTTAAAGAAAATAAAACAACCTGCAAGTGTAAGAGAAAATAACATTAAGGTAAGATGACAACATTGCATTAATATACGAAAACAAGAAACACATCTGAAAAAAAGAAGATATGTATATACAAAATTAACATTATAACTACATTATAACTAAACTAACAAAATTAAGATTAACAAAAACAGCATATTGATTATTTTAAGCAAACTTTTAAATAATGTTAAAACATCTTTTTGGACCCAAAAACTCTTTTAACTTTTGAATAAATTCATCGACACAAAAGAATATTAAGAATTTTTTTTTTACTAATATTACCACTAGAATACCACAGATTATGAAACAAGCTACTTGCTTGTGTGCTCTATCAGATATTACCATTTTAAAGGCTTTCAAGATTATTGATGAAAATTGTGGATGTTAAAAAGTGATTTGTAATTCAGAAGCTTAAGAATATATTTGATCCAAATTTAAATGTCCAGAAATAACTAAACTTATCAACAGAGACCATACAACTGTAACAAACAATATAACAATTTTTTATTTTTATTTATCAAACATAGAACATTTGCGTAACATTTCGCATATCTTACACTGCCCTTAAAAACAAACATTAAAATATTGTGCTCTTAACAATAAAATGTATCCATACAGGTTCCTTGAATTGCTGAAGAATGAAAAAAATATATATTAAGTCTCTTGTAATTTGAATAACCCGTATCTCTAATTCTCTTTCTTGTCTGAAGAAGGTATTTGTAAATCTGGTTGCCCGTTTGATGTATTGGATACATAGTCTCTAGCACAACATCTTGGGAACCATCCTCGTTCACGTCTTTTTCCTAAATATTGTAATTACAGAAAATTATAAACTTGATATGAACAGGTTTATTTTAATTAGAACTTGAGATGTTTGTAAAACATCAAACATTTTCTCCCTAGACAATTAAACTTGAGGTCTCTTAATTAAAAGTCCTTAGCAATAAATTCTTAATCAATTCTAATTTAATAGGAAACGTTTTGAGTAGCATAGCAACCATATCTATAAAGACTATAAATAATTCAGCTTATGCTTGCATGAAGTCCACTTTTTCACTTTAACTATGTTACTTGTACATTTACATTGTAAAATGTATTGGTATCTATTCTTAGTTAGCTGATAGTTTTTGTTTATGAACAAAGTATTTTATTTAATTTACCTGAAGATTTTTCATTGTCAGTCATACATTTTGTACCATACAGCCACTTCCTGAAAGAAAATAGAACAACATTGATTGTAAAGTAATCTCTAGTCAACATACTAGCCCATAAATCATTTATCACTTGAATATGTATTTTATAACAATTTATATTTAAAACAAAGTCACATGAATGTTGGGTAAATGGGGACGCACAGAAAAATTGACAGACGGTGCAATTTTAATAAAAAAGCATTTAAAGCATTAGTTTAATAATATTTTATTGCAACTATATAATACATGTCAGATATGAATAACACACAAAAAAGAAACAAATGTAAATATAAGTATAGTGCAAATGGGTTGGGCTACAAGTTATTACAACATTAGCAATAGCCCTTCCCTTAAAAAAGCATGTCAGCCAATTCTAATTTAACTATGACTATCACTACTGTTATGTTTTACTCAGAAGCTTAGTGCTATTTAGGAGCTGATTTTAATGAAATTGAAAAATAAACAAACACAGACACATAGTATCATACAGTTGGGGAAGAAGTTACAGTAAACTAAACATCTGTTCTTTTTTATCAATAACTAAATGCAAAGTATAAATTTGAATGGAGCAAGAGTCACCTGTTGATTCCATAGATATTTGTAATGTTAAAATTCTTTACAGAAGAAACATGGAAAAAGTATTTGCCTTATTTACTTTGAATTTATATACCACATTATTATAGTACATCTACATATTGCATAAATATATAAGTTAACAGAAATATTGAAATAAAATAAATATATTTTGTAAATAAAATATTTTTTATATATATTAGTGCTACTTACTTTTTCCACCTGGTAACCTTGACGATATCTCCTTTCTTTACAGGTATCCTTGGTTCATCTGTACATGGTATACCACAGCACATGCCACACCCCTTTGATAGTGGGAACAGAGCACCAGAATAGTCATCTACAATAATACACTCCTGTGTTCTGTCTCGCTTTAAAGCTTTCTGTTTCAACTGTTCTTCCTACATAAATATATCAACATTAATCAACTACACATAAATCAGTATATTGAACATGTGTACATCTGTTTCAACTGTTCTTCTTACATAAATATAACAGCATAAATCAATATATATAGTACATGTGTTCATCTGTTTCAACTGTTCTTCCTACAAAATTTATCACAAATATATCAACATTAATCATAATATAGTACATGTGTACAGTCATTTTCAAATGAAGCTTGCACATCAGAATAACACATACTCGTACATGAACATGCCGGATTTCCTTATTCCCCCCCCCCCTCCCCAAAAAAAGCAACAACAAAAGAAACTTAGATGAATATTATATTATGAATATAATTGTACTGAACATTAAATTAAAAACATGCCATTTTGCAAGTTTGTTTCTTTCCTTAGCAATCAGTAAAAAAAATATGACTCATTTTGAGATTCATTGTCACATTAATATAGAATAGATTCTACATCTGCTACAACTATTTTTATTTTACAGTGCTTTTAAACTCCTTTCCAGTGTAACTTACAGTAAATGTAAACTGATCGCAACCATCTACAACATCCCAGGTGAACCCATCTGACTTCGGTCTACCAGACCATGTGAAAACTTGAGCAAGATTTTTCCTCCAGCCCAGATGATAGGGATATATAAAATCTTCTTCTTCCTCCTCATCTCTGTCCCTGTCCTCAGCCTGTTGTATATATACATAACATGTATCTCTGTATGTACATCTTTAACATTCATTATAATGTATAATTGATATTAATCATGGACAGCAACATTTGACCTTTACCTTGCTAAATTTATTTCATGGAATCGGTCAACTTTTACTATCTTATGGGATAAAATACATAATGGGCATGATAGCACGTATGAGATCCATTTCTAGAAAATGTCTTAACATCTTTCAGATCATTATGGTCACATTTTGATTTCACACAATAAAGTGAACTGGCGGTGCAAAGTTGTAGACTGAAGCTACATGTTTTAAAAGTAGGTCTCTCGGTTATCATTGTTGTTTCCAAAAGATGAATTAAAATTGTGTTTACCATATCAGTCTATGTAAACTACTAGGTTTATTTTTAGAAAAAATTCAAAGATTCATGTTACACGTATGCAAATTTGTAAGAAATTCTATTTGGATATCTAATGTCTTTCTGTAATAATGGCATATATTTCAGCAAACCTTCAGACTGATATCACATCTTTTATTATTTTTTTATAACTTAGTTTGTTGAGAACATTTTGTAAGAATTTATTACCTTTTCTATTATCCATGTTTCTATCCCCGTCTCATTCTTTAAAATACTTTTAAGCTGGAAAAACATCAGTACCGGTAATTGTAACAATAGAACTAAACATTGAAATATCAACATCTACTGTAATCAATTCTAATGTAAACAGAAATGTTTTGATTTAAACAATACTCGCCAGGGTCTTTCAAATAGAAATTTTCTATTTGAAAGACCCTGTACTGACTTTTTATAGTTAAAACTAATATTTAATGTAAGTACAATTTGATTCATAAAATACTGATATGTCTTGGAAATGTAATGAATTATTTTAACTTAGACACACAATTAAAACTTAGAGAACTTCATGTATAAGATAGAAATGTAATGAAAACTTAAAGAATAAACTATATGATATAGAAAAGAATAACCTACACAACATAGAAAGTATAATGGATAATTGCAGAATTACCTTTATCTATATAGCAGAAATGTCTTAGAAACTTAAGAATTACCTATACATCAAAGACATTTCTTGATAAATAAAAGATTTGAAACTAGAAAAGTGCTCCAAATTCATTTTCGAGTCACAGTTATTACCTAGTTAAGCATATATCATAAAGGTCACTGACCTTGACCTAATGACCTCAAAATTTCCTGGTTATTACCAATTTTAACAAACCTAGGCCTATTTTCTCTTAAGATTTTAATCAGACATAGATTTTACACACAGTTTTTAAACAAGAATTTTACACAAAGTGTCATTGTGACCTTGGACCTTGACTTATGGCCTCAAAATCAATAAAAGTAATCTTAGTTTCATAATTTTAGGTTTATTCCTTCTCAAGCTGTTTAATGGACAATAATTATAAGCTTAAATAAATGTTGAGATGGCCAAATGTGACAATGTCCATCTCAAGTTTCACTAGGCTTATTCCATGTTAAGTTATTGATCAGACAAGAGTTTTACACAAATTATCACTGTGACCTAGACCTTTGACTTAATGACCTCAAAAACTATAGGTGTCATCTGCTGGCAATCGGCAATGTCCTTACTAAGTTTAAATTAGACAAGGACGTTTACAGTGTCACTGTGACCTTAAACCTTGATCTAAAAACGACCTCAAAATCAACAGTGGTCACCAACTAGCTGTGGATAATGTCCCTGCCAATTAATATGAACCATGACTTCATAAGTAATTGATCAGATAAAATTCATTTGTCATTAAAATTTGTCTGATGAGTCTGTCATTTTTGTTTTTATTTAAGACTTAAGTCAGCCAAAAATGCATATTGGCCAACAGACAATGCATGATACATACAGACAGGACTTTAAAAAATTCCTGGGTATCATTTTTATATTGAATAAACAACAGATGTCTGTAACACTTACCTGTATTACTAACAACAATCCTACAGCAATAATAACTCCTATGGCAAGACCTATTGCAAACATACAACATAAAAATCCTCCTATACCTAGATAAACTAAATGATCTCTACTACCATAATGCAGATACCATGTCTGAAATGTAAAATATAAACAGTTGGATATACAGCATCAACCAAGAATCTATCAGGGTTTAAAACGTATTATCTCATATAAATCTATTTGTAACAAGTATTCTGCTCTTAATACTGAAGATTGTATCTTTCTATATAGTGAACTGAATATGAAATGACTATTAAATTTTCGCTTAACAATATCAAATGAACATACTTGTTTGTTTGTTTGATTGGGTTTTATATCACACTGACACAGTATAGGTCATATGGCAACGTTCCAGCTTTACTGGTGGAGGAAGACCTCAGATGCCCTTTCATGCATTATTTCAGGCACGAACAGGCACCCCGAGTAGAACCACCGAAGTTCCGTAAGCTAGTTGTTAGCTTGAAAGCTTTCTCACATGAAAGAATCCAAAGTCCCTGTCCGGATTCGAACCCACAGCGGTGAGGGGCAAGTGGTTTGAAGTCAACGACCTTAACCACTCGACCACCGACGCCCCCTTTACATGTACTCATAAAAGAAGATATTTTGTATTTTACTATATAAGCCAATGTAAACTAAGTTACCCCTAGGGTGGGGCCATTTTTTACACAAGGGACATGATTCATATAGCTTTTGTAGAGGACCACAAGGTGATGCTACATGCCAAATATCCAAGCTCTTGGTAGTTTCTGAGGATATTTTTAAAGACTTCATTTTTAAAGTCTATTTTTAGCTCCTGTGACCTACTTATGCATTAGACTGCAACCAGATACATAACTTTTGCAGAGAACCACCTAAAGATCACTTCTGTGAAGTTTGGTCAAAATCCAACCTGTGGTTTAGGACTTATTGTTTAAAAAAAAGTGTGGACAATGGCAGACGACAAACAACTACACACTGCCATTATAAAGGCTAACATCTGAGCACTTTGTGCTCAGGTTAGCTAACTATGGAGATGTTGCCATTTTCCACATATTTTCTGGCTTGTTAAGTCAAGTTATAAAAGTGAGATATTTTTTTCATTTCATAAACATGTGTAGACTTAATTAAAATAGTAATGAAATTTACCACAGCTGTGCTTTGTAAGACATATTCAACTAGAAATGTGTCCATAGGACACGGGTGCCCCCACCGCGCCACTGTTCTGTCAATCTTTTTACTAAGTCAAGGGAAATTACTCTACAAATACTGGATAAATCCACAAGCAAAACCCCAGGTGCAAATCTAAAATATGCTGAGCAACCTGCCTATAAGGTTAAATGACTATGTCAAATCCTTTTTGAGAAACTTGCGACACAAGTTGAAAATTGCAAAAATTTTCTAAGTGAAGGGCAATAAGTCTAAAAATACTAAATATATCCAGACGAAAATACCTGGTGCACAACTGCACATGCTAATCAATATTCCTGTAAAGTTTCATGACTCTAGGTCAAATTCTTTTTGAGTTACCTGCGACACATGTTGAAAATTGCAAAATTTTACTAAGTCATGGGCAATTACTCTGAAAATACTAAAAATATCCAGACGAAAATACCCAGGTGCACAACTACACATGCTGATCAACATTCCTGTAAAGTTTCATGACTCTAGGTCAAATACTTTTTGAGTTACGTGCGACACAAGTTGAAAATTGCAAAATTTTACTAAGTCAAGGGCAATAACTCTGAAAATACTAAATATATCCAGACGAAAATACCCAGGTGCACAACTACACATGCTGATCAACATTCCTGTAAAGTTTCATGACTCTAGGTCAAATACTTTTTGAGTTACATGCGACACAAGTTGAAAATTGCAAAATTTTACTAAGTCAAGGGCAATAACTCTGAAAATAATGAAAATTTCCAAACGAAAATACCCAGGTGCACAACTACACATGCTGATCAACATTCCTGTAAAGTTTAATGACTCTAGGTCAAATACTTTTTGAGTTACATGCGACACAAGTTGAAAATTGCAAAATTTTACTAAGTCAAGGGCAATAACTCTGAAAATACTTAAAATATCCAGACGAAAATACCCAGGTGCACAACAACACATGCTGATCAACATTCCTGTAAAGTTTCATGACTCTAGGTCAAATACTTTTTGAGTTACATGCGACACAAGTTGAAAATTGCAAAATTTTACTAAGTCAAGGGCAATAACTCTAAAAATACTAAATATATCCAGACGAAAATACCAAGGTGCACAACTTGACATGCTGATCAACATTCTTGTAAAGTTTCATGACTCTAGGTCAAATACTTTTTGAGTTACGTGCGACACAAAAGTGAACGGACGGACGGAAGGACGGACGGAAGGACGGACGGACAGACGGACGGACGGACGGACAAGGGTAAATCTAAATGCCCCCCACGTTAATGCCCGCCACTAACGTGGGGGCACAATAAATGAAAAATTGTGTAAAATCCTACATGTCCTTTAATATTAATATCTATATATATCTTAGTGATAATCAGAGAAATCTTACAAAATTAAGAGCCTTGTAAATACTTGGAATCAGTATAAAGAGAGCATGTAAACATCCACATGGAGCAAAAAAGAGAAAGTAGGTGAAGTTGCCATGGTTAAAATGTCCACAACATGTGTTGATCCATGGGCAATGATGGTCCATCTTCATAACACATCTGAAATTCATAAATATGTCTGTATATTATTTTGAATAAGAAAATTTTAATATGTGGATGTGTAAACTACATTTTTCTGTATAAATGTCATAATAACCAATGAATTTCATTTGACTACAAGCACAAAAGATTTCCATTACAAAAAGGTGCCATAAATGATTGTACTTTTTCACATCTCTCAGACCATTCACAAGAGTATTAAAGTATGCTACATGTATAATATGTTAAACCAATTTTCATAACTGTGAGTAACTGTACACTCAACACTGTAGACTGGAATATGATTTATATGCAGACAATATTTTGGGGACTATTCGCTGGTCCCTGTCTACTTTGGTCTCTTTAGACTGGCAAATACTCGAGTGTAACACAATTACTGGCTTCTTCTGTGATAGTCTTCAAATAGTGACTCACTTGTATAAATTTGTCGATGTTTCCTGGGTGTATAATGTAAATCTATTTCTGTTTAAATTAATACATTGCAAGATATCTAGAATTGTTAAGAATTTTCAATTGTTTTATGTGTAATATTGGAAGACATAAAGTTTTTTTCCATTGAAAGGCATGCTTTTCTTCCTTACTTCAGAGACTTCAAAAAAAATATTTATAGATAAAGCATATTAATTACCCAGATTTCAATTAAATTGTTTAAATTCTGCAGTTTGATATTTGTATATTTCATTAATTGGTGAATACATGTAATTACTACATTATAATGAAAATAAATCAAAGAACAAACCTATTAATTGTATAAATGCTGGTATAGCATGAAATTACAACACTTGAATCCAAAGAAACGCTTATAACATTCAATGTTCACCAATCAATTGAGGTATCTGCCTCTTGAGGTAAAGTCAGGAAATATACAACGTAGGAACATAAATGTGTGATAGACTATTTGCCTGTCTCATCCAGGGGAGACATACAAATAGAACATCCTTAGCATATGAAATCATCAACTCTCTAACATGTTGGCTGCCATCTTTAATGTTTAATAAGAGATAACTGTTTGAGTTCCTTTGACTAGAGATCATACATGTCTGTATGAATGCAAACAAGACTCATGTTGCTCCATGCCTCCAGATGAGCCAAAATATTTCATGAAATTTAAACTTGAGCAAATGCACTATTACATCAGCCCTACAGCAGCCATACAAATGAATTTGGACAAAAATGCTGTGTTTCATGCCGGAGCTACACGACATTCATATGCATTGCAAGGTTGCCGCAACGTTGCAGACTGATTTCTCAAAATGCACACTATTTCTGCAATTTTTTGACGGATTTTGGACGTCTCAAGACAATGGCAGACTCACGATTTCTAGAGGTTCTCATGTAAATGTTTGTCTTGCGAGCAACGCAGGTTTGTCGCACAAGCATCTTGCGGCTACAACGGGCCGTAATCAAATGATGTCACATGACAGATATACAAATCTGTCTAGATAGACTGAGAAATTGCCTGTGACCTTCCTTTGACACAGATTTTTCTACAAATCGTACAAACCAATTTCGTGCAGCTGATTCTTGTGGAATGATTTGACATTAAGATCACCGGATTAATAACCTATATCTTTGCAGCACAAGCATCTTGCAGCTACAACGGGCCGTAATCAAATGATGTCACATGACAGATATACAAATCTGTCTAGATAGACTGAGAAATTGCCTGTGACCTTCCTTCGACACAGATTTTTCTACAAATCGTACAGACCAATTTCGTGCAGCTGATGTGAAGAGGCTTAAGTTAGAATTTTCAAAAGTCTGTCAATTGGACAAGTGCTTAAAACCAGCTTCTATTTTATACAAAGCATCACTGCAGACAGTATGACAATGACAATGTAACGGGCTCAGGAGACAACAAAATTAAGGTGAATGTTATTTTAATAATAAGAGTATTTCAGTTTGTGAACATAAATGGGCTTACCTATCACATTTTCTACAATGATGAGATCGTGGTGCTTTGTAACTTTCACAAAGTTCACAATATTGCAATTTCTCGCAATGTTCCTTTCGCGCCTGAAATAAAGTTATGGAAAAACCTCTGTAAATATAACATCATTACATCTAATAACTGCACAATATGAAGAATAGCACTTGTACCATAATTTTGCACTTCTTAGAATAAATATCAAGCTGGTATGTTGTCAACGTATTTCAGTGTTTTTGATGTCCACATTTAGTCACATTGGTATATTGTTGTGTCAAGTCTTTTGTTGCATCAACATTTTCTTAAGCTCAAGAAACACAAACCAAGCTGAATTTCTTCCTTGGCATTTAAGATTTGGCATTTAAGATTTGACATATTTTTGAAAACGTAAATACCTGCAGATATCTGTAACACTCTGTTGCATTGTCCATTACAAAAAACTGACCAATGCAGAAATTGGAAGTTCCAAAACATTATTAGTATACACATATTTATTTAAGCTTGATTGTGAAACTAATTCTTGCAACTTATATTAATCACTTTTGAGAGATCACTGTACATGCCATTTTCTGGGAGTGTATAGTATATATTTTAAAAGACAGTTATCTTTGCCCTCTCAGGGCTTTTTTCCCCTTCTATAGTAGGGGTCGTTTAAGGGCTGCTTCCCCAAAGAAAAATTCTTTAAAATCATGCAGTTTTCCCCAAAAATTGAATTTAAATAAAGTCTTTTCTTCCCCTTTTGTAATTATACCGTATAATTTTTCCCCAAAATTAAGGGCGCATTAATTGCTTCCCCAACCTGTGAAAAAAAGCCCTGCCTCTATAAACTCAGCACCGGTCAACTCCCAGGCCCATATTTGTATTACTGGTAAAATCAATGAAATGCATTATCTTTTTCTTTCTATTTTCATCAAATAATCATTTATGAAATACTGTTCATGACTTCTTCACACATTTACAGAAAAAAGGTTTACAAGTTTTATTGATGAACGTTACTATATACATGCATATCTGTACATTTGTGAATAAAGAATTTACTATTTTTTAGTACAGTTTAATATGTTTCTTAACTTTTTGGTAAACAATATTTTTTACATAGCATTGCAGGTTAAACATTACTAGTACTTTTTTATACATTTAAATACATTACAGATACTGAGTCCAACAAAGACGTTGCTTTGTTATATATTATTCTGAGCAAAACTATATCTTACCAAAATCACAAGTTCTGCATTGGTTTTTCTTGTGGAATGATTTGACATTAAGATCAGCGGATTAATGACCTATATCTTAATTTTTGACCAAGCATGGCCAAACATATTCTGTAACGGAACATAGGTCTAATATTTTGGACTATATTGTAATTGTTACAAATAATCAGGCATCGAAAAATATTTTCAAAATCACTTGTCCTGCAGGACGAGTAGCTTCTAAATTCAATGTGCAGGCAATATTTTCCGAATTGTTCTGTATCAAGTTCTCTTAAATTCTACTTTTAATTATGAGCAAATGAGTGGAATTTTTGATCTCTGTAAATTTTCAGACAATTACAGACAAAAGACAGAATCTAAGTAAAAAAGCTTTTTAATAGTGGGCCAAGATGACTTGTACTGTACCAAGTTGGCCTGTATCTTAGTCCTAATCATAAGACCTATATGTTGTTACCAGTGCTCTCTCTGAGTACTGCCAACCACTCTCGCAAATTATAGGCAGGAACCTATTTCATGTTTATCCTTCATTAATCTCATATTTTACATTTTGCATTTTGCATCTTAGCTTTGATAATATAAAATGTAAAATGTCACAATGATAAATATAAAATGTTAAAACAAAATTTTTTTACAGCTGATTATTTGGACATATCTGTACCTATGTACCATATATATTTTATCTTGAACTTTTCTTGTGAAAACAGGAAGTGGAATCATTGATACACTTCTACTTCTACATCATACTGCTTTAAAATTGTTAACGATCACTCTAAGCAGGTATATATTGTATACATTAAAGAGACATCTATGAGATACAAGGGAATCCGGGAACCAGTCCCTAGCTCTTATTGAATAGACCCCTTGGTTCTTTTACATGCCCAGTGTATAGCACTGATACATGCGAGGATTACCTGGATTTCTTACCAGTACACCTCTGAAAAATCCTAATGGTGTAACCATACATGCCATATCCCCCGCTGGGGGGCAAAAACCCCCGATTTTCAACAGTGTCTCCCGATCTCCTGCCGTGGGATCAAAATCCCCAGATTTTCAAAAATTCAACCAACAAAAAAATTAAAGCATCATTTTTACCACTAAACATAATTTAACGATAGACTTAAACAACTTTTACAACTATACATGCCTGAAGAAATATCTCCCCATTAAACAGCAGGGGTCTAACAAATAATTGCATTGTTGGTTACTCCGACACACTTCAGCTGTCAAGGAATACACAAACCAATGTATGACAATTCTCCTTTGATAAACCTGTCAATCAGTGTCAGTATTGCAGGTGCTTAACCAATGACAGCGTCCGATACTGAATGAGTGACGTATCAATTTTTTTTGGGACATGTAACCCCGCCTTGAGTTTGTCGTCGGCATTGGTAAGAAGTAGGGAAATGATGCAGATAAAAAAAATAAAGATCAGGTAATAGAAACTCAAAGAATCACAGAGTAGCATTGAATGTTTGAAACTATTATTTTTTATATTATGTATTTCTTATTATGTAACTGTGATCTATGTTGTTGCAAAAATAAAATAAACTAGCTTTGTCTCACGGTAACAAACAAACACTGAGGAAGGATTGAAAGAGGTAAAAATCTGTTTCAATCAGATAAATAATACCTGTTTTAACACCCAAAGGGCCAAAATAATTAAGTCCAATTATTATCCAGTAGTCAGTACACTCCAAACAACCTTTACACAACCCTTCATCAATTACACAGTTTACATGTATACAGGTATCAAGTGACGTAGGTCTAGACTCCCTACTGCCATATATGGTAAGCATGATGCTATCGATGTGTGTTAACAAATTGAGGTGTGAAGTACATAATGACCTGAGTAAACTGGATTAAGATTTGTGTCAGATTTTTTTTTACTGTTTATGGACCAGTGCCAACGGAAAATTTTTAAGGCAGCATTTTTTTTATTTCACCTTTCTATGTCTACAAAAATTCTCCGTTGATACCTTTCATTTAAAGAATATTTTTCATTTAAGGAGAAAAAACTTTGGCTGTTAAAGAATATTTAAGTTTAAGGATTTTGAATGCACGAAATTCAAGTTTATTTGTACTAAAATGATTCAATATATATCTGATATAAAAATAATAATGTATTTTATATGTCAGATATACATGCAATTAACAGGGATTCTTATTTTATTTACATCAAATATTTAAAGTACCTATGTTTATTTGCAATTGTTTACATATTATTCCTTCACACAGTCATGTATGTTAAAACTTGAAAATTTATATCAAATGATCTTGTAGAAATGTTCATTTTCATAATAAAATGGGGAAAATTTAATTATATGTTTGCATCGTTTTAAAATTACGACTGGTTTGTGCTTGCTTAAAAATCCCCCTACTTTTGGTCCAAATCCCCTGCTTTTTAAAGCCAAATCCCCCTATCTGGGTGGCTGGAAATATGGCATGTATGGGTGTAACCCAGGATTGAACCCAGGACCTCAGGAGTGATAATCAGTGGTTTAACCAACTGAGCTAACACTGTGAATATAAGCAAAAACTTAAAAAGGGAAAAGACTGACTTAAGTGAGTAGTGCACATGCAATTTCTTCAAAACCAGCATCAACAGATCAAAACAAGTTTCTAATACGAACTTACTGGTCTCCAGTTGAATGGTACAAATCCTGGACCTTTAATCACTGCTTGAAAATAATTCCATAATGTTAGAAAATTCCACATTATGAAAACAAGGAAATTTATAATGCCTCCATCAGTGTAGAGTGGCCAGTACATTAAAACACAATGTACAGTTATGGATGATATAAAAAAAATAATTGTAAGTGCCACAATTGGTCCCCAGTGAAAAAGCTGTCTGACAATCCTTAACACACCCATATTAAAAAGATGTCTATTGTGAAATATCAACTACTTCTACAAAAAGTTCAGTTTCATCAGGTGACAAACTGATTTCACTGTTTTATGAGTGACTGTATTGTCATGTTGATTCAGTTCCTGATTTTTGCGATATTTTAGCTCTTCCAAGCTTTTAGTTGGAGGTATAAAAATGTCTTCCAAGTTAATAAACGCTTAAATTCTTAACACCGCTAAATTTGACTCTTGGTCGATCATCAGTAAGTTGGAGTAGAGGGAACTTTAACCTTGCAATGACTTTCTTGTTAACTTTAATTAAATGGAATATCCGAAATTTAACAGGGAATTTTCATAAATTTGCATAATTAAAGAAATTGATGATTAAAATTAAATTATGAAAAAAGTACTTTTTGAACCTGAAAGTAAAAAAAAATCTTTCTTAACATTATTTGCCCAGTTGTTTTAGCGCAGCGACTTCAAAGAAAACTATTTAAGAACAGCAAATGCATTTGTGTGTTTTTTAAGTTTGTTTATACTCGTATATATCTTGTTTACCATCAGTAGTTATAAATGTCACGGGTCGTTTTATTTATTATATTCATTGTTCATTTTGCCGTGCACTGTTCGGGAAAATTATACTTAATGTCCGCGCATGCGTCGATTATCGTTTGTCTCTGTGGCGTCTGTTATCGCCACGATATCTATTATCGTCTGCTATTGTATTGTATCGGATGGTTCCGTAACACACGCTTATTAGCGGAAATTCACGGAAACGGCCGAAACAATTCAACTATGTTTACGTACAGGTATCTGGTGCAATTAATTTTGTGAACTGTTTTTGTATGTCAAATCGTGTTGTACGTTGTATGAAAGAGATTTGAGAGAAAGTTTTACATTGGTTTTTAAAATTTCCTTTCTTCCAAATTCCCGCGAATTTTCCTTCTCCAGCTCACTTTATACGATTACAGTATAGATATACCAAGTCTACTTAATATATGAATTCTATTTGTTTAGCTAATAGAATTTTTGGAAATATCTTATTATTAAGTTATTTACTTTTTGTATTGAGACGCTATGGTAAAATTATGTTCATTTCATTAATTTTTAAATTTAAATTAATTCTTATTTGCATCGTTCAATTGTTGTATTTTATGTATGTTTTAATCAACTTTATTTATTATATGTATTTATGTTTAGGCTGGAACATACGATAGTACATCCCAGGTTTAGGCTTTTTCTTCGTATATGTTACAATTAAATTGACGAACCTACGCCAGGTGTTCTAGTTATAATTCTAGTTATAATTCTACCCTGTGACATAAAGAACAAAGAATACAGCTCAAATATGACATGCTAGCTAGGGGAAAAATAACAACATTACAGTGGAGAAAAACACAAAATATGAGGAAATATTCGCACAAAGTTACACCTCTGCATTAAATAGTAAATATTAAAGTGAAAGTAAGAGCTCGTGAAAATCGTGCATTGTCAAGTTAGCAACTATTTCGCTCGAAGAACGAATTGTGCAATCACGTCAAGTCCTGCCCTTTTGGAGTATTCTTTATTTATCTATTTTAGTAGTTGTCAACCTATAGAAAACTGATTTGAAAGCGTTTGAGTGACTGTTTCCGGTGATCAGTTTTAACTCATTTTCACATTAATTTACAAACATGTGGAGTGATCAATACGTTGAAGACGTAAGTATTTACTGAACAACTAAATTTGAACGAAATCTTAATACGTTTTTCTTTAATAATACTTTTTTCTTTAATAATAGAAGTAAGGAGTAACAATATTGCGAAGTTTTTCATTCGTTCAACATATTAACATGTGGGTGGGGTAGTAACAGGATTTTGGTTATGTTTACAAAATTACAAGCTTGTTTAACGGTATCAAATCTGCACTTCACTTATTTAAGAAACATTTTACTTTTATAACATGCAGATTGGAGATTAAGGCATGTTTAGATGGTGTAATAACTATAATTGCACAATTGATGATTTGCCCATATGCCATATGGACTGGAAAAGAGTCAACTCGGCCCTATACCGACTCGGCACGGGTCAACTCGGCACGGGTCAACTCGGCCCACTTTACAAAAAATATATAACGTATTAACTTTGCTTTGCATGTTGTTAAGGTAAATGAATAATAAGAAATATATCTTATTATTATATAGTTATACATTGTACTTCTGCCGAAATAAAGTATATTTAGAAAAAAAATGTTATTTATTTGTCTTATATTTATAAACTCTCTGTCGAACTACGTTAATAACCAAGGTATATTGACTGAAAAGGCAAGACTTGTTTCCCGCTTGCAAAAGAATTCCAATTTAGCCGTGTTTAAATCGCTAGTTTGGGGCGATTAAATGTCCGATTTTAAATTTGTTATACCAATTAAAGCTGGTGATATTAGCTTCCTCTCAGTATTTCAACATATTGTTTGACACTGAAGGTATTTAAATTTACGGTTAAACCTACCACGAGTCAGAAATACAGTGAGATACGCAATCGGTTATCTTTACTGGCTCGCTCGCAATTCTACTGATAAGAAAAGCCTGTCTGCTGCTAGTTCTGAAACTGTCAATCCGTGTTTTATAGATAATTACAATAATAACGATAAAAAGTGATGACACAAACCTAAATATTAATAATTAAAAGTGGGCCGAGTTGACCCGTGCCGAGTTGGAATAGGGCCGAGCTGACTCGGGGGGCCGAGTACGTTTTAGAGCCGAGCTGACCCGGATTCATATGGACTTTCCTGACAGTGACAGGACGTTTCATCTGGACATTTCAGTGATTTTTATTCCAATTTTCAAAACAACCTGTGGCTCTCTGAAGGGGAAAATATAGCACGATAAATCAGAAAAGGGGGAAACCTGAAATCAAATTCCAACAACTGAAAATGGAATTTACTCACACATTTTATGAAAAAAATTAATTTCAATTCAATTTAACATGCATGGTATATAGCATGGTATATAGGGACAGATTTCTGTCTTCTAGCTGATGCTGTTAAGTCATGGTTGTGGTAAGGAAGAGCACGAGGCATTTTAGGGGAAAATATATGCATTTTTAGCGGAAAATTTAATTATTTTGGGCTAGGGGAAACAGCCTTTATTCGGCTGTAAAATACAGTGAAAAAAATCACTGCATTTTGACCTTAGTTGTTTTACCTTCTACAAGTTTTGGCCCTGGTCTTAACAGCTACCATTTTTACTATATGGTATGACCACGAGATTAATCACTAGGTTTGACTTTACCAATGTTGTTACAGAGATCTGCCGAGGATGCGATTTTGCGCCATTGGCACTAAAAAAATGAGAATGGCGCATCTTAAATCTGTGCCAGACTTATAAGAAAACAAAACTGTCTGCTGGGTTATTTAGTCATCCAGTCAAAACTGGTACCAACAGCAACATGTTACCCATTCCCCTGTAATTACGCATATTCTTGAGTTTATCCATTCCCCTATAGCTTTGTCCATGTTATCTACTTACCGCACTTCTCATAATCCCTTTCCCACACAGATACTCATTTCTACTACCGTAAATTTAATCCAATAAAACAAACAAACAAATTATACAACTACTTAATATTTAAAATGATTATTGGTAACTGAAAAAAAAAAGTGTTGCTATTTTAAGAATTGCTGTAAGTTACAGTATAATCTGACAGGTGTACAACTTGATCACCCCTAAGGTCACTCAAGTTCACGCAAGCTAAGTTGGCTGATGAGTCACCTGCAATTTCGATGCATTTCATGTGTCGGCTGATCCACTTATTGTATGTTTCCACGTACCAGCTATCGGTAAAGGAAGAGACTATAGCTCACGTATGCTTAACAAGATCGTCAGCTGAGTCAAAGCGTTTTCTACGCAGCTGTGATTTGAGCTCCGGGAACACACGGAAGTCCATCGGAGCGATGTCCGGGCTGTAGGATCGTCTTGGATCCAGTTTCTTTCTTCCTTCTTTAAAATGAGCATGCCATCTATACACTGTAGCCGGACTGCATTTCTTGTATTTTCCTGTAGAATTGATCATTTTCATTGTTTCTGTGGAAGACTTTTCCAGCGCAACACAAAATTTCACGATGCTTCGCAATTCAACGTCACCTATCGACGTCATGTTGTTTACTCAGTGGCTCTGGGAAACAACTTTAAAACAATATTTATCCGTTGAGAATTTAAATAACGTTATGATATTTTCAGGAAATGATGTCATGACGTTCCGCTGCTGACCAGCGTTTTTGAGCATTTTTTACGTTATCAAAATTACGAAATATTATTAGTGTAGCGCGTTATACCTTTCTTTAGAGTCGGACTGCTCCGGTGCGGCGTTATAGTGTTGCTATGGTTACTGCTATTTCCGGCTATTGTTGTCTGATTCTATTCAATTTTTAGGAATAGTTCCGTAATATGCTAATCTTAGTATGTGCAAAATATTACGTCTTAGAAACAAAAAAGTATAGGAGATATGACAAAATTCTCAGAACTTCCCTAACAACCCTCGTATATGACTGTTTATCCCCAGCTGATGGAATCTGGAGGAGGATATGATTTGGCGTTGTCCGTCAAACCTTCCGTCCATCTATCCATCAGAATTTCGTTTCCGCGCTAGTTCTTTGCAACTACTGGCTGGAATTCAACAAAACTTTATTGGAATCATCAATATCAAGAGGAGATGTGCATATCATGGGCTTGTTACAGTCAGACCTTTTAACTCGCAGTTATGGCCCTTGATTAGTTATGCAGTATGCATATAGAACAATAATCGTTTCCGCGCTACTTCTCTGCAACTACTGGCTGGAATTCAACAAAAACTTTATGGAAACCTTCAATACCAAGATGAGTTGTGAATATCGTCGCCTTGTTCCTGTCAGACACTTTAACTCAGAGTAATGGCCCTTGATTAGTTATGCAGTAAGCATTTAGAAAAATAATCGTTTCCGTGCTACGTCACTGCAACTACTGCCTGGAATTCTATTAAACTTTATGGGAATTCATCAATATCAAGAGGAGATGTGCATTTTGTCTGCTTGTTCCGGTCAGACCTTTCAACTCAAGAGTTATAGCCCTTGATTAGTTATGCAGTATGCATATAGAGCAATAATCGTTTCCGTGCTACGTCACTGCAACTACAGGCTTGAATTCAACAAAACTTCATTGGAATCATCAATATCAAGAGGAGATGCGCATATCGTTTTTGTTCCGGTCAGACACTTTAACTCAGAGTTATGGCCCTTGATAAGTTATGCAGTATGCATATAGAGCAATAATTGTTTCCGCGCTACTTCTCTGCAACTACTGACTGGAATGCTGTTAAACTTTATGGGAACCAAGAGGAGATAATCATGCACAATTTATTGCCTTGTTCAGACCAGACCCTTCATTACAGAGTTATGGGCCTTGATTAGTTATGTAGTATACATAGTGAACAATATTGCTATTTCTTTGCAACTGCTTTATTGATTTCAACAAAACTTTATGGGAACCATCAACACAAAAAGGCAATTAACATCTCATTGGCATGTCCAGATATTACTATTTAACACAGAGTTTAATGGCTCTGTTATTGCTCTGAATATTTATCATGTACAAAGAATATTTCTGTTTACACCATGATAAATATATATAAATAAAGCCTTATGTCTTCAGTTTTTAGTTATAACCAGTACTCAGCGGGGGATATAAATTTAAGGAATTTGCTTGTTTTATCATGTATTAGATCTGAATTATATTGTGTTTAATTTTAGGCCATTGGACAGGCTGAGGTAAAATGGTTTTTCTGTTTTGCTATATTTGTTATTTTGTATTAGCAGAAATTCTGTATGATTATGATTAATTTAGACTTTTGGTGAAAAGTTTTGAATTTGACATGTCCCCCAACTTCTGCATGGTGGGTCTGCAATGGAAAGGGTGTCTTCCTGTTTGGTTTTGGATATTTAATAGTTTAAATTATGAATATCATATATCATTATATGTTGCTTAAAGTGATTGTCTTGCAGATATTCTTGTTTTTAGCTCACCTGTCACAAAGTGACAGGGTGAGCTTTTGTGATCGCTTTTCGTCCGGCGTCCGTCCGTCGTCCGTCCGTCGTCCGTAAACTTTTGCTTTAAATGACATCTCCTCATAAACCACTGAGCCAATTTCATCCAAACTTCACAGGAATGTTCCTTTGGTGGTCACCTTTAAAAATTGTTCAAAGAATTTAATTCCATGCAGAACTCTGGTTGCCATGGCAACCGAAAGAAAAATCTTTAAATATCTTCTTTTAAACAACCCTAAGAGCTAGAGCTTAGATATTTGGCATGAAACATCTTCTAATGAGTGTCTACCAAGTTTGTTCAAATAAAAGCCCTGGGGTCAAAATTGGCCCCGCCCCAGGGGGTCATTGATTTTCCCTATATGCATATAGTAAAAACTTAAAAAATCTTCTTTTAAAGAACTGTAAGAGTTAGAGCTAAGATATTTGGCATGGAACATCTTCTAGTGAGTGTCTACCAAGTTTGTTCAAATAAAAGCCCTGGGGTCAAAATTGGCCCTGCCCCAGGGGACATTGAATTTCCCTATATGCATATAGTAAAAACTTAAAAAAATCTTCTTTAAAGAACTGTAAGAGCTAGAGCTTAGATATTTGGCATGAAACATCTTCTAGTGAATGTCTACCAAGTATGTTCAAATAAAAGCCCTGGGGTCAAAATTGGCCCCGCCCCAGGGGGTCATTGATTTTCCCTATATGCATATAGTAAAAACTTAAAAATCTTCTTTTAAAGAACCCAAAAAAGCTAGAGCTAAGATATATGGCATGAAACATCTTCTAGTGAATGTCTACCAAGTTTGTTCAAATAAAGCCCTGGGGTCAAAATTGGCCCCGCCCTGGGGGGTAATTGATTTTCCCTATATGCATATAGTAAAAACTTAAAAATCTTCTTTTAAAGAACCGTAAAAAGCTAGAGCTTAGATATTTGGCATAAAACATCTTCTAGTGAATGTCTACCAAGTTTGTTCAAAATAAAAGCCCTGGGGTCAAAATTGGCCCGCCCCAGGGGGTCATTGATTTTCCCTATATGCATATAGTAAAAACTTAAAAAAATCTTCTTTTAAAGAACTGTAAGAGCTAGAGCTTAGATATTTGGCATGAAACATCTTCTAGTGAATGTCTACCAAGTTTGTTCAAATAAAAGCCCTGGGGTCCAATTTGGCCCCGCCCCAGGGGGTCATTGATTTTCCCTATATGCATAAAGTAAAAACTTAAAAAATCTTCTTTTAAAGAACCCAAGGAGCTAGAGCTAAGATATTTGGCATGAAACATCTTCTAGTGAATTTCTACCAAGTTTGTTCAAATAAAAGCCCTGGGGTCAAAATTGGCCCCGCCCCGGGGGGTCATTGATTTTCCCTATATGCATATAGTAAAAACTTACAAAATCTTCTTTTAAAGAACCGTAAGAGCTAGAGCTTAGATATTTGGCATGAAACATCTTCTAGTGAATGTCTACCAAGTTTGTTCAAATAAAAGCCCTGGGGTAAAAATTGGCCCCGCCCCAGGGGGTCATTGATTTTCCTTATATGCATATAGTAAAAACTTAAAAAATCTTCTTTTAAAGAACCCAAAGAGCTAGAGCTAAGATATTTAGCATGAGACATGTTCAAATGGGTGTCTACCAAGTATGTTCAAATAAAAGCCCTGGGGTCAAAACTGGCCCCGCCCCGGGGGTCATTTGATTTTCCTTATATACATAGCAAAAACTTAAAATTCTTCTTTGAAAAAACCCAAATAACTAGAGTTTAGATATTAAGCATGAAACATCTTTAAGTAAATATCTACAAAGTTTGTTCAAATAAAAGCCCCAGGGGTCAAAACTGGCCCTGCCCGAGGGTGTCATTGTTTTTAACTATATGTGTATAGTAAAAACTTAAAAAATCTTCTTTTAAAAAACCCAATGAGCTAGAACTTAGATGTTTTGCATGAAACATCTTCTTATGGGGTGTCTACCAAGTCTGTTCAAATAAAAGCCCTTGGTAAAAATTGGGCCGGGGGGGGTGGGGGGCTATATACAGGTGAGCGACCTCAGGGCCATCATGGCCCTCTTGTTTCATTTAAGATAAAAATAATGTTATGCCCTTGATTGAATTAAAAATTGTTTTATCTATTTAATGTATTTTGTTAATGTTTGAAGGACTGTTTTCTTTGGTACAGGTGTATTAAACAAAATTTATAAGTCAAAAACATGATAGAAAAATATCATTAAAATTTATTTAATCATTGCAGCCTTTTGCATGGTATTTGAATAAGGAAAATAATTGTAAGCAGATTTTTGGTGTTTGAAAAAAGTTAAGCATTTTCTTTAACATGATTGAAAGTAGTTGAATGTGCACAACATTTTAAGTTTTCCATTTTGCTATTTTACAAGCAGTACAACAGTTATATTGTCTTTTATTTATAATTTATATGCTCAACAGGCAAGTCTTAAACATTTGAAATTGGTATTTAACTCTTCAATTGCATGATGCAAATCTGTTTGAAGTGGCTAGATAAAATAGTCAAAAACTTGTGTTTGTTCTAATATTAACAATGCCGACCAGGGTAGCTCAATACAGGTATATTTTTATGCCCCGAAGGGTGAGCATATAGTCGCTGCTTTGTCCGTCTGTCTGGTTGTCCGGACGTCCGTTTCTTGTCCGGGACATAACTCTGTAACTATTAGAATATCCAAATGAAACTTTGTAGGTAGATAGATCTCATTGCATTGGGTAAAAGTGCAGTGCAAAAGAACCAGAACTCTGCCTTGCCTAATTTTAGAGTTATTCCCCTTTGTTCATTTTTACACTTTTAACTTTGTCCGGGACATAACTCTGAAAGTATAAGAGATATCAACATGAAACTTTATAGGTAGATAGATCTCATTTGGTAGATGTGCAGTGCACATGAATCATAACTCTGCCTTGCCTTATTTTGGAGTTATTGCCCTTTGGTCATATTAACACCTTGAACTTTGTCTGGGACATTACTTTGAAACTAGAAGAGATACCAACATAAAACTTTATAGATAGATAGATCTCATTGTATAGAAGTGCAGTTCAAAAGAACCAGAACACTGCCATGCCTTATTTTGGAGTTATTGCCCTTTGTCCATTTTTACACTTTGAACATTGTCCAGGACATAGTTCTGAAAGTATAATAGATATGAACAACACACTTTGTTGGTAGATAGTTATCATTTGGCAGATGTGCAGTGCACAAGAAACGTAACTATACCTTGCCTAATTTTGGAGTTATTGTGCTTTGTTCTTATTTACATTTTGAACTTTGTCCGGGACATAACTCTGACACTATAAGAGATGTTAACAAGAAACTTTGTAGGTAGATGAATATCATAGGGTAGATGAGCAGTGCAAAGTACAGTAACTCTGTCTTCCCTAAGTTTGGAATTATTGCACTTTGAACTTTGTCTGTGACATAACTCTGAAACTACAAGAGGTATACTTTTCTGTGTCCAAAACCTATTCGAGGAGCATCAACCGGTTCTTGTATTTTATGCTGTTTGTCTTTTAATATCTCCAATTTGATGTCAAAGCTAAATTTTATAACCAAAATCTTTATGATAAAATAGATAAATATATATTTATATAACTTAAAAGTAATAGTCCTAATACCAAAGGGATTTATTTTGTAAATTAACTCAAAATTGACACAAATTTTACTAGTATTTCAGCTTGTTGCTTACACTGCAGGCCTCTGTAGAAAACTATCTATTTCACCCCTTTGTGTATTCAAGATGGATTAATATAATATAATAATTATGTAATAGAAAGTGCATCGAAACACAAGGCTATCTGATTTGTACGAGGGGGGGGGCGTAGTCCCCAAGTATAAATCAGATTGCCGAGTGTTTTGATGTTCTTTCTCTTTTGTATCATAGTGAAACATAAAAACACTTTCCATGTTGTCACAATATGAAACCCAAGAAAAAAGTTACCAATGAACGAGCATCTGTATATGAAATTTCTGTCGCTTTCCCTTTCTCTGCCGTCGCAATAAGTAAACCCCAGCAAAAATGAACCAATCAATGGGCATGCTCTGGAGTGCGGGTAACTAATACCTGCACTCCAGTTAACACACTGTGCATGTATATGTATCCGATTTAACTCTGACACATTTTCAACAGAAAGGTCCCCAAAGTATGATACAAGTATTACATGAGGTATACTTTGATGAAATTTTAGAAATAGGCATTACATTTATTTTAGTTATATTTTAAGAACTCATTTAAAAGAGGACATTATAAATTTCAGTTAAATACAGTTGATATATATAGATACTCAATGTTGATCAGACATCATTGACAGTCTTGTTATTGTTGTCTAAATGTAGAATATAATATAATTTATATATGTTAACAGTAAGATATAGGTACTGGTAGTAGTATCAATAATGTTTGGAGCTGATACAAGGTTGATTCAAGGATAAACTTTGTCCTTTTGTAGTTCTGTTGTACTTTTACAGTTACTCTTAGCAAATTTATTAATTTATTTATTGACCAATATCTTTCATATTTGGAAGGAAGATACCTCGGATACTCCTATAAACTTGAGTGGATAAGGTCACTAGTGTTAAAATAGATTTTACACTTATGCTCATACAGCCTTTATACATAGACAAATGGGCAGGTTTAGGGACCATTCTTGCCTTGAAGAATATGTCTTGTTTTAATCAAAATATGAAGAACAGTTTAGATTGTGACCGTGTTTTATTAAACTTGTGTTGAATAATATAGTATCATTAACACTGTGTGTTTTTGTTTACTGCCAAAATTTGTAGCCAAAATTTGTAGATTTATAGATGTTATTATAAATGTTATTATAAATGGATAATGTATATATACAAGAGCTAAAATTTTGATTACTTAGCTTGCACCATAAAACAAACCCACTTGTCATGGTGATGGAATAAAATAATATATGGTTAAATATATGTGTATACAGAATAATACATGTATATGTGCATCTATTTTGTTTATCATATATAATGCTTTGAACCAAGTCACTGATTGATTATTGCTCATAGAGGAATGGTCATTTGTCAGACTTTAAACATTCAAAATGTGGGCAATTTTTATGATATAGATCTATTATAGTTTCAGTAATTTGATAATCTTTCAATAGGTTGGTAGATCTTTTTGAACTGTCTGAAATTTTCAAAAGTAAAAGGAATTTTAAGGGTAATCTGTTTGTCATTATTTACAGTTTAATGTAATAACAATCTTGTATTACTACTAATGGTAAATGTTACAGTATATTGTACATATTAATTATTTGTTATATGCATATTTTGTAGTACAATTCTATTTGGTTATTCCATGAACTATTTTCACATGTATTTTCAGTTTGCCACTCCATATGCATATGGTGCATCATCTGCATACAACTATGAGAAACACACTGGTATGTTAATATGTTTATTTCTATTATTATTAAAATTGTGATGTAAAATTTTGGGGATGTGAGTGTTTGTGGCCACTGAATTTTCACTTCTTGCCTTAACTATCTTGTTGTAGGCCATCCTCCTTATAAAAGGTTGGTTGTTCCTAGATTTATTTGGTAATCAAGTTGCCCACATGGCATTGATGGTGTGAGTGTAATATTGAAGGGTTACTGTAATTTTCTACCGTGAAACAGCTAATAGAACATAAGCTGACATCTTAAAGAAATGATTGCTGTAAATCTGTGTATTTATGCTGTATTGCCACAATGATTGCTTAGTCAACTTATCAACACTTAAAATATATTTCATCTGGATTATTTTCTGCACAGATAATTGTTTAACAATTGACCGCGTGGGTTAAAACCCTGTCAGGGGCAAGCCGTTGTTTCCTTGAGCAAGAATTTTTACATTCATTGCTTCATACTAGTTAGTTCCAGGAACAGATTTGAGAGTGTTCCAATAAGCTTATAGCTTCCAACACAATCAAACTAAAATAAATTTGTATAAACTAATTGGTTAACAAAGTGCATTCTATAATTCATTTTAGACTTAAGCACACAAAAGTTATATTAGGAGTTATGTTTAAACTATAATGCTGTATATATGTATGTCTAGGTGATCCACGTCAGGACATGGAGTACGAGAGACAATATCAGTCAACACAATCCACATTCATTGTTCCTGATGTCATCAAAAACTTTCTTACCTACTTCAGGAAATGTGTGAAAGATCAGAATGTCTACGGAATTCAGGATGCCTATGAAAATGGGTAACTTGTCATTGTGATATTATTGATTGATTGAAACTTCATATAGTTTTATTTATTTTATTATGATTTGATATATCTGCTAAAATTCTAAAATTTACTTTTAATTTATATCAATATGAAAATATGAAATTTTATTTGTTTGTGCAACATGTCAAAAGTTAACAAAGTCTAATAAAGCACATTCAGCTGATCTTCATGGCATATCTCTGGGGAGCAACCTAGCTGAGCGATTTTAATACACTAGTCACTATCATCTGGAGTAATGCTGCACTGCATATGTTACAGTCTCTTACGCATATTCCGAGTATTGATAAAACACAGATCAAGCTTTGTACCACTGTAAGTTATTTACTACTATCATGAATCTCAAGTTGTTAGATAAAACCAACTATGTATTTAGAAAGAATTCTACATCAGGGCAGGGGGGTATTCGCATTACTGTGTCAAACTAAAAACATAGATATTTAAACTAAAATAGATTACCTGGGTATCTTATGTCAACTAAATATAATGTATCTAATAAAACTAGACTTTGGTCGGGATTAAGTAAACTCATATTCATTAATGGTAATCGACCTTGAACATCGATATTTAACTGCTTCAATGCTGATTGTGTAATTTCAGGTTCACGCACAATATTAACGAAAGTTCTTCTATAACCAACTCCCTTCGGTCCAGAGCAGAAGTCTTTGCCTTCCTCATTCGCTCCAGACAACTGGTATGTGCCTCGATCTCCTCTTTATGCTAATTCTCTAAATCACTGAGAGACTGAAATGTGTCCTCCTCAACCCATATTACGAGAAACATGATACATCGATGTCCTTCTAATCTAATAATACGTGTATCCCTGTTTTTTCTGCATCACTATTGTCTTATTTAAAAGAATTACACAATACTATGCATTTAAAAAATTTTTCAGCCTCTCAGCGCCTAAAGTCTGTTTTTCCATTATCGTAAACACATGATGGTTCTACCGTTGGGTCCCACACAGATTTCTATTGTACCAGCACATACTACTTCATAATCATCTATCTCTCGACATGCCCCGACCTCTATTATAAGTAAAATTATTTTAATGTCTTATTGTTTAAGATCCGGTTTTTCTGAAAATCACTTTGTACAAGGAGCTCTACTACAGACACATGCTGCAGGGTTCCTGTAAGTTATATATTATATACATACATCCTATAGCAGGGTAGCTGATTTAGACAAACATAGGAAATTTTTGATAAGAAAAATTTTTTAAGATGTAGTACTGTCTGACGCACTATCTGTGACTATGCTCTCTCTAGTCCTGATTGTTCTTTATTCTTGTATACAAACTAGATTTTTAGCGTGTGTATGAATCTTTTGTCACTGATTAAATCGAGTTCTAACGTTCTACTTATGTAACTTCCAGCGTATTATCAGTCTGCTGACCAACACAGCCGGGAATTGGATCAGCAGTTTTGAGTCTTACTACAGCTACTGTCAACTCTTCAACTACATACTCGTATTATGTAATGTGATGCATTTTTATTATCCCCCACAACTCGAAGTTTATTATTACCCCCACAAACGAACGAAGTTTAGGGGGTATATAGGAGTCAGCCTTATCGGTCGGTTGGTCCACCGTCATGCGTTCCGGACGAGTACTAGAGTTTGAATGAGGTTTGTAATCAAACTTGCTATATAGCAACCTTATGTGGAAACTCAGGTTGTATTGCATTTGACCCCCTGGGGTCAAGGTCAAGGTCACCGTTACTAAAAATAGGAGAAAATGGTTTCCGGACAATAACTGGAGCTAGGTGAATGAGATATTATTTATCAAATTTGGCGTATAAGCTAGCTTATATGAAGACCTGGGTTGGTATTGCATTTGGGCTCCGCTGGGGTCATAGGTCCCAAGGTCACCATTACTAAAAATAGAAAAAATGGTTTCCGGACAATAAAGCTAGTAGTTATGGAATGAGATGATTGTAATCGAATTGGTGATATAGAAAGCTTATATGAAAGACCGTGGGTTGGTATTTGCATTTGGACCCTGCGTCGTAGGCGTTCCAAGGGTCACCGTTAAACAATGTTACTAAAAATAGAAAAATGGGTTCTGGACAATAACTAGAGTTAAGAATGAGATATTGTTATCAAACTTGGCGTATAACTAGCTTATATGAAGACCTGGGTTGGTATTGCATTTGGGCCCATTGGGGTCAAGATCAAGGTCACTGTAACTAAAAAAAGAAAAATGGTTTCTGGACAATATCTTGAGTTAGGAATGAGATATTGTAATCAAACTTTGTATATAACAGACTTATTAGGAGACCCAAGTTGCGATTACAATTAATTGAAATATTTCTTTGTACACAGTTGATAGTTTGTGTTCAAATTATTTTTCTGACTATTTTTTTTTTCAAAAAGTCAAAGTTGCTGGTGGGGGTATTAATCACCTTCAGTGATAGGTCTAGTTTGATCTTTTTTATTACAAATATATACAAATTATGACATGTAAAATTAAGGAATTTTGTTTTGAAACATACATTAAGAATTTTTTTAATTTAGCAAGGTACTTTTGTCACCTGTTTTTGAATTAATAGTATACATGTACATTGTTGCATGGAATGAAATCAAACAATTATTATACCCCCACAAACGAAGTTTAGGGTGGGTATATAGAAGTCAGCTTGTCGGTCGGTTGGTCGGTCGGTCCGTCGGTCGGTCCACATCATGGTTTCAGGACGATTACTAGAGTTTGGAATGAGGTATTGTAATATTGTAATCAAACTTGGTATATAGCAACCTTATGTGGAAACTTTGGTTGGTATTGCATTTGGATGCCCTGGGGTCAAGGTCAAGGTCACCGTTACTAAAAATAGAAAAATGGTTTCTGGACAATTAGGAGTTAGGAATAAGATATTGTTATCAAACTTGGCGTATAGCAAGCTTATATGAAGACCTGGGTTGGTAGTGCATTTGGGCCCTCTGGGGTCAATGTAAAGGTCACTGTTACTAAAAATAGAAAAATGGTTTTCGGACAATAACTTGACTTAGGAATGAGATACTGTAATCAAACTTGGTGTATAGGAAGCTTATATGAAGACCTGGGTTGGTATTGCATTTGGACCCCCTGGGGTCAAGGTCAAGGTCACCGTTACTAAAAATAGAAAAATGGTTTCCTGACTATAACTAGAGTTAGGAATGAGATATTGTTATCAAACTTGGTATATAGCAACCTTATATGAAGACCTGGGTTGGTATTGCATTTGGACCTGGGGTCAAGGTCACCATTAGGAAAAATAGAAAAATGGTTTTCGGACAATAACTAGAGTTAGGAATTAGATATTGTAATCTTATTTGGTGTAAAGGAAGCTTATATGAAGACCTGGGTTGGTATTGCATTTGGACCCCCTAGGGTCAAGGTCACCGTTACAGTGTTACTAAAAATAGAAAAATGGTTTCCGGACAATAACTAGAGTTAGGAATGAGATATTGTTATCAAACTTGCCGTATAGCAAGCTTATATGAAGACTTTGGTTGGTATTGCATTTGGGCCCCCTGGGGTCAAGGTCACTGTTACGAAAAATAGAAAAATGGTTTTCGGACAAAAACTAGAGTTAGGAATGAGATATTGTAATCTTATTTGGTGTAAAGAAAGCTTATATGAAAACCTGGGTTGGTATTGCATTTGGACTCCCTAGGGTCAAGGTCACCGTTACAGTGTTACTAAAAATAGAAAAATGGTTTCCGGACAATAACTAGAGTTAGGAATGAGATATTGTAATCAAACTTGGTGTATAGCAAGCTTATTTCGAGACCCCAGTTGCGATTACAATTAATTGAAATATTTCTTTGTACACAGTTGATAGTTTGTGTTCAAATTTTTCTTCAGATTACTTTTTTTTTCAAAAAGTCAAAGTTGCTGGTGGGGGTATTAATCACCTTCAGTGATAGGTCTAGTTAACCCTTTACCTCATATATACACGAAACAACACACTTTCGACCCCCCTCCCTTTTTTAGGCCTGAAATAGTGAAAAAATGTCCTATTTGGGCCCCAAACACAAGGGGATATGCCCCCTTCTGTTTGGGGGGTTTGAAGGGGGCGGAGCCCCCCTCATCGCCAAGAAAATTTTGGACTTGTGAGAGGCTTAAAATGACCCCAGGTCGATCATAAGGTAACGTGTAACCAACGCTGAAAAGCCTTTGACTCTATCTCAATCCCTTGTGAAGTTGCAGCACTTTGAAATAAATTTTGATGGGAAAAATCGAGGCAAAATAGTGATTTTTGGCAATTTTGAGATGTCCCCTCGTTGCCATGGTAACAGGAAATTTAAGACTGAGCATGTCGTTACAAAGGCAATGGTCCAGTCAACATTTGTGCCAAGTTTGATTAGTATTGAAGCATTTTTCATAGTTTCATAGCAGTTTGAACTTGTAAGAGGAGGCTTTTCAGTGAAAATGGCCATTTTTCACAATATGCTCATGGGGGAAAGGGTTAAGCAATGCAATAACTTTATGCTGGAGAACCTTTAAGCAATTGGGACTATGCACCATAAGCAGTGTTGTGGAGGGTGAAAAATATAATTGTTCATTAAAGTTGTTTTGTGTTTACATGTACATTATATTAATTGTGATGTTGTTAAAATTAAATGGATGTTAAAATTAAACGGATGTAAAAACGTCATGCATACTGTTTCTTATAGAAACAAGGTTGCAATATAAGTACAGATTGTAGAATACTGTACATATGAAAGCAAATTGAATATTCAGTAAATATCATTTATTGGAAGATTTTTGACAAATTTTTAATGTTAGATGATATTTATTCTAGATGCAGATGAGCCTGTAGGTTTGCAGTTACCTAACCAGTGGTTATGGGACATTATTGATGAATTTATCTACCAGGTATATGTACAAACACACTTCTATATTCAGCTTTCTCTACATCTAGGGGGAAGTTGGCTAGGGTCCATAACAGCAGAAATGTTGGTAGTGTTTTGGAGGAAAAATGTCAGTCATAATGTTTGTCATAATGTTCCAAACATTTTTCTTTGTTGACTGTTCAACAAAGATAGGAACATACCTTTAGATTTTAAATAAATATCTTTAATTATTTATAATAATAACTAAAAATATGTCCATATGATGATCAGATTCCCCCACATTCCACTGTTTTATCACAAAAAATTAGTACATTGTACAACTGCTGGTGCCTATAAAAATAGCAGTTATACTTTTGAAGTAAGTTGTTCTTAAATAGAAGATTTCACTATTTGACAAGTGTGTTTTTGTGGGTTTTTTCAGTTCCAGTCATTTAGTATCTACAGATGTAAGATTGGCAAAAAACTGCCTGATGAGATTGAAGTTCTCAGGAATAACCCTAAGGTTTGTACAAGCTGAACAAGAAATTCTTGATTTTCTCTATGATAACAAAATAAATAGCATTAAATAGAAACCATGTTATCCCACTATTGTTTTTCTACTTTTAAACTTAAGTTCATCATACAGTGCTTTGAAGAACTTACTGTTTAAACATGTGATTGGACAGGGACTTTATGGTAAAGTTCAGCCAATATAGTACCAGTAATGCAAGTTCAGCCAATATAGTACCAGTAATGCAAGTTCAGCCAATATAGTACTGGTAATAAAGAACACATCCAATAGATAGGAATTATTTAATATTACTTTATAGAATTTTAGGAATTATAGGGTTGAGGCTATCATCCAGGCATGTGGCGGTTGCACACGTTATTAAAAATTTGGCTACATAATGTCATTTTAGGTTACGTAATCGTCAACATTTACCAAAAATATCCACCAGTAAATGTTTTGTAAATGCTCCAACACCATACATATACAGTAAACTTCACTTATAGCGAACACGGTTATAGCGAACTTCCGGTTATAAGGAACAATTTATTTTGGCCCGAATTTTGCCCTTCTTTATTTAATATAAAAATATACGGTTATACCGAACACTGTTATAACGAATTATCGCTTATAAAGAACTCATTTCTTAGTCCCAATTTAGTTAAAAGTGCATAAAATTACACTTTTATAACGAACTCCAAATATCGGCTATACGTAAATATATCCCGCATTTTCAACTGGCACGGAATAAAACTCGCGGAATGTACCGTTTATTGTTGTATGTAATTCAAAATATGAAAATGAATTTGTATAGAAGTATGTAATAGTTTTCTATTTAGGATATTTTTAGCTTGAGTTCTTGTCACAAAGATAAAACGGTAATTCCTTTTATTCTATAATTTCTTTTCTTTAATAGTTTTGCTCGAGTAAAATAATTATCGGTTTTCAACATAATCACGCATGCTTGCAAACATAATCCATAGAAAACTACAAAGTATGCTTGATTGAAATGAAAAGAAATCTATATATTTCATAAGTTAAAGTCACCCTTATTTAATATAAAAGGAAGAAAAATTGAAAATCTTGTTTATTTTTATTCATTGAAAGAAAACGAAAAACACTGAGTTAAGAAACAAAATATGATGTTTTATGAAAAATTGAGAAAGAGAGTAAAACTAAAACTGAAATAGCAAAGGATTTTCAAATTCCAAAATGTACGCTCTCGGGTATTGTGTCTAAAAAAGAAATAAATGACTAATTATTCTTAATCAAATGCTCTTTAAAATGGCGGACGATGTTTAACAATCAGTTCGTTATATGTAAATCTGTTCGCTATAAAAACTCCTGATACAAGGAACCAATTCGCTATATGCTTACAAGGAACTCCGGATATAAGGAACAGATTTTGAATGTCCCAATGAGTTCGTTATAAGCGGAGTTTACTGTACGTATAAACACATACATTTTTGGTATAAAACAACACATTTGCTTATGCTTCAATAATTTGGTAAATTTACTGGTTTATGATTACTAAATTGGTATCGCTACTTACATGTATCACAGTACTATTTCTTGGGCTCAAGTCGTCATCTTGTTACAGTGCTTTCAATCACAACCAATTTTAAATTTCCAGGGTGTGCTTAACTTATTTCCAGGTGTATATAATTTAAATATATATTTTAGCTGTGTAAAGGTACAAATAGATATATTTGTAGATGTGCACAGTGTTAAAATAGTAATGTATATATATTTTAGATCTGTAATGTACATACATGTATTATGTTATATTTAACCAGGTTTTCCGAAGGAAAAAACTGGTTATTAGATTGAGGTATGTCGGCGGGCTGGGCGGCGTCGGGCGGGCGGTCGCGGACGGGGCGGGCGGCGGGCGGGCGGGCGTAAACAATTTCTTCTGTGCGCAACTCCTCCTACATTTCTCAACGGATTTTGACCAAACTTTCACAGAAGCTTTGTCATCAAGTGCCCTGGCGCATATTGTCAGGGTTTTGCGATTAGATAATATTTGACCTAATTATGGCCCTTTGTTTTTTTCCTTATATAAAAATATATAGTGAACAATTTCTTCTGTGCTCAACTCCTCCTACATTTCTCAACGGATTTTGACCAAACTTTCTCAGAAGCTTTGTCATCAAGTGCCCTGACACATATTGCCAGGGTTTTGCAATTGGTATATATTTGACCTAATTATGGCCCTTTGTTTTTTTTCCTTATATAGAATATATAGTGAACAATTTCTTCTGTGCGCAACTCCTACATTTCTCAACGGATTTTGACCAAACTTTCTTAGAAGCTTTGTTATCAAGTGCCTGGCACATATTGTCGGGGTTTTGTGATTGGATAATATTTGACCGAATTATGGCCCTTTGTATATTTTTTCCTTATACAGAATATATAGAGAACAATTTCTTCTGTGCTCAACTCCTCCTACATTTCTCAACGGATTTTGACCAAACTTTCTTAGAAGCTTTGTTTTCAAGTGCCTGGCACATATTGTCGGGGTTTTGTGATTGGATAATATTTGCCCGAATTATGGCCCTTTGTATATTTTTTCCTTATACAGAATATATAGTGAACAATTTCTACAGTGCGCAACTTCTCCTACATTTCTCAATGGATTTTGACCAAACTTTCACAGAAGCTTTGTCATCAAGTGCCCTGGCGCTCACTAAATTCCCATGTTTCTTCCAAGACATCATTCAAGTATTTTTTTAAAATTGTGAACATACTTTTCTTGATATCGCACAAAACACCACACGCCAATATTGTTGACAAAAGAAAATGACAAGAGACGCAAAAATGCAAAATTAAGCAAAAATAAAGTACTGTTTATCTTTCTAAAATATTTGGGGAAAAAAGGCGAATAGACAACATAAAATTTCTCAATCATTTTTGTTTGAGGAATATTAAAAAAGCCATAATTCCTCATAAAAGTTCAATTAAAAACAAATGCCCCTTCATGACAAAGCTTCTGTGAAATATTTTGCTGAAAACCTGGTTGCATCGCATTGCGATGTTTCTTGTTAACTATATATTTTAGATCTGGAATGTACACTATATATTGTATATATATTTTAGATCTGGAATGTACACAGTGTTTTGAATGTGCTTCATTCACTGGTAGAGAAGTCGAACATCAACAGACAGCTTGAAGTGTATGCCAGTGGTGGTATGTATTTTATCTGCTATGATGTAGAGAGATTTCGTGTTATATCTAGTAATTGTTGTGGCAGTCAACTTGTCTGTCATTTGACTAGACAATTGGAGGTAAAGGACAGGCACCTAAGGTTGCAGTATGTTGTATTAATGTTGATATTAATTGCAGGTATATTTAAAATAAATGTAAGTTTTAGAAAATTGTCAGACAAAAAATACTGCTGATTTAGTTACACAATGTTTGTACTTCCAAAACCCATTTATTAAGAACAATATCATGCTAATGTCATTATGTTCATAATGTGCTGTAAGTTATATATGTAAACTATACAGGAGATCCTGACAGTGTATCTGGTGAGTTTGGTCAACAATCACTCTACAAAATGTTGGGATACTTCAGTCTTATAGGTCTACTCAGACTTCATTCTCTACTGGGAGACTACTACCAAGCCCTGAAAGTGCTAGAGAATATTGACTTCAACAAAAAGGTGATTTAATGTTTTTAACTTTCCTTACCGATTCAAAAATTATTTCTGATATTTTTGAAGAAAATCATCGAGGTATAATTTAAAAGCATCATTTTATGTACAAGAAATGAAATTGATTGGAGAGAAAACTTTGTGTTTGATATTAATTATGTGTTATTATTTATATTTATCAGAACATGTACTCCCGTGTACCAGTGTAATTATGTATTATTATTTATATTTATCAGAACATGTACTCTTGTGTACCAGTGTAATTATGTATTATTATTTATATTTATCAGAACATGTACTCCCGTGTACCAGTGTAATTATGTATTATTATTTATATTTATCAGAACATGTACTCCCGTGTACCAGTGTAATTATGTATTATTATTTATATTTATCAGAACATGTACTCCCGTGTACCAGTGTAACATTGTATTATTATTTATATTTATCAGAACATGTACTCTCATGTACCAGTGTAATTATGTATTATTATTTCTATTTATCAGAACATGTACTCTCGTGTACCAGTGTAATTATGTATTATTATTTCTATTTATCAGAACATGTACTCTCGTGTACCAGTGTAATTATGTATTATTATTTATATTTATCAGAACATGTACTCTTGTGTACCAGTGTAATTATGTATTATTATTTCTATTTATCAGAACATGTACTCTTGTGTACCAGTGTAATTATGTATTATTATTTATATTTATCAGAACATGTACTCCCGTGTACCAGTGTAACATTGTATTATTATTTATATTTATCAGAACATGTACTCTCGTGTACCAGTGTAATTATGTGTTATTATTTCTATTTATCAGAACATGTACTCCGTGTACCAGTGTACATTTGTGTTATTATTTTTATATTTATCAGAACATGTACTCTCGTGTACCAGTGTAATTGTGTATTATTATTTCTATTTATCAGAACATGTACTCTCCCGTGTACCAGTGTAATTATGTATTATTATTTATATTTATTAGAACATGTACTCCGTGTACCAGTGTAATTATGTGTTATTATTTATATTTATCAGAACATGTACTATCGTGTACCAGTGTAATTATGTGTTACTATTTATATTTATCAGAACATGTACTCCGTGTACCAGTGTAATTGTGTATTACTATTTATATTTATCAGAACATGTACTCTCGTGTACCAGTGTACATGTGTATTACTATTTATATTTTATCAGAACATGTACTCTCGTGTACCAGTGTAATTATGTATTATTATTTCTATTTATCAGAACATGTACTCCCGTGTACCAGTGTAATTATGTATTATTATTTATATTTATCAGAACATGTACTCTCGTGTACCAGTGTAATTTTGTATTATTATTTATATTTATCAGAACATGTACTCTCGTGTACCAGTGTAATTATGTATTATTATTTCTATTTATCAGAACATGTACTCTTGTGTACCAGTGTAATTTTGTATTATTATTTATATTTATCAGAACATGTACTCTCGTGTACCAGCGTGTCAGATAACAACATTTTACTATGTTGGATTTGCCTACATGATGATGAGAAGGTATCAGGATGCTATACGAACATTCTCCAACATCTTACTGTATATACAGAGGACAAAACAAATGTTCCAGACCCGTGTACAGATGTATGATCAGGTAATAGTCTCTTAACATGACAAACATAACATTTGATGCACTTGTCACTTTAAAATTCCTAAACTTTGTATATTTAAATATATATGGAATTGTGTATACTAAAAGCAGACATGACTTTATTAAATTATACCAGGAAAATTGTAAAATGTTTTGAGTATACCTTAAAGAAGGGCACAGTAATTGTAGTTTCCTATTAAATAAAAGAAAGATATGGGACCTTAAAGCGTGTATCACTTTACAAGTTGTAAAGATTTCAGAAAAGGGTTTGTTTGCCATATTGTTCTATGTCCTTTAGTTGTAAATATTTGTTCTTGACATTGTCACTACTTGTACATTGGAAAACTACATCTTTGCTACATTTGAATGTTACCACTTGCCCCTCACCGCTGTGGGTTCGAATCCTGACAGGGACTTTGGATTCTTTCATGTGAGGAAGCTATCCAGCTAGTTTATGGACCATCAGTGGTTCTACTCAGGTTCTGGTTTGTGCCTGAAATAATGCATGGAAGGGCACCTAAGGTCTTCCTGAATCGGTAAAGCTGGAATGTAGCCATATGACCTATACTGTGTCTGTGTGACGTAAAACCCAATCAAACAAACATTTGAATGTTACAGGGCTGTAATGTGGTCACAAAGTGTTTAAATTACCATTTGTGGTGTAATGAAGGAATTATATATAGTACAGTTGAGAATGATAGTAAATTCGTAATATAAAAAGCCCTTTTGACAGCTTAGTGGCAATGTTTTTCTTCAACAAATTTCAAAAAAGTAATATGAAATAATAGGGATTGGTAGGTTCCAAATAAATGTTAATTAAAGTTATTTTATTGTATAAATATTATTCTCAAAGAAAACATGCCTATTAAATTGTCAAAAACTGCATTCAACAAATGATAAATTCTCTTGCTCATTCCTTACTAAAACTACCCTTTACCACTCTCTCTGTAAGTATGATTGTGTTAACATTAGTGATTTCATTTGCTATCAAGTGTTCATGAATTATTGTACTATTATTGGAGTGTTATGTTGTATGTAACATTAAAATTATATACAAGTTTTCCTCCACCAGTAAAGCTGGTAAGTCACCATATGACCTATACTGTGTTGATGTGACTTAAAACCAAAAGTCCCATTGAAAACAGGATGTTATGTGACAAACACTGTATGTTATTATAGATCACAAAGATGAATGACAAGATGTACACATTACTGGCGATCTGTCTTGTTCTTCATCCAATCAGAATTGATGAAAGTGTTCACTCACAGTTAAGAGAAAAGTTTGCAGATAAAATGCTGCGTATGTCTAAGGCGTAAGTACATTTTGTTACATCTTGTATGTACATTTAGCAGATTATGAGTTGAAAGTAGCAGCCTTTATGTATCATTTTATAATGCTGTTGAAGTGGAATAAACATCTTCAGTTATACAAAAAATGATTCCTATATGTATGGTCTAGAGAAAGGAAATCCTCATTTGATACATAATTCTTTTAGTCCCAAATTTTCAAAGAATTAATTATTTCTGGCAATTCTTCATAATTTTCTTGTTTATATGAAATAAAATAAAATAAATAAGTTGCTTGACACACTTTTTAATGGCTGTATTAAAGAATTTGTGTGTATTGTTCTCATTTCAGTGACCTGCAGGAATTTGAACAGAATTTTTCATTTGCATGCCCCAAGTTCTTGTCTCCAGTTCCTCCCAACTATGATACTGTAGCGATGTTGAACTTTCATAAGGTATGTCAAGAATAAATCCTTTATCACTTTACTTTATATATTAGACTTGACCTGATTTTTAGCATGTCTACTCAAAGAATATTGGGAACTAGTGAACAACCACATCACAAACGAGTGCAATTTGGCATCTCCAAAACTACCTATGGAAATGGGTCGAAACTTAACACACTTGTTTTCTGTGATCATCTGACTTGATGGGCACATGTCCCATAACTCTGATTTACCTTTTACAAAGATATGCCTCTTTTCTATCTGTCAAGCACTGAGAATAGTCAAGAATGTTGTCTTAAGAGACAGCTCTTGTGGTTTGAAAGTGTCGGCCATCAAAGGGATTTCAATATCCCACTGCTAAAATAAGCAGACAGCAGTAAAGTCTTACGAGACTCTGTGTTGCTGACATGAGGATTTCATGAGGAAATAATGAAATCCTCTCTTTCTAGAGTACTTTTATTAGCTCACCTGTCACAAAGTGACAAGGTGAGCTTTTGTGATCGCTTTTCGTCCGGCGTCCGTCCGTCCGTAAACTTTTGCTTTAAATGACATCTCCTCATAAACCACTGAGCCAATTTCATCCAAACTTCACAGGAATGTTCCTTTGGTGGTCACCTTTAAAAATTGTTCAAAGAATTTAATTCCATGCAGAACTCTGGTTGCCATGGCAACCGAAAGAAAAATAATTAAATATCTTCTTTTAAACTACCCTAAGAGCTAGAGCTTAGATATTTGGCATGAAACATCTTCTAGTGAGTGTCTACCAAGTTTGTTCAAATAAAAGCCCTGGGGTCAAAATTGGCCCCGCCCCAGGGGGTCATTGATTTTCCCTATATGCATATTGTAAAAACTTAAAAAATCTTCTTTTAAAGAACCCAAAGAGCTAGAGCTAAGATATTTAGCATGAAACATCTTCTAGTGAGTGTCTACCAAGTTTGTTCAAATAAAAGCCCTGGGGTCAAAATTGGCCCCGCCCCAGGGGGTCATAGATTTTCCCTATATGCATATAGTAAAAAACTTAAACAATCTTCTTTTAAAGAACCCAAAGAGCTAGTGCTAAGATATTTAGCATGAACATGTTCTAATGGGTGTCTACCAAATTTGTTCAAATAAAAGCCCTGGGGTCAAAATTGGCCCCGCCCCAGGGGGTCATTGATTTTCCCTATATGCATATAGTAAAAACTTAAACAATCTTCTTTTAAAGAACCCAAAGAGCTAGTGCTAAGATATTTAGCATGAACATGTTCTAATGGGTGTCTACCAAATTTGTTCAAATAAAAGCCCTGGGGTCAAAATTGGCCCCGCCCCGGGGGTCATTGATTTTCCAGATATGTGTATGGCAAAAACTTAAAAATCTTCTTTGAAAAAACCCATATAGCTAGAGTTTAGATATTAAGCATGAAACATCTTCTAATCAGTGTCTACAAAGTTTGTTCAAATAAAAGCCCCAGGGTCAAAATTGGCCCTGCCCCGGGGATCATTGATTTTCCTTTTTTGTGTTAACAAAAAACTTAAAAATCTTCTTTGAAAAAAACCCAGCTAGATAGAGTTTAGATATTAAGCATGAAACGTCTTTTAGTAAATATCTACAAAGTTTGTTCAAATAAAAGCCCGGGGGTCAAAACTGGCCCTGCCCCAGGGGTGTCATTGTTTTTTTAACTATATATGTGTATAGTAAAAAACTTAAAAAATCTTCTTTTAAAAAACCCAATGAGCTAGAACTTAAATGTTTAGCATGAAACATTTTCTTTAAGGGTGTCTACCAAGTCTGTTCAAATAAACAAATAAAAGCCCTTGGGGTAAAAATTGGCCCGCGGGGGGGGGGGGGGGGTGGGGGGGCTATATACAGGTGAGCGACCTCAGGGCCATCATGGCCCTCTTGTTATTTTAAATATGACTTAACTGTAAAAGATCAAAATTTGAGCCATCCAAGGCCAATAATTCTTGCTGTCTAAGAATAGGGAGAGCTGTTGTCCTCACCCATGTGTCAGTGTCCAGACTTTGGTTAAGTTTTTGTGTGCAAGTACGTATCTCTAGAACTACTGAAGGGAAGTGGTTGAAACTTAACACATGTTGAAAACATTATTGGAAGTCACTGTCCAAGGCTCGTGGCTCTAAATTCTGGAAATTGTAACAGAATTATGATTCTTTTTTAAAAACGTAGAAAATTTTCTACAATTATCCAGGGGTTCTTGTTTCAACCATAAAGCACCTGAGAATTTGTCAAGCAAAAAGGGCTGTCCTACTGACAGCTCTTAATGCCTAAAATGAACTTTTTAAGTAGATGTTTTTGGAATTTCACATTAAGACATGGTTTTATTGTTATAAAAGCCATTTTAAAAACAATGTTGATGGTGCTCGTTGGGAATAATGTGTATATATAATATTATTTTTAAATTTTCCGGAGCCTTTTTTATGCTGCGTGTAAGGGTATTTATAATTGAGGAAGTTGCCCTCAGCAGGCTTCTAAAAAATATTATACCGAACAAATAAGGAGGTTTAGTACTTTTAACAAATTTTGTTCAAAAATCAATTCCTTATTTGTGTTGCCTGTTACAGAGTAGCCACGACATATAAGGATCACTTCTTGGTAATCTGTCTGTCCATCTGTCAGCACTTACATTCAAATACTTAGGTGGCTACTCTGTTGTTGTCCCTATTGTTCTTTTAGCCACATAAGAAAACTAAAGCCATGTAAGAGCATATGGAATTAATGAAATCAAAGAAAAAGTAAAGTTACCTATTGTTCCTTTAGCCACCTAAGTACACAAAGGTATGCACGTCCATCTGTTTGTCTGTCACAAAACTTATTCAGACTTCTTCTCAAAAACTACAGGGTAATTTCATCCAAACTTTGTAGTACCAAATCCAGTGGTGCATATCATCAGCAATTTCCAGTTCAATGATTTTTGTCAGAGTGATGACCCTTTAATGATTTTTATTTTAAAAGTATGTTGGGGCGACTTCTTTTATACCAGTAATTCAATTTGAATGAAACTTTACAGGTTTGATTCTTGCACATATCACTTACAAGGAAAACTTAATTGTTGTCTGTCTTGAATGGACTACTCCTAAAAAACTACTGATATTTGCGCATGGGTTTTCAGGTTGAATGATTTTTATACGCCCGTTTGAAAAACTGGTCATATTATAGTTTCCCCCCTGGTGGGCAAGTGGGCAGTGTCCAATTTTTGTCCGGAGCATATCTCCTACATGCATTGAGGAATTTTAATGAAACTTCATAGAATTGTTCACCACTAACAGGGGTGTCGCGCACATGAACCAGGTCTCTAGGTCAAAGGTCAAGGTCACACTTAGAGAGTCATTGGAGGTTTTGGCTATTGGTAAAATTTATTTGTCATTGGATTGTTATAACCACCAAGCTGATAACTATCTTCGATAACTACAAAGGTGTGACCACATAATTTTTAGGTTTAATATTTTGCAAGGTCAAATGTTCACTAGAGATGATAAAATATCCAGATATTGTCGGGATATTGCCCAGAGCATATTGTCTATATGCATATCTATAATGCCTACATCCCTGACAAAAGCTTTTGTGAGGGGCGTATTTTGGGACAATGTTGCCCTTGTTGGCTGAGTTATGGCCTTTGAATAAAGAAGAATTTTGGCCTGTTAATGATTTTTGTGAATCATCAGGCAACACAAGTCACTGAAAGCTCTAATTTTATATAAAAAATATATGCTTCATGTTTGTAATGATAATTATTGCCTGAATGGCTAAAACATAGGGTTAATTAGATTTTAAAATCATCAACAATGACAGTGTTGATCAAGTTGATTAATTACAATTAAAGACTTTACATTTCAATTGTACATCAATCTTATATAAGGATATTATTTTCAGTTACCTAAAGCTGTACACAACACTTCCCATACAGAAGTTGGCAATATTTATGGATATGGTAAGTGAATTTACCTTTCATATTAGATTTGAAATTAAAGGTAGATACACCGTCCTCTCATTATTAAGCTCAAGTATAAAGTCTCACACCACAAATTGGGCTCTGATATACTCATATAATGATCATCTCTTGATTTGATTGTTGACAGGAAGAATTACCCTACAGTTACCTACATAACCTGTTCATGTAACAGTATTGTTTAACATTTGTCATTATTTATAAAAATTTGAAATAACAAAAGATGTTCATAAATCATGTAAATGATAAGAAAACTATTACTTTATAAAATATATAGGGTTTTGTTTAAAATAAATGATAAACAATGTGAAAATTAATCAGGTACTGCAGTAACCACTTTAATCATCATTCCTAGTATATCATCTAAAATTCTGTCATCTTTTGCTAATAAAATTGTGAGTTGGTGTTGATGACTCATTTAAACAGTGTTTACATGTCACAGCTTTGTTTTTAAGCTAATTGAAGTTATTTGAACAGGTAATACAAGTACATGTAATACATGTACCTGACTTACCAATACTGTATTCCTAGAAATGTTCGCGGATACAATATTTCGCGTTTTTCACAACGTCTGCATTTTCGCTGAGACAAACTTTCGCGGATTTGTAGTAACCACGAATTAAGCGAATATTAAGTCGCTATGACATAAATTACAGTTTTTAGAGGCTACGTTTTCGATGCATGACCTTGCTCGTGGGTTATTTTAATTCTTTTATTTTTTTAACAAGTCGCGCCTAAAGCGCTACGTAACTCGATACATTTTCATTTATTAACTAGTCGAACACGGACAGTTGTTCCATGAACACTTTTTACTTAATTCCTGACCCTTTTCACTGTGTGATTAAGTAAGATTAAGTCAGACCAATTAGCTTTTATTCTCATTTGAATCATAACTGACTTTTTCTTCAAAATGTCGATACAAAATTAATTAAACTGTACACCGCTTTCATTATAACAACATAACATCTGTTTATTAATGTAGCACTTGATCGCTATTGTACTTTTAACAAAAGATGATACCTACTCCAAGCAAAAAAATCAAAGTCATTCAATGTACGCAAACTGTAAATGCTTTGTATACGCCATGACTAGCGAATAACGAGAATAAGCATAATAATTGACAATTTTTTCAGGGTCCAAATAGGTATCTATAACATACATACATAATTCTTTACACATTTCTATAGCACCTGTGTTTATATGTTTCTTGTGTAAGTAGATTATAAAAATATTCTGCACGTTTATGTTTTTATTTGGTTAAAGCTAGAAATGTTCGCGGATTTGTTATAAGTACCATATTCGCGGCTATTAAGATTCGCGGAATCATGCCTACCGCGAAAAGCGCTAACTTAAAACGCGCGAAATCTTTTCTAGGAATACAGTAAGTCAAAATAAATAAAGAAGCATATTAACAGCTGTGCTTGATTTTTACATCTTTGGTAATGGTGCCCTTAAGTATCCTAATAATTTGTTTATTGTACTTTTCAAGCCCAGTAAGCAAGCATGATTATAGATTTTGCACACAAGCATTTTTTATGTTTCCTGCAAAATACAATTTTTATTTTTGAGAGCCTAGACCTATGAATGCCAACGTGAGATTAGCATTATAAAAGGGCTCAGGATAACAGGGAGGCAGTGTATAATGCGTATATACTTTGTTTCTTGTCCAGACCTTCTTCATGCATGCTGTGATTTAAGAATAAATTGATACACATGATTATCATAAGTAGATGATGTGTCACTGACTCACATGCAAGAGCCAGGTCTCTAGAGATAACTGAAAAGTGCATTTGTTATATAATCAAAAGTTCAGTTGGAGTTTATGTCTGGCTTATAACTTCTGCATGCATTATTTGATTTTAAAATAAATTAGTACTACACTTAAAGTATATGATGTATCACATGCAAGACGAAGGTAAAAGATGATAGTGTGCATATCGTCCTATGGGCACATTGATTATTTCTTATTATCATACTTGAATAAGATTGACAACATAAATAAAATTATTAAAATTTGATCTTTTTTTTTCAGAGTGAAGAAGAATTGAAGACTCATTTAATGTGTTTTAAGGTATGTTATTTTAGAAGTATAAACTTGGCAGAAAGTGTTTTGATGCAATGTTTTAATATGTTATTTTAGTAGTACATGTATATACTTGGCAGAAAATATTTTGATGCAATGTTTTATTATTTAATAAGTGTGTACTTTCTTAAAACAATGAGGTAAAATAACCGACAGTTTTGTGTTAAGACTGAATGATAATACATAGAACAATAACAGATAAATTTACTTGAATTTTCAGCATAAGATGAAGAATGTTGTCTGGACAAAGGGCACTAGTGGTTTAGAAGGAGAATTTCAGTCTGCTTCTGAAGTAGATTTTTACATTGACAAGGTATGATACAAGCTATTTAAAGTTTAACACTTGTGTTCATTACTTTTTCACACATTTTATTTGGACATGTTACATTTTTGCAATATCTAAAGTATAGAAACAAAATTAGGCATATTACTGTTTTGTAATCAATGTTACTGCTATTACTATGATATCAACTTTCATGGTTTTAAAAAGTCAACTTCAGTTCACAAGTAGACTTGTATAGACATTGTGACTAGGTTATGTTCCAGTCTTACATTTCTGGATGGTACCTTTGTAGAAAATACTAAAAATGTTCCCAAAAACCTTAAGTTAATCATTATACCCCCGAAACGATGGTCGGTCAGTCGGTCGGTCCAGCGGTCCGTTGCATTTTCCTTGTCCGGAGCATAACTTGAAGACTAATGGTTGGAATTCAATATAACTTCATACAATGGTCAAGCACATTGAGAGGAAGTGCAGTGCACAAAAACAATAACTCCATATTGACTAATTACAGAGTTATTGCCCTTTGTTACTTTTCATTGTCTGGAGCATAACTTGAAAACTACTGGTTGGAATTCAAAACAACTTCATACAATTGTCAAGCACAATAAGGGGAAGTGCAGTGCACAAGAACCATAACTCTATCTAAAGTAATTACAGAGTTATTGCCCTTTGTTACTTTTCCATTGCTTTCTTTTGTCCAGACCATAACTTGAAGACTAATGGTTGGAATTCAATATAACTTCATACAATGGTCAAGCACATGGAGAAGAAGTGCAGTGTACAAGAACCATAACTCCATCTTTACTAATTACAGAGTTACTGCCCTTTGTTTTTTTTCCTTGTCCGGAACATAACTTGAAAACTACTGGTTACTCATTACAACTTCATACAGTTGTCAAGCACATTAAGAGGAAGTGCAGTGCACAAGAACCATAACTCCATTTGACAAATTACAGAGTTATTGCCCTTTGATACTTGTCCGGAGCATAACTTAAAACATACTGGTTGGAATTCAAAAGAACTTCATACAATGATCAAGCACAATAAGAGGAAGTGCAGTGCACAAGAACTTTAACTCTGTCGAGAGTAATTATAGAGTTATTGCCCTTTGTTACTTTTCCATTGCTTTTTAGCTCGACTATTCAATAAGAATAAGTAGAGCTATTGTAGTCACCTGAGCGTCGGCGTAACCACTTATGTTAAAGTTTTTGTAATACCTCAAATATTTTCAAAGTCCATTGACAAATGGCTTTGAAACTTTGCACACTTGTTCACCATCATGACCCCAACCTGTAAACAGGAGGAGGTAACTCTATCAAGCATTTTGACAGAATTATGCCCCTTTTTCGACTTAGAATTTACGTTAAAGTTTTTGTAATACCTCGAATATTTTCAAAGTCCATTGACATATGGCTTTGAAACTTTGCACACTTGTTCACCATCATGATCGCAAAACCTGTAGACCAGGAGGAGGTAACTCTATCAAGCATTGCTTCAGAATTATGCCCCTTTTTCGACTTCTTACGAATTTACGTTACAGTTTTGTAATAACCCTTAATATTTTCAAAGTCCATTGACATATGGCTTTGAAACTTTGCACATTGTTCACCATCATACCCTCAACCTGTAACAGGAGGAGGTAACTCTATCAAGCATTTTTGACAGAATTATGCCCCTTTTTTCGACTTAGAATTTACCGTTAAAGTTTTTGTAATAGTTCTGAAAATATTTTCAAAAGTCCATTGACATATGGCTTTGAAAACTTTGCACACTTGTTCACCATCATGATCCCAACCTGTTAGACAGGAGGAGGTAACATCTATCAAGCATTTTGACAGAAATTATGCCCCTTTTTCGACTTAAAATTTACGTTAACAGTTTTTGTAATACCTCAAATATTTTCAACGTCCATTGACATATGGCTTTGAAACTTTGCACATTTGTTCACCATCATGACCTCAACCTGTAAACAGGAGGAGGTAACTTTATCAAGCATTTTGACAGAATTATGCCCCTTTTTCGACTTAGAATTTACGTTAAAGATTTTGTAATACCTCAAATATTTGCAAAGTTCATAAGGCTTTGAAACATGTTGAAATTTTATACTCTTCTTTAACAGCATAATAGGACTCTCTCCAATGCCTATAACTGTAATATGGATTTAAAGAAAAAAAATTGCCTTTTTGAATTTTCTTTACTGAGAAAATTTTACCTTTTAATCAAGGCTTTTTTTACTATCAAGCACTAAGAATAGTCGAGCGTTGCTGTCCTACCGACAGCTCTTGTTTCTTGTCCAGAGCATAACTTGAAAACTTCTAGTTGGAATTCAATACTATTTCATACAATGGTCAAGTATATTGAGAGGAAGCGCAGTGCATAGAAACCATAACTCTTTCTTGACTCATTTAAAAGTTTTTGCCCTTTGTTTTCTTTATTGTCCAGTGCAAAAAACTTGAAAAAATTTAATTTGGGTTTGGGGGTTCAAAAGAAATTTTATACAATGGGCAAGAGCGTGAAGTGCAGTGGGACAAAATTGGAAAACTTGTAGTTGGAATTAAATACAACTTCCCTACAATGGTCAAGTGCAATGAGAGGAAAATGGGAGTTTTTACAAAAACCATAATCCATCTTCAGTATTTTAAATTGGGCCCCTTTGGTTTTCCCCCTTTCCTTTTTCTTTTTTGGGCTTATTGCAAGGGGTTATTCAATAAAAAATTCTCAAAAGGTCAACCACATTGAAAGGAAATGCAACATACAAAACCCCAACTATCTTTTTAATTTCCCCCCAACCATAAATTTTATTTTTTTACAAGGTATTCTGACTAGTAAACCTCAAATTTCCCCAAACGTCTTTTGGGGGTTTTTAAAACACATTTAAAAGGGGAAAAGGTTCTTGTTTGATATTTTTATTCCCATGGGATTGAAAAAAAAAAAAAAAGTTTTTTTTAAACAAATTCTTATCTTAATGTTTGGCCTTTTATTTATTATGCCGCCCTTTCAAAAAAGAAATTTAGCCCCCCTCCTCATCAAAAAAGGGGATTAATTGGCTTTGCATTTGTCTGCCCGGTCCGAAAGACCAAAGGTTTTCTGATAAATTTAACTAAAAAAAAACCCTTTAAAGGCCCTTTGGGAAACTTCCAATTTGGGGTTTTGTTTTGTTTTTTACATAAACCAAGAAAGATGCCCCCCTTCTTGGTTTTGGGTTTCAAGGGGTCTAAGGTAAAGGGTTTCACTTTTAACCTTTTTATGAAAAAACAGTTTCCGATCAATAAAAAACTTTTGGGCCCCTAGGAATTTTAAAACTTTTTCTGTGATTTTAATGACCAGTAGATCCCTGTATTGATTTTGGGGGTTTTCAAGGGGTCAAATTTTCAAGGTCACATTGCCCTTTTGTGGGGAAAAAATGGTTTCCCCGGACCAATAACCAAAACCCTAAAATTTTCCCCCTTTGGGTTTTTGATATTTTTTTTTTAAATTTAAAAATCCCTTTTGGTGAAACCACATTTAAAAGGTTTTTAATATAAAAAATTTTGGTGTCTTTTTAGGGAGGCCACATGTTTCAAAATTTTATGCATATATTTTTTTTGGTACGATTTGTGATAATTTTGGGCAAAAAATTGCTGCCCCAAAAAAATTTTTTTTACGGGTCACAAATACCTTAGTGCCCTATTCAGGGACTAGGAAACCCCTATTAATTTTTTTTTGGCCCCCTTTTTTTCAAAAGGGGCAGTCATAATAACCCGACCACATTACTTTAAATTTGGGTGGCCCGTTTAGGGGGGATAACCCCTTTTTTTCAAAAAACAGCTTGTTTTTAATTTCAGATTTTCTTTGATGTGTTCGTTTTTTTTTTTGTTTTTTGAAATTTTTTTTTGAAAAAAAACTTTTTTTTTTTAGGATTTTGGTTTCACATAGCTGATACAAAGGTTGCCAGGAGATATGGTGATTTCTTCATCAGACAAATTCATAAATTTGAAGAGGTGAACTGTTTTAACTTTACTTTTTGATGTTGAATCTTAAGGCGTTCTGATTTTGTCTGTTATATACAGTTTGAAATCTGACTGATATGGTCATTAACTTTGCTTAAGCCAAGGTTTGTTAAGCCTACGTTTGACAAATTGATCATGGCCAGTAGTTACCCCAATTGATAAGGTCATTAGGTCAAGGTGACACTAACTGTTAAATCTTTGTTTCATCAATTATTTGTTCTAGTTGTTTTCTTACTTTACTATACAGTTTAACTTGTCTATGTTAAGCAACATCTGTCTTATGCGACCACTGTACATTGCTGTATGATTTAAAAAAAAAAAATCTTTTGATACTTTTTGATTCAGAAATATATTCATAGGAAGAATATTTTATTTAAAAAGAAGAGAAACAATAGATATCTTCACAAATTGAATAAAAACTTTGATTTGTTACATTTTGTCTCTTGTTATCATAAGGATTGTTTAGATAAGTTGGTGAAAACAAAATACAAATTGGTTTCTATTTTTTCAAACAAATTAATGTTTGGGGACATAATGCCCTTCTTCTGAGGTATCCTAGTTTAACTAAATAAAAATGCCAGAAGGCAAGAATAGAATTTATTTATGACAATATTAGATTTTTAAGTGTTTTGTAACTCGAAGTGAATTTTAACAAAATGTTTTTCTGAAGATTCTCGTTGAACTATAGGAAATGAGCATTGTTTTTGGGCCCCACTACATAGTGGAGCATATACAGCTGCCCTCGTTCGTCCTTTGGTCCGTCTTTTACATTTTACCAAATATTTGATAGTCAATTCAATGACAGATATATAATGTATATTTTTTTGTTATTGCAGATAACAAGAAGTTTGAAGAACATTCAGGCATAATTATAAAATCATAGTGCTGTGTCAGTATAAAAGTGTTTAAGTCATCAATAATTGTGAAACTTTAAATAAAAACATTGAAATAATTCTGCACAAAGGCATTTTACAGTACTGTCATGGACTGAAAATAAACTAATGACAAATTCATTTGTTCTTTAAAATTTATTACACCCTACATGATAAAATCTTTTAGATTCTCCTATCAAAACCGGCAACTATGTTGTTTATAGTAAACCTTTCCTGGAGATTCAGGTATACATAAACAACTATTTATATACTGTCATATAACTTGTCAGAAATTTTTAGCTATTATAAAATTAACATTTATTGTTCCATTTAACAAAGTTGGGCAACGGGTTACAAGTCTAGCTAATGTCTTTACAGAATAATCCTTATTTTGAACTTGGAATTTTATTTTTTTTTTTAAACAATCACCGTCATTATAAATGGTATCTACTTAAGACTAACATAATTGTTCTTTGTTATAATTCATATGTACGACAAGGTTCATAACTCTAGCATCTTTATTTCGAGAGTTATATAATCTTCGAACTTATAATTTTGCTTAAAAATTTTAACCACCCATACCTTAAGCTCTTATCAGTTTTGTTACTGAAGATATTGACTCAAAAAGTTTCTGTTTAACTTTTATTGACATGGTTACATGTCCATTATGTGGTGCAGAAATATTTAACATTTGAGTGCTTTCTTGAAACTTATACAGAAATATATTTATATCATAATTAATTTTACCCCATAGTTTTGTCTTCCTTTATTAATTAACTTTTCAATATTAGGCACATTTTCACTTCAAATGTAAGGCTAATATGAAGTTCACCACATAATTATGAACATTAATGAGGCCATGATTGGAAATATATGGCCATTATGAGATTGGAGAGTTTTTATTGGCTCTCCAGCTCAACCATTATGAATCTGCTTTTTTTTTCATTGAAAAAATGTCGCCATTTGAATTGCTGCAAAGAAGGTTTCTGAGACATATTTAAAACAAGAATATCATTTGTAATACCCCACAACAACGGAATTTCACATTATTTTTGTTCACTTAGTAATAAACTTTTTTACTTTATGTGTAGTTAATAAAATTGTCAATAATTGTTTTCATAAAGACACTGTTATTGGGCTTTAGACTGTCATATTAGCCGGAGGCTTCAGGCGAACATGAATCTGCAGCCTAATAACAAGGCCATTATGGAAACACTCAATTATTAACATTACATTACTGCGTCCAGTATTTAATAAGTCGAGTCACGGTTTCCTCCGACAGCTCTTGTTTACTATGCCCCCTCCAAAATGGGGAGGCATATAGTTTTTGTAGCGTCCAATCAACAATTCTGTCATAGATGGATTTATAAATTATGGACAATGAAGTGTTGCACACAAGAACCGGGTTCCTAGCTCAAAATTCAAGGTACCACTTGCAGATCAAGTCGTATAATATTTTTTTAAGTACATTGATGTTTGTCTGGTCTACAGGAAGGACTTAAAAATTATGCATCGATGTGTTGGAAATAAAGTCATGAATCTTTTGTGCATAGCATTGTCATTCATGGACGGATGCTTAAATATGCTGTTTTATTTCATTACTGTGTAATGGACAAAATTTAGCTTAGCAACCCAAAAGTAAAGTTCATACTTTAAATGTAGTCATGTGGTCATGTCCAGTCCATGTTTTTTGGTCATTTAGTGACAGATTATGATGGAGCATCGATAGTCTTGTCGAGTCTATGTTTTTTGTCAATTAGTGACATTTTTTGTAGTAACTTTGTTTAAAATATCTAGTTTTTTAAAACAATTTGTCATATGCTAAGATTTCCAAGGTTTACAGTTTCATAAAAAAACATTGACATCAATTCGGTCATCCATAAATGGATACTTCTGTGGCACAGGAAAAACTTGTCACATGCAATGCCAGGTTTACAGTAAGGTTAAAAATAGTACATTGATGGTTGTGTCGGGTCATATTTTTTGTCATTCATGCTTTTTGAAATAATTGGGCTCATTGATAATTGTCAGTAAGAATTTGTTTATGTTTATATTTTTGTAGATCTACACTTTATAGTAACCAAAGCCTTAGATGCAAGTCAAAGGTCATGGCCCTGCCCCTCATTTATACCAATTCCTTACTAAGTTTCGTCAAAATTCAAACAAACGTGAAATAAGGTCATTAAGCATTGTTGGGAACAATACCAATTCTATTATACTTGTACACAGAAAGGACCTCATCCAATAAAAGTTTGACAGATGTGTACTAGGTGTCCAATTAGAATTTAACTCAACATGTGTAATAACCTTGTAATACCATCCGCCAGTCCATATTTTTGTGCCACCTGCTACAGAGAGCAGCAACATAAAGGGATCACTTCTCAGATGTCGCGCTTGTCCGAGCAAACATTTGGAAACTTACGTGGCTATAGTAACTGTACTTCTCACTTATTCCATATTAAGCTTTTATCTGGCTAAAAAGAACATGAGGAAGCCTGGGAAAGTTATCACCCCGCTAGAATGTCCAGACTACTTTTCTAGAACTTGAAAATTTTTATCCAAACTTTACAGAAATGATCAGTACCAAAACTAGTTGTGCATATAATTGGTATTTTCCAGTTCAATGTTTTATGTTAAGAGTTATGGCCCTTCACAATTTTTTATTTTAAAGTTTGTTCGGACTACTACAATGCAATTTGATAAAACTTTACTGGATTGATTTGTACCTAAAGTACTTGCCCATGTTTTCTGGTTATTTATGGCCATGTAGCCTAAATTTTTGTCTCCTGCTATATGCTACAAAGTAGTTGCAACATAGGGTAACAAACTGTCTAATCACCTCGCAATACAATTGCCTAATTGACACATTATCACCGATAGCTCTTGTTCAATATATAATGCATGTATCACATGCATAAATACAGCAAGATAAAAAAAATGTATTTTGCTGCAGATAAGCTTTTTACACTTTAAAAAAAAAGTAAATTCAATAGTATTTTAAATCTATCTTTTATTTGACCGATGGATTTTACTAGAACTGTTCACACAAAGTGTAAGAGATCCCATTTATGTCAAATCCACAAAAGTAGAACAAAAGTTCGAGACCATACCTCTATAACCTATTGTATTATTAATGAAGAAACTAGTACAATGTTCAAACAAATATACTGAACCATGCAATGTGCCAGTTGTTCAATGGTACAACTTAGATGTAGTAGCTTATAAAACTTGTTTTGTTTGCAAAATCGGTCACCTTATCCCTGTATAAAAGCCCAGATATGTTTATTTAACGTAAAAAAACGAGTTTCAAAAGGATTGAAAAAACTGTACCAACATATCTACATTCAAACTTGGAGAAAGTTTCTTTTTTGTTTCAGCATATATATTACGACTGATAAGTCAGTAATGGTTTTCTATTTCTTTAGCCAAATTTCTAGTGACATGAAAGTTATCAATTACTTGAACATGTCCATTTTTAACAATGAAATGCTAAAAGGCTATGCATGCGATTTGTTTAGATTTTAAGCCATAGTGACATGGTGGAGAAATTTTATACCCTGCAGATCACAGGGAATCGGTAGTGTAAGGATAGTTTAAAAAAGTAATTCTAGAAAAAACTAGAAATGTGTCCATAGGACACGGATGCCCCCACACGCCACTGTTCTGTCAATCTTATGACTCTAGGTCAAATATTTTTTGGACTACATGTGCCACAAGTTGAAAACTAAAAATCAACAAAGGGCAATAATAATGTTAAATTTGGTCGCAGCAAAAATTCCTTCCTTTACTACCATCTACACATTAAGGTTGTTGCTCCCTGTAAGTTTAAGCAAAATCTGCCATCCGGTTTAAGAGGAGTTGCGTTCACAAAATTTCGACACAGTATATAATGAAAAAATCAACAAAGGGCCATAATTCTGTTAAATTTGGTTGCAGCAAAAATTCCTTCCTTTACTACCATCTACACATTAAGGTTGGTCATCCCTGAAAGTTTAAGCAAAATCTGCCATCCGGTTTAAGAGGAGTTGCGTTCACAAAATTTCTACATAGTATATAGTGAAAAAATCAACAAAGGGCCATAATTCTGTAAAATTTGGTCGCAGCAAAAATTCCTTCCTTTACTACCATCTACACCTTAAGGTTGTTCATCCCTGGAAGTTTATGCAAAATCTGCCATCCGGTTTAAAAGAAGTTGCGTTCACAAAATTTCTATATAGTATATAGTGAAAAATCAACAAAGGGCCATAATTCTGTTAAATTTGGTCGCAGCGAAAATTCCTTCCTTTACTACCATCTACACATTAAGGTTGTTCATTCCTGGAAGTTTAAGCAAAATCTGCCATCTGGTTTAAGAAGAGTTGCATTCACAAAATTTCTACATAGTATATAGTGAAAAAATCAACAAAGGGCCATAATTCTGTAAAATTTGGTCGCAGCGAAAATTCCTTCCTTTACTACCATCTACACCTTAAGGTTGTTCATCCCTGTAAGTTTAAGCAAAATCTGCCATCCGGTTTAAGAGGAGTTGCGTTCACAAAATTTCTACATAGTATATAGTGAAAAAATCAACAAAGGGCCATGATTCTGTAAAATTTGGTCGCAGCAAAAATTCCTTCCTTTACTACCATCTTCACCTTAAGGTTGTTCATCCCTGTAAGTTTAAGCAAAATCTGCCATCCGGTTTAAGAGGAGTTGCGTTCACAAAATTTCTACATAGTATATATAGTGAAAAAATCAACAAAGGGCCATAATTCTGTTAAATTTGGTCGCAGCGAAAATTCCTTCCTTTACTACCATCTACACATTAAGGTTGTTCATCCCTGTAAGTTTAAGCAAAATCTGCCATCCGGTTAAAGAGGAGTTGCGTTCACAAAATTTCTATATAGTATCTAGTGAAAAAAATCAAACAAAGGGCCATAATTCTGTTTAAATTTGGTCGCAGCAGCAAAAATTCCTTCCTTTACTACCATCTACACATTAAGGTTGTTCATCCCTGTAAGTTTAAGCAAAATCTGCCATCCGGTTTAAGAGGAGTTGCGTTCACAAGATTTCGGGACGTACGGACGGACTGACGGACGGACGGACAAGTGCAACGCTATATGCTCCCACATTGTGGGGGCATAAATATATTCTGTATATATATATATATACATGTATATATAACTATATTTTTTCTAGAATAACTTTTTTAACTATCCTAACACTGTGCCGAGTCCTTTTGCTGCAGATATTCAGTTTATGCTTTTAAAGAAGTATATACAATGTTTTATACCCTCCAGGCCAGGACTAGTCAGAAGAAAAATCAAAACATCTCCAGGTTTGAATCATTTGTTAATTCTGCAACAATACAACCGTTAAAGCTTACTGTTTAGATATGTTAAACATTAAAACTTTGCAATTTCCAATTTTAAAGTTATTAGTATTAACTAAATGAACTAATCTCCTTTCACAAATTCATAAATGCATCAAGGTCTGCAAGGTTTTTCTGAATTTTCATTTTTTTAAAACTTTTTTTTACACAGATCTCAAATAGTAATCAAAAACAACATAATAATTTCAACATCTTTATTATTTTTAGTCTAAAGAATTATTAAAATATACAACAAACAGGCGGCAGTACAACATTGGTCCAATGATGACAAAATATTTAAATTTCACTGTAACTTACAAGCACAGGTACTGATCATGATGAACAAAAGTAAGACAAATAATATATTTACAATAAAATGGTATTAAGAATATTTTAATGGAACATAAAATAATGATAAAATGAAACAACAGAAAATGCTTTTAACAATGAAATAAATATCAATGTGCTACTTACTATCACCTTTCAAACTAATCACATCATACTATTGCAATTAGAAACAGCATCATTGCTACTTAAAGAAAAAACACGAGTTTAGTCCTGCCAACAAAATAAATCTGTAAAAGATGACACATATTTATACCTCGGAGCTGCTTCTTTCCCTCGGATGTTTTAATGAAATTAAAACTCAATATTTTGACTTTTTAAATACTCTGCACTATCATAATTTAGTCCAAACACAATGCAGGTCATGATTAAGTCTTATGTCTAGTGAGATTCTTTGTCATTTATTTTTGCATTGAATTCCAGCCATTATATGACTGCTGTTGACCATAGCCAGCACCCCCATTACCATAACTGTTTTGTTGTTGTGCACCAAATCCATTCATTGTTCCATTCTGATTACTTGAGAACCCGCCTCTTCCTGCACCACGACTTCCAGCCATTCCAGTTCCTGTGGCTCCACCTCTACCAGTTGTATTACCAAATCCTTTTGTTGTATTTCCAAAACCTTTCTGTTCACTGTCACGGTTACCAAATCCCCCACGACCACCAGAGTCAAAGCGGGAGCCCCCTCTACCTCCTGATCCACCACCAAACCTTGATCCACCGCCGAATCTTGATCCACCACCATATCCTCCACCGCCTCCACGATAACGACCTGAAATTTTTTTTAAAACTATCTTAGAACAAAAACTATATATTGTGGGTTATCTCAGCCAATACAGAAAACAAATTTATCATATGGCTATATGCCATGTATCCTAGGCTTCTTATTACTTCTATGTAAATGTCATGGAAATATTTGAAACTGTTTTCATATATACCTCTGCCAAATCCTCTAGAACTTTCTGCTAGTTGTAGTAATTTTGGGTTGACAACCTGTTTAGCCTCTTGTAAAACATCAATAAGATCTTTTGCTTGTTTTATATTGCCTGGAGTGAAGAATGTGTAAGCTGTTCCTGTGTGAGAACTTCTACCTGTACGACCTATTCTGTGTACATAGTCTTCTGATGAGTTGGGGTAGTCAAAGTTGATCACAAATTTTATGTCTTCCACATCTAGATAAAGGAAAGCAATAGAAATTATAATTAAGTCTAAATGTGGATTTCTAAGATTCCATCACCACATCCACTTTCTCTGAAATAGTCAAATACTATATTAACTACAGAGGATTTTCTGGCTTAGTCAATGGGTCTGAGGTCAAGTGTTTACTTGTACAGGACTAAAACGGAGTAATTATTTTCACACCAGTGCTTTTAAAAAGATCTTTGAAAAAAATATATGAAAGTTTGTAATAGTCCAATACATTTGACACTTAACACGTTCATTGATAATATTGCCAGAAAACACTCAAACTGCAAACCACTCCATGTCAATGCTGTAATTCTGTTAACATATCTACAAGTTCTGAATGTAATGGCAAGACAATGTTAACTTGATATTCTTTTTATATATAGATTTCTTATTTCATTAGAGCATACTATTGACCATTAACAGTTTCAAATTCTGTTTAAAATGAACAGGAAATATTCTAACACTTAAAATATTTACCTTAAAAAAACAAAACAAAAAAACAACAAAAAAAAAACACTGTATAATTACGAAAAAATTGAATGATATTCTAAACTTTAATCATTCTGCCAAATCAACTTTATATTTACAAAAGAATTGAATGACAAGACTATAACATTAATCTATCTGCCTAATACTGGCCTCAGTACATTCCTGAACTCACTCTTGCCTTTTCATCCATGTATAGTGCACGACAATACCAACATTATAAATACCAGATTTGTTGCTGGTGAATTCTCTCCTGTGGCAGGGCTCTACGACATGACATCACCACAATGTAGTGAGGGAGGGCAATTATTATCTTCTGCAGCAATCATGATAGCGCCATACATAAAAATTTGCCACGTCAGTCATGTCAAAGGTCATTTTTTTTTGCGTCAATAGAAAATGCAAGTCCATGTTTATCATATATTTTATGTATCCAGCTAGTCACAGATTTTATATAAGATTAAGCTGAACTTCCAACATAGAGCAACATTCTGCAGACTGTGCCCAATTGGCTGTCAGCTTTTTTCACCAAGGTCCTAACTTGACCCCAGACCCAAAACTTTCAGCCACATATTAATATGCATATAAGAACAGCATACATGGAATCAATGTTTTATAGACATTGTGGGCAGTCTGACATTTGCTTATTTCTTTCAATAGATTTTATAAGACGCTGGCAGCTGTTTTTTTCCAGACTGCCCAACAATACCCTTAAAGTTACTTTAAAAAAAAAGTTAATTGGTAACAAAAATCCACCACCCCTTTATGATGACTTTAAAAATAACTCAGAAAAATTAATTATATGTAATAAAATCTTATCAACTGTGACATCAGCATTTACTGGATATGAAATAAAAGCATGGACTTCATTCATTTAAAATAAAATCTTGAAAAAAATGTAGTGCCAAAGCTCCGCTCTGCTTTACTTCTAAGGTAATTCCCTCTTGTATTTTGTACTTACATGAAGTCCACAAGAGGGTTGAAATAAAGATGAAAGCAGAGCCATCATATGACACTTGAATGGAGCCACCCGAGAGTGATCTCCTTTAAGTCCACAGTAGCCTCCCCTCAATCTTCCAGTCTTGTCATGCCGACATTGAGCCTTCTGCCGCATTCAAGCTGATCTTAATCTATGAAGCTATCAACAAGGAAATGGAAAACAAATCAAATGTACATTTGCATAACAAAAAATCAGATAGAATATTACATTATTGTACTTTCCTTGTTGAATATTAATTAAATTTAAGTTTACTGAGAAAGATAAATCAAAACTATTTTTAGTAGAACTAAAAGTATAATAAAGTGATGAAAATGGCCAACACTCTGTTTTAACAAACCTAGTCCACGGGAAGCAACGTCTGTAGCTATCAGAAGCGGTACTCGACTGTTTTTGAATTCTGTAATATAAAAAAAAAAGACCTCAGATGCATCTTCAACAGTATTCACTTCACGAAACTCTTGATGTCAGTTTTTTTGTTTTTAAAGAAAGGTAACATTGAAGATCATCTACTCAGCTAGAATTAAAACATTCAAGAAATTGCTACTAAGATTACAATTTGGTTGTTATTACATTGAAAATATTTATAAATTTAACTCGCTAAATACATATTCTATACTTAGTTTAAAAGACATAACACACTTTACTTACCACTTAAAACCCAGTCTCGTTCTGGCTGAGATTTATCACCATGAATACACAATACTGGCCACCTGATTGAAAATAGAATTATGTTTATAATTCATTTAAAATAAGTAAAAACCACAATAAAATTATGTTTGTTTGGATTTTACAAATTATCACATTTTCTGTAATTTCTCCTAACCTTCCTCATTCTGGCATTCCTGGATAACTAACCAAGAAATGTCACCTTGTCTGCAAGTGACCGACTACCAATCCAACATGATTTCTGAATCAGCAGTGCGAGACAAATGACCTAATGTCATGTCTGACAATTGTCACATAAAAATTTGCCTTGTCCGAGGATCAAAACAGCAAGTGAAGATTACAAAACCGATATTCTTCCAATTGAATCAAGTTATTTAATGGAGATAATAAGAGTTACAAGAATTCATGAGAATAATATCCAGATAACAATAAACAATTTTTATGCATTCTTAATAATTCATATCTGTGAAGAAGCTCACCCATCTCTTTTCATTCTGCGTTGTAATTCATCAGCTTTGCGCTTGGTCTCTACAAACATAAGGGTCTTGTTTTCTTTTTCCTGCATGATTTCTTCCAGTAACTTCATTAACCTACAACACAAACAATTATGGCTATAGTTAAATTGGAGACTTTCTGAGTAAACATTATGGCCGACAAACAAGTCATTTACAACACTCCATTACTATTCTTTTTATTGTATTTTAATTCACTCATATGGTGATCAATACTTTATAGGGATATTTGTATGTCACTTATAGTTTGAGGTCTCACCTGCAATACAGGTAGCAACTCTTGCATCTATGCAAGGACTTTGTAATGTAATGGTTATACTAAGGCAATAACTGATAATCTTAATTACGTGTTAATTATGAAAAATAAATTGACTTTACATAAATTTTCTTATACCAATGTTTGTGCCCTTACTTCATATCTTTCTCTGCTTCCTGACAAACATCAATTATTTGAAGAATGTTATGGTTAGCATGAATCTGTAGAGCCCCAATATTCATCTGTACATAATCTGTTAAAAATTCTTCTGCCAACTGTCTAACTTCTTTTGGCCAAGTAGCACTCCACATCAAAGTTTGTCTGTCAGGCTACAAAAATTTAAACAGTTTCAAATAATTTTTGTTATTACAATGATTAAACTTTCAAATAACTGCAATTACTTTAAAATAAAGTTTTCTTCAATCCAACAAAAAAATCTTACCCTGACTTGTTCTACAATCTTTCTGATCTGGGGTTCAAAACCCATATCTAACATACGATCTGCCTCATCTAAGACTAGATATGTTGTGCGTCTGAGATTGGTCTTTCCAGTTTCCAGGAAATCTATAAGTCTACCTGGTGTGGCTATACAAATTTCAGCACCTGCAGAAAAAAGTTTTCTCTTTATGAAGATACTGGCATTTCACTTACATAAAAATCTAAAATTAGAATGATCTTTTTCTTGAAAATATTAAATGCTGATTATATATTAGATGTTATTACATAAGCAGCTTTCTATGCAAGTCCTAACATGGTTTGTACCAAGTATATATCAATTCTTAAGTAAGAAAGGCAGTGATTTTTTCCCCTGTATTTTACAGCCGAATAAAGGCTGTTTCCCCTAGCTCAAAATAGGTATATTTTCCCCTAAAAAAGCTAATATTTTCCCCTGTAATGCCCTGTGCACTTCTTCACCAGAACCATTACTAAACAGCATCTGACTTATTATATCAGCGGGAAGACAGAAAGCTGTCCATATAGCCTCTGCTATGTACCATGCATGTAAAATTAAATTGAAATTAAAATATTATACAATGTGTGGGTAAATTCCATTCTCAGTTGCTGGAATTTGATTTTCCCTTTCTCTGATTTAACACGCTATATTTTCCCAGAAAGCCACAGGTTATTTTGAAAATTGGAAAAAAAAATCACTGAAAGGAAGCATTTTTTTAAATATTTAAATTCATAAAATACAAGTTTTGAAATATAAAATTAACAGCGTTAAAACATCCCCCCCAACATACAATATTCCAAATATTTATTTTAACTATTAACCGACAGATAAAAAATTCAAATAATGTAAACCTCTTTCAAGATCTCTAATCTGTGGTCCCTTTGGTGCACCACCATAAACACAGCAATTTCGTATACTGGATGTAGAGCCAAACTCTGAACAGATTTCTTGTACCTGTTGTGCCAATTCTCTTGTTGGTACAAGGACTAGGGCTATAGGACCATCACCTCTCTCAAGGTATGGTTGATGATTGATATGTACAATTGATGGCAAAATAAACTGAAATAAAAATTTGTAAAACATTTAAAGTATACTCTTTATCAAAAAGTTTCACTTCAGTAACACTTCAAGAAATTCATTAATTAATGAAATAGATAAAGCTGATTTATTAACATATTTCAACCTTGTATCCAAATTTTTTAAAAATGATAATAGAGATACTACTAATCCTTTATTTCTGCATAAGTGGTGAGATATACAAATGATCATTTCACTCAATGCCAGAGACTGTCGCATGCCAGAGGATCAAACCAGCAACTTGATTAATATTACAAAGCAGGTCTGTTGCTTAGCTGGCAGGTACATATTTAATAAATCTGACTTAATATTTTTTTTATTTTTATTGATATCACTTAAAAGTAAGGTACGTTTCAAATAAAGCATTAACTTACAGCAGCAGTTTTGCCTGAACCAGTCTGTGCAATTCCTACAACATCTCTACCAGAGAGAGCTATAGGCCAGCCAACAGCTTGTATAGGTGTGGGCTGTGTCCAAGACTGGGAACGTATACAGGTCATCACATATTCTACAAATCGAAATTTCAATTCATAAACAAATGATTCGACATGCCGTTCATTTTACTTTCAGAATATTTTAAAACTTATTATATATCAAAAGCTTTAAATACTCTTTGAATATTTTCAATAAATTCACAAAGCACAATTGCAAAAATGTTTTAATATAGATGACCAGTCTTATATCTTCAGTGATAACCTAATGCATATGCAGCCATTCAGAAAGACTGTCAGACCTATGTACCTGTCCGGTAAAAGTTATGCAGGTCCAATGAATTTTCACATGAGGTCCATGTAAAAAATACCAGTTATCAACCTTCTAGCCCTTACCCGCAAAATGAAATTATATTACTAAGCACCAATTGCTTCTGGCATGCACATAGAAATTAAATTTGGTAAACTTTCAAAGCTTACCATACCTAACACATTGTAAAAAATATATTCCTCCGGTCTTCAAATAGACTGCATATGCTTTGCAATGTTATCAATTTTATTGTGCTTCTATGTATGACTTGATTTCATGTACATATTCATTTCAGTACATAAAGATTCAATTAACTGAAAATTCACATAACCATTGCAATAGACTCGTTAAAAGATCCTGTAACAAATTTTTTTTATGGTTTTATATCATAAATATGATGCTCAAATTAAGATTTATCAATTTTGTTCCAAAAAACAATATTTTATTACGGAATTTAACATCTCATGTAAATAATTAAATAAATATATATAATTTCATACAACCTCAATTACAACATACAGGATCTTTAAAGGATTGAATCTAGAAGCTTTCTGGTTTAGGTTAATCAGCAGTTTTGCCTGTACAATAGACACGCAAGCACCATTAACATGAGGTTTCTATTGCTTTGGCTAATGAGGTTATGTTCCAAATTACAAATAATTTACTTTTTTCCACATTTTAAATCAAGCTACAGGTGACAATGATAACCTTTTTAAAGCTGTTATCTTTAATTGGTTGCACTGTAATTTGAAACATAACCATCTGCTTGAATACCAACCTGGAAAACAGGCTTCATCAAAGCTTAATATTGGTTTTGCAACATTATGTCCAGTGGAAGTAATTTGGTTGGCACTACAATAGGCCTGTATTTCAGCCTGAAAAAGAAGTTGTCTTCCAAGTTAAAACTAACTGTCAGACATTCATTTCATTACAGAAGTAAATATATTACCTGGATAATTAGCTTCATCAAATGAAAGAATTGGGTTTGGTACATTTTGTCCATGTTTTGTAATTGCATGGGCAGTAAGATAAGCTTGGATTTCCGTCTGAAATTTGAAAATGAACACAATCCAGGTAAGAAAAACTGGAATCTTGAATTTCTGAATCAAGGTCTGAAACATCCACAAAAATCAAGGTCTGCAACATCCACAAAATACATGTAAAATGAAAATGTTCATATTGTTAATACAATGGTACACTAGCTCAAACAGCAAAAAGATATGGGTATATTATGCACCAACCAGCCGGAGGGGGGGTGGGGGAGGTTTGGGGGCTTTCGTCTGTATCCCGCAAATTGCCAATGTTGCCCTCTTCTATGGATTTCAAAGCGGTACAAGTCAACCCGGCCCCAAACCAATGTTATTTCTAGTCAACCCGCCCCATTTTATTTATTTATTTATTTATTTTTGCTTTAAAATATAAACAATTATCAAGAAATAAATAAAAATTAACAACAAAAACCAAAGTTTAACGATGATATCGTTTATTATTTATTTTATATAAAAACTATCAATATTAACAAACAAGCAACACATGCATAGTTTACTGTTTTTACCGTCGCGAAAATAAGGTGACGTCTATCTTCAACCTTAACCTCTCTACGATAGAAGTATTAAGAAACTAGAAATGTGTCATCATGCCACGGATGCCCCCGCATGCAGCCAAAATTTCAGATGTAATAATATTTAGTTCCAAATTTGTTTGCACAAATTATTTTTTTCATTTTAAGTTCAAAGCCCTTAAAACTTTTCAATGTTAACACAAACCATTTTCATACAATGTTCAAGGCACTGAAATTATTCAGTCTAAACCTTTTGAAAATAGCATATTTCATATTTGTAGCCAAAATAATGGCTACATTCATTTCAGTGCTGAAACTGAAAGTTCAAAATTTTTCCAACATTCAAGAAAGATAAGTTTGTCCAAAATCATTGAACCACGACCAAATTCAAACTTAAACTGCTTATTCCTAAGATGTATCTATATTATTTTCAAAGTGAAAGGGACATAACTCTGCCAAAAAGTCATCGAACCATGACCAAATTCAAACTTGACCTGGGCATTCCTTTGACATATCCGTATGTCAAGTTTGAGTAGTTGGGTAGATAATGAACAGAAACTGTAAATTTCATATTATTTTCAAAGTGAAAGGGGCATTACTCTGCCAAAAATCATTGAACCATGACCAAATTCCAACTTGGCCTGGGCATTCCAAAAACATATCCATATGTCAAGTTTGAGTTGAATGTGTTGTACCGTTGGGGAGATAATAAACAGAAACTGAAAATTTCATATTATTTTCAAAGTGAAAGGGGCATAACTCTGCCAAAAATCATTGAACCATGACCAACTTTGAACTTGACCTGCGCATTCCTTTGACGTATCTATATTTCAAGTTTGAGTTGAATGTGTTGTACCGTTGGGGAGATAATAAACAGAAACTGAAAATTTCATATTATTTTCAAAGTGAAAGGGGCATAACTCTGACAAAAATCATTGAACCATGACCAAATTCGAACTTGACCTGTATTTTCTCATGACATATCCATATGTCAAGTTTGAGTTGAATGTGTTGTACCATTGGCGAGATAATGAACGGAAACTGAAAATTTCATATTATTTTAAAGTAAAAGGGGCATAACTCTGCCAAAAATCATCAAACCATGACCAAATTCGAACTTGACCTGTATTTTGTCACGACATATCCATATGTCAAATTTGAGTTGAATGTGTTGTACTGTTGGGAGATAATGAACGGAAACTGAAAATTTCATATTATTTTCAAAGTAAAAGGGGCATAACTCTGCCAAAAATCATCGAACCATAACCAAATTCGAACCTGACCTGTATTTTCTCATGACATATCCATATGTAAAGTTTGAGTTGAATGTGTTGTACCATTGGCGAGATAATGAACGGAAACTGAAAATTTCATATTATTTTAAAGTAAAAGGGGCATAACTCTGCCAAAAATCATCAAACCATGACCAAATTCGAACTTGACCTGTATTTTGTCACGACATATCCATATGTCAAATTTGAGTTGAATGTGTGCAACCGTTTCTAAGATAATGAACGGAAACTGATGATGACGGAATGACAGAATGACGGAATGACGGAAGGACGGAACAGGGTAACACTATATGCCCCGGCCATTACATGGCGGGGGCATAAAAACTAAACTTTTTTATTGACAAATCATGGAAAAGAAACTTAATGTGTTCAAATCATTACTATGTTATTGTATGTTAAAAAAAAAAGAAATGACCAAAAGCACACTAAAGTGTTTCCTTCAACAGTTTTTAAGTAAGATTAATTATAAAGATGCTGCCATCTACCACAGGTATCGCAGGTCACTGCCTCCTGTCTGTCACGCACAATATATCCACAATCAATACAGTTATCAGTCATATATAATGACATAAAATGATTTATAAACACTATAAATTTTTCAAACACTTATTGATATTCCAATACTTTTTACACAGTAAATATTCTTTGAAAATAAGTTAATAAAATACGAAACAAATATTAATTATACTGATGAACGTATTCAATAAAAACATTCAAATGAACTGAAAAAAATATTGTTATACAAACCTTTTAACTCGAAATTCTATGCATTTCTTTCTAATTTTCGCATTAACACTTATGAAATCATCTTAAGTTTACATCGAATTTAAAGGATTTGTTTTCACAGATTTTGGGGCCGGAATGACCGATTTTGGGGCCGCATTGACCAAATAAAAATACTGTTGGCCAGATTGGCCAATTTTGGGACCGGGTTGACTGTAATTCTTTCAAAGAGGTTCTCAAGGATAGCCTAGGTAAGAGTTCAGAGATGCCAGTGTTTAAAAATTATAAAGATAATGGCTTTAACTTCATGCAATATTTTAAGTCAAGAGACTGAAAGGAAGTCAGGGTATAAAGGCAAAGATCTTACCATGATTAATCATATAATATGTCACCTTATTAATTATAACTTGCGGTTCTGAATTTTAATGCAACTTTTACTATTTTCTTAATGATTATGTCATGGAATTTACAGATATAAAAAATCTGTAAAATTATGGATCGTCCAAAATTTACAGACTGTCGGTAAATATCGTGAAACCCTAGACCAGTTAATGTTCATTTTGGGACGATTCATCAGCGGGGCATGTTGATATATAACTTATTAATATACTCACAGGTGATCTATTTGTTACTCTTGGATGCTCAACATAAAAATTCTTTTCAAACTTTTGTAGTCTATCCATATCCCACTTTGGTTTTCTCAGTGTTGAACCTGGCTGTGAACCCTTTTCTTTTCGTCCACCAAATCCACCACCACCTCGCCCACCCCCAAATCCACCACGACCTCCGCCAAACCGATCATCTCTTCCACCTCTTGATCCACCAAAAGATGATGGTAAACCATGTGAACCTAACCTGTAAAAATAAAGAACTTTATTTAAATTAATTTTTATACCAGCCAGGCGGAAATGGAAACCACCACGAGGACGTAGGTCCCATTTTCGGGTTAATAAGAAGCAAAACATAAGACAGTAGAGTATATAGATCGCCGTTAAAACAAATTACTTAAGTAACATGAAAAGAACAATGTTATTACGATTTTTGTCTCAAAAATCTATTGGGAATATTTTCCAATCTATCGAGCTCGAGGACAAGAAAATGGCCGATGTATCAAAATATTTTCTACGCAATATATTATAATAAATTTCCTTGAGAAAAAGAATAAAAAAGTACATAAAAAATCTTACCCCAGCGGTTTTCTATCAGATCTGCCAGTCGACCCTGTCATTCTATCTCTGTAAGACATGATTATGAATTTTATAATATTTTCAGCACTTTATTTCTATCCACCACGCCGAGCTGCTACAGTGAGAATGACGTCAGTGGGGAAAATTACTACTCTTGAAAGAAGTCATACAAAGTAAAAAATAAATAAAAAGTCTAAAATTGGAGACAGTAGGTAAAACTAGTGACATATAAATTGTTTTTTATAAATATAGGAAGAGTTGCTTTATATTTCAGCCGTCTTAATAAAATAAAGATGTCAGACAGAGAACTATATTATGTCGCGCAATATCTTTCAAACTATTTACATATCACGTCACAAATGCATGACAATCCCAGAATTCATAGCTACAAACAGTAATCGGAGCGCCTCGCAGATTATTGTGCATGAAGCACGTGTAATTAAAATTTAGAATGTAAGTAGCTTGTTTGGTAAATATCCGAAAAGTGAATGTCAGTGATATATTTATTTATTGCATTTGGTTATGATTAGCGATAAAATATGCACTCCTTTCACTCACGGACTTTAATTGTAATTTAAATCCGTGTTTCACTATATAATCTTTTGACACATTCTTTTATCATTTTTACAGTATAGATCTACTTTCACTTTCTGGAAATCAGAGACATAGAAAACTCCAGTCAACAGGCATACTGCAAACTTCATGAACACGACATCTGATCATTAGTTTACTATCATTGTTGCTTAATTGTTAAATAGCCTTGTTAATGTAAACCTTTCTAAGTTCACACTGGGAATGGGATAGGTTCACAAAAGGACCAATTTTTGCTTTCAAATCCAAATCCATGTTACAGGCCTTTTGTCTTGAGAGTCCTATTAAGCTCATGAAGAGTGTATAAAATTTCAACATGTTTCAAAGCAAGATGTCAATGAAATATGAAAATATTTGAGGTGGTACACAAAAATAATGAATTGAAGCCATGAAAATAAAGCCAATTATCTTTAAAACACTTGTATCTTGCCTATCATTGAGATTCTCTTTCAGAAATCCATCTATGAGGACAATATACCTTAAAATATTTATGTAGCCCCAATTTATAAGAAGGGTGGCAAGTCAAACCCAATTAATTACAGACCAATTTCCCTGGCATGTGTACTTAGTAAAATGCTAGAACACATGGTCACCTCTTCAATCACAAAGCATGGCCTGAATTCAAAAATCACATGCAGATATTTAGCCAAGAAATCATACATTAAGTTGATACACTTTCAGTTGAAGAACTATGGACTCAATTTAAATCAGCAATTGAAACTGGAATTGCTAAATTTGTTCCAATAAAAAGAATAGGGTCAAAAAAATCTTGTTCCAATAAAAAGAATAGGGTCAAAAAAATCTCTACCCTGGATAACAAAGGCAATTAAAAAACTCATGACAAAAAGAGACCATCTATACCAAAAACTAAAAAAACATAAATCAAATCATGAACTTAGACAAAAATTCAAAAAAATGAAAGCACTCATCTAAACATCTTACGGCCAACACTTAGAACACATATTAGAACTTGATGACAATGATCCCACAGACACCCAAACTAAATTTTCTACTAAAAAACAGTACTCTCACTTAAAAAACTCCAACAAGATTCCCAAAATGTAACAACTCTCAAAGACCAAACAACAGGCTATCTTAAATCAAACAACTGCGACAAGGCCAATATATTGAACACGCAGTTCCAATCAGTTTTCTCCAGTGCCTCTCCACTGTCTCTAAAACAAACTTGCATGCAAAAACTTTATTACCTTGATCCCAAAAAATACTGTAAATACCCTCAAATGGATGATATATCTGTCAGCAAAAAATTGGGTGCTGAAACTTCTTTGCCAACCTAAAGATAGATAAAGCTGCAGGCCAAGACCTTGTTCGGCCGGTTGTCCTCAAAGAACTTGAGGAATGAAATCACAGATATCATCACAATTCCATTCCAAAAATCTATATCCTCTGGTACAATTCCTCTGACTGGACCAAAGACTATGTTTGCCTATTTACAAAAAGGTGACAGCACAGATCCAGCCAACTATCGACCGATTTCATTAACATGTATCCTTTGCAAAACGCTCGAACACATTGTCGCCTCACATCTCTTTTCACACTTCAGTAATCACAACATTCTCTTTGACCTTCAACATGTCTTTAGGGAGAAACGCTCATGTGAAACACAGCTTATTGAACTAACAGACTCCCTTGTCAACAACATCTCAGCAGGGAAAAAAACAATGCTTATTCTCCTTGACTTTAGCAAAGCCTTTGAATAAAGTAAATCATCGTAAATCTTATCCTTACCCTTCAAGAAACGGTGTCTCCACAACGTAATTCTCAATTGGACACGTTCCTTCCTGATAGGCTCAGAGCCAAACTATTGTATGGAAGAAACACTCTACAGAAGTCCCTGTAACACTCTGGTGTTCCCCCAAGGCGTCCGTCCCTCGGCGCCCACTCTGCGTTTCTGATCTACACTTAATGAAACTTCCATTTCTGTCTCCAAGTCTCAAATTCGGGCCTCTTTGCTGATGACACTGTGGTTTACATTTACTATGAAATTCGTCCTCAGACTCAAATCCCTTCAGGAGGATTCTTTTAATAAGATGCCAAATTCTGGGAAAAGGGAGTGGAACATGGAATTCAAACCCCTCAAAATGTCAAGTCTTCAACATCACTAAAAACAAAAAAGGTCATCAACAACAAGTACTTCCTTCATGGCCAAGCTTTAACATCAGTTCCTAGCTCAAAATACCTTGGCCTTGACTTGTCCACACTATCTCAAGAATTACATCAAATGCAAACAAAACCCTAGGATTCATAAAACGAAATATCAATACAAAAAATGAAAAAGTAAAACAACTGGCTTATAAATCCCTAGTAAGACCCCAGTTAGAATACACAATCAACTGTTTGGAGCCCTACACACAATCAAACATCAAAAAATAGAGATGGTCCAAAGACGAGCGATACGCTGGGTAAAAACAGGATTACTCCCCTTTGTCATCAGTTACAGCCATGCAGAAAGATCTTGGCTGGCGTTCTCTCGAGCATCGCAGACTAGACTTCCATCTATGCTTACTAGACATATGCATCCCCTCTCTCTTAGGAAAATACAGGTTACATCAGACTACCATAAGTTCTCCTTCTTCCCCCACTGTATCACACTTTGGAAACCAGCTCCCAAGGAGCATTGCCACCCTGACCCGATCTAGATCAATACAAACAGGCAGTGGTTAAGATAGAGTATTAGTTGACTTGTTGTGTTTTTACTTTTAAATCTTTCTTTCACCCTTACTAATAAAAATATTTTAACAATGACTAGAAGTTTTCAATGTCTCTCACTGTCTGATCATGTTCATTTTCAGGTTTTTACTTTCTCTCACACCTTTTACTAACACACCCGACGCGCACAATTTCCTTCCTATAACACTCGCGAGAGGGGTTGGCAGTACTCAGAGATAGATAGATAGCATTTCACAAACCTGTGCATTTTATACCACCTTCAACTATTGTTGGCATGCTTAACTCTTGGGTGGCCATTCATTTTTTTGTTGAGCCCTCTTGCAGTTAGCTTGACTAAGCCACCACTTTTGGCATACAATCTTGTGTATATGCTTCTGGCAGCTGTCCTCTATCTTGCTCATTCTTTGAAGGATTACAAAATAACTTAAAAATGTTCACCATGATGGGATGGTCAGGTGTGTCACACACAAAACCCAGGCCCTCACTAAAGGGGAAAGGGTCATTTTGGGGGGTCAGTGAAAACCCCGTTTTGGGAGTGTAATTTCCCACATGCATGAATTTTAATAAAAATCGGAAAAAAAAAATTCACAAAAGTGGGGGCAGAGTTTTGGGGGCAAAAAATTCAGGTGTTTGTGGCAAAGGTCAAGGTTACATTAGGGGTCAAATGACAAAATAAAACATTTTTTTGCGAGTATAACTTCTATGTACATGGATGGATTTTAATATGATTTAGCACAAATGTTCATGACAAGCAGCTTAACTACTGTGTTGTTTGTATAGATAAATTTTCGCTAATCTGTGCAAATCAATTTCACAATTTTATAGTTATGAATAAATATGAAAGCCCAAAATCGTGGTGTATCATAAAATTGTCATGTTCATAATAATGTACTAGTATTTTAATCATTTAATAACCAGCTCTTTTATTTTACAGAAAGACATGTTTTTGTCAATAGCAAAGATTTCACAATCTTCACTTATTTTTTTTTCTTTTGTAAATATTTTTTTTTCTTTTGTAAACATATTTTTTTTCTTTTGTAAATTTATAAATACAAATAGTTTTAAATTATTTGTAGAAAAAATTTACAAATATAACCCAGTAGCTTCATCTTTTATAGCTCATTTTCTACATATGTTATTCACAAATCTGAATTAATATAAAGACATCTAATGGAAATTTTGGTTTGACTTTTTACATATTAACGTTAGCACACATACTGGTCAATTTGCTTAAATGTAAATTAGGGGAAATGTATGCAAAGCATACTGTGTGTATATAGTGCAATTATGTACTTCTATCAAAAAAAAATTTGTAAGTATTCTTCACTTTTTAGTATAACTCAAAAATGTAACTTCACATTATTTTTTTCAGAACAATGAAGTCCATAAAAAAGGAAGAGATAGTATCACTGCGCCATCTTACATGTGAAATGGGTCATTTGTCTCGTCCTGATGGTTCAGCCACTGTCTACCAGGGTGATACATGTGTAATGGTCTCTGTATACGGACCAGGTGAAGTTAGAATGAATAAAGAACAATTGGATCGTGCAACTGTAGATGTTGTGTACAAACCTAAATCTGGACTGCCAGCATGTGTTGACAAAGCATTTGAAAAAGTTGTATGTAATACATGTGAAACTGTGTTACTTGCAAGTTTATATCCCAGGTCCTCAATTAATATAACTGTGCAAGAAGTTCAGGACTCTGGCTCATTTTTGGCAGCTTGCATTAACAGCTGTTGCTTGGCATTGTTAGATGCCAGTGTAAGTATGAAGTGTACTATGGCAGCTGTCAGCTGTTGTATTGATACAGACAATGAAATAATTTTAGATCCAACCAAATCTCAAGAGGAAGTGGCAAAGTCAACTTTCACTTTTGTGTTTGACAGCAAGGATAGGAATATTATAAGCATATTAGCAGAAGGAAAATACACACAAGACCAATTTCAGAGTTGCTTAGTTGTTTGCAAAGAAGCAAGTGAATCAGTGTTCAATTTCTATCGAGACAGCATCAAAAGAAAATTGTCTAAAACTGTATAGTTTCAATATAAAATTGTGTATAATACAGTATGATTAAGTATTTTTACTGTTGATAGTGAACTTTAACAAAGACTTCTTTATTATCCTACAAATATTGCTGATGTAAATTACCTGCTCAATCATTATTTAAATAGAAAGATTGTTTTTCCTTGCATATCAGAGTGGTGTTTCCATTAGTTTTAGTTTTACCCATGTTGGAAATTTGATCTGGCATGGGGTGCCAGATGAGTTGTGTGCTATACATTGGTTTGCTTAGGATGACATTATTTTTTCGTTATGAATGACTCTGTTGTAAGAAAATAGTTATGGTTATAATGACATAATTTTCCAAGGAAAACTGTTTTATTAAGGAAATGATTTGAAATATGATGGAATATGGAAGAGTATGCAAGAAAAAATATCTGACATGTGTTTGCGGTTCAGATCAGAATATCCATCCCTCGGGAACCTGCCCATCCTGCCTATGGACAGGTTCCCTTGGAATGGATATTCAGATCTGAACCGCAACATATGATAGTTATATTTAATATTAAGTTTATTAAGCCTCAAGTTTGAATGAAAGTTGTTCATGTATCAGCATTGTATTTTTCATTTAGAAGTCTTTAATGTCAATTGTGTCATTGCTTAGGAAATTGCTATCTTTGGGAAAGCCTTTGTTCCTAATTCATAATTTATGTTCGATATTTCTGAAATTAAAAAATTATATTATTAAAACGTTGTTATGATTTTCAGAGGAGCCTCAGTGGTGAAAGTCTAAAAGTAGTCATAAATTGTAGTCGGGGTGATCTGAAAATTTCTGTTCCACCTGGAAGAGCATTTGGTCGAAAGAAGCAAAATGACAAAAACAATAATTTTAGTGTGATTGTCAAAACTAAGTAACAGTGTAAAGTAGGCCTATCATCGTGATCAGTTTGAAAATGATGTTTGTAGAAAAACCTCCATAAATTGAGAATATTACATAAACTTTCTAAAATTCAGGTTGTGACATAGTGACATGTGCAATGATAAAGTAAAAGCAGTATTGTGATGCGTTGAGACACTATCTGTATTGCAATACATAAATTATTATAAAAAGCTTACCGGGTAGTTGAGTGCACTATTGCACAATATAATAATAATATTGATAAAGACTATTAATCTCCTTCTGCAATGCAGGATGGGGATGATAGGAAATGTCTTCGTCTGTCTGTCAGTAACACTTTCATGTCTGCTCCATACTTTTTAAATTGATGAAATTTTTTTGAAATAACTTGTTAAAAGTGATAACCACTATGAGACAATGTGCCGAGCGCAATTATTGAGTTGCTACTTCCAAGGTAATTGTCACACTTAAAGGTCAAGTGTTAAAAAGTCTACATTTCTTGTTCGCTCCATAACTTTTAAACCGTAAAGTTTTTGAAATAACTTAATTGGCACAAGTGATTACCATTATGAGACGATGTGCAAAGCACAATAATTTGGTTGCTACCCCCATGGTCAAGGGCATATTTAAAGGTTGTGTTAAAAAGTCTACACAATAATTTGGTTGCTACCCCCATGGTCAAGGGCACATTTAAAGGTTGTGTTAAAAAGTCTACATTTCGTGTCTGCTCCATAACTTTTAAACCACTGAAAATTTTTTGAAATATCTTTGCACAAGTGATCACCACTATGAGACAATATGCAGAGTGCAATAACTGGATTTCTACCCCCAGGATCAAGGTCACACTAAAAGTTCAAGTGTTACAAAGTCTATGTCCGCTCCATAACATTTAAACCACTGCAATGTTTTTAAGATAATTTGGCAGAAATGATCACCATTATGACACCATGTGCAGAGTACAACAAATTCAACAATCAAGTCACTACCCTCAAGGTCAGGGTCACATTCAAAATGTCCAAATTGAATGTTTAAATATCTATTTTTCATGTCCTTTCTATAAATAATTGACAATTCAAAGTTTTTAAAATTACTTGGCACAAATGATCCCCACCATGACACAATCTGCAGAGCACAACATCTAGATTGCTATCCTCAAGGTACATCAAGGTTGCTACCCCAAAGGTCAAGGTCACAGATAAAGGTCAAATGATATAGTCCACATTTTCCTGTCTGTTCTTTTAAACTACTGAAAAGTTTTGTGAAATGACTTCGCACAAATGGTCACCATAATGACATGATGTGTGGAGGGCAATATTCAGGTCGCTACCCCCAAGGTCTAGGTCACAATTAGAGGTCAGATGTTAAAAGTCAGCAATTTTTTGTCTTCTTCATACCGGTAACTTTTTTGTGCCCCCACGTTAGTGGAGGGCATTTAGATTTACCCTTGTCCATCCGTCCGTCCGTTCACTTTTGTGTCGCATGTAACTCAAAAAGTATTTGACCTAGTCATGAAACTTTACAGGAATGTTGATCAGCATGTGTAGTTGTGCACCTGGGTATTTTCGTCTGGATATTTTTAGTATTTTCAGAGTTATTGCCCTTGACTTAGTAAAATTTTGCAATTTTCAACTTGTGTCGCATGTAACTCAAAAAGTATTTGACCTAAAGTCATGAAACTTTACAGGAATGTTGATCAGCTTGTGTTGTTGTGCACCTGGGTATTTTCGTCTGGATATTTTTAGTATTTTCAGAGTTATTGCCCTTGACTTAGTAAAATTTTGCAATTTTCAGCTTGTGTCGCATGTAACTCAAAATGTATTTGACCTAGAGTCATGAAACTTTACAGGAATGTTGATCAGCATGTGTAGTTGTGCACCTGGGTATTTTCGTGTGGATATTTTTAGTATTTTCAGAGTTATTGCCCTTGACTTAGTAAAATTTTGCAATTTTTAACTGTTGTGTCGCACGTAACTCAAAAATATTTGACCTAGAGTCATGAAACTTTACAGGAATGTTGATTCAGCATGTGCAGTTGTGCACCTGGGTATTTTCGTCTGGATATTTTTAGTATTTTTCAGAGTTATTGTCCTTGACTTAGTAAAATTTTGCAAATTTTCAACATGTTGTCGCACGTAACTCAAAAGTATTTGACCTAGAGTCATGTAACTTTACAGGAATATTGATCAGCATGTGCAGTTTGTGCACCAGGTATTTTCGTCTGGATTTATTTAGTATTTTTAGAGTTATTGCCCTTCACTTAGAAATTTTTTGCAATTTTCAACTTGTGTCGCAAGTTACTCAAAAAGGATTTGACATAGTCATTTAACCTTATGGGCAGGTTGCTCAGCATATTTAGATTTGCACCTGGGGTTTGGCTTGTGGTTTTATCCAGTATTTGTAGAGTTATTTCCCTTGACTTAGTAAAAAGATTGACAGAACAGTGGCGCGGTGGGGGCACCCGTGTCCTATGGACACATTTCTAGTTTCTACTGAAATTTTGTAATTATATTGGCAAAAATGACCCTCATCATCACATACAGAGGGGAACAACTCCAAGGTCAAGGTTATAACATAACCAGCAGTCTTGTAATTTTCACGTGAATGATTTGTAAAACTTGAAAATTATAACAAATAATTTTTAAATAAAAAAATGAGAGGTATTGTTAGTTATGTCGGGGTTGCCGTCGGCAAACTTTAACTTTGGTCATGACTTATTAAGTTAATGGTGTACTATTGACTTCATTCTTGGCCACAACAACCTTTGGGACAAGTCTTTCAAGTAGACCAGAATAAACTTGACCATCAGTTTTAAATGGCCTTGACTTTCAAGGTCAAATGTCTAAATTTTGCTGGAGTTTTGCTGTAACTGGCTTTACTTTTATAATTAATAAATGGATTGCTTTCATATTAAGACAACATTCTTTAGGCTAAGACCTTATGTAAATCAAACTCAAACTGACCTTGTCTCATTATGACCTTGACCTTGAATGTTAGATTATTGCATTTTCACTGATTTTTGCTATAATTGATGGTAACTTGGTAATTAATCAACAGAATATCTTCATACTTGGACAAAAGGACCTTTTCAACAAGACCTTCTAAAAGGTTGAACTGAAAAGTTTAAGCAATATAAGTTTGATATACAACAAAGGGCCATAATTCTGTTAAATTTGGTCGCAGCGAAAATTCCTTCCTTTACTACCATCTACACAGTAAGGTTGTTCATCCCTGGAAGTTTAAGCAAAATCTGCCATCCTGTTTAAGAGGAGTTGCGTTCACAAGATTTCGGGACTTTTCAGTAGTTTAAAAGTTAAGGAACAGACAGGAAAATGTGGACTATATCATTTGACCTTTATCTGTGACCTTGACCTTTGGGGTAGCAACCTTGATGTACCTTGAGGATAGCAATCTAGATGTTGCGCTCTGCAGATTGTGTCATGGTGGGGATCATTTGTGCCAAGTAATTTTAAAAACTTTGAATTGTCAATTATTTATAGAAAGGACATGAAAAATAGATATTTAAACATTCAATTTGGAGGGCAATATTCAGGTCGCTACCCCCAAGGTCTAGGTCACAATTAGAGGTCAAATGTTAAAAGTCAGCAATTTTTTGTCTTCTTCATACCGGTAACTTTTTTGTGCCCCCACGTTAGTGGAGGGCATTTAGATTTACCCTTGTCCATCCATCCAGACCAGAATAAACTTGACCATCAGTTTTAAATGGCCTTGACTTTCAAGGTCAAATGTCTAAATTTTGCTGGAGTTTTGCTGTAACTGGCTTTACTTTTATAATTAATAAATGGATTGCTTTCATATTAAGACAACATTCTTTAGGCTAAGACCTTATGTAAATCAAACTCAAACTGACCTTGTCTCATTATGACCTTGACCTTGAATGTTAGATTATTGCATTTTCACTGATTTTTGCTATAATTGATGGTAACTTGGTAATTAATCAACAGAATATCTTCATACTTGGACAAAAGGACCTTTTCAACAAGACCTTCTAAAAGGTTGAACTGAAAAGTTTAAGCAATTTAAGTTTGATATACAAGCAAAATTTAGACAATGTCATTAATGAATGAAGGTCAAGTTTAGTCTGGTCAACTTGATGGTTTTGTCCCAAGGGTTGTTGCTGCCAAGTATAAAGATAATGCACCAAGAACTTAAAGTATTGTGATCAAGATTAAAGATTGTGGATGGGAATGCCATCAGAAATTGTTCAAATAATCTTGTTCAAATAATCAAAATTGTTCCTGCCCCAGGCGGTAATGGCTTTTCCTTAAATAGAAATACTTCAAAAGTTTTTCCATAGCAACCAGTGACTTCTTTAGCAATTATTGACTTTCCATAACAACCAGTGACTTCTATAATAGCCAGTGACTTCCATAGCAACCGATGTTCAATAGCAACTATTGACTTTCCATAGAAACTATTTTCTTTCTATAGCAACCATTGACTTCCATAGCAACCATTAACTTTCTATGGCTACTAGTGACTACCATAGCATGATTACACCATAGCAAATAATATATACTTAAGTCAGGTGAGAGATAACTAGAACTGTGTCCAAAGGACACGGATGCCCCCACTGACAACATATATATGGTATATAGTGAAAAAATCAACAAAGGGCCATAATTCTGTTAAATTTGGTCGCAGCAAACATTCCTTCCTTTACTTCCATCTACACATTAAGGTTGTTCGTCCCTGGAAGTTTAAGCAAAATCTGCCATCCGGTTTAAG